CCTTTTATTTCAAAAAGTGTTTCATGTTTTAGGATAATTTGCCCGCATCCACATTCTTTCTCTAATTGTATAGTAGTATCAGAAAACAGAATATTTCTAAGAATTTTCTCAAACCAAATAAAATATTCTCAAGTGCAACAGCAATTGAAAATAATGGAAGTTTCAGAAATTTTAAACTGATAAATACCATTTGAACGATTGATTATAGAATAATGATTCCAATTTATAGATGACTCAGGCAGATTTTAATGTATGATGAATTTAAACACATGCTGCACTTCCGTAAAAATATGGAAAATGTAAATATAGTTAAGGACTACCTGTCTTCCAAAAAGGTTCTTATGCCTGATTTACTAAAACTAATACCTTATACCAAACACCTCATACTTAAAACCTCATACATAATACTATAGCCATAATTATCAGAAGAGTCGTTAATGAAAATACGGAAATGTAAATTGCTGACTGTAGATTTTCTAAAATACCTTGTCCATTAAAGATAAAGGGAAACATTTTGAGTAACAATAATATTACACTCATCCATCTTTACCAGCCCGGCTAATTTACATACATAAGTAAAGGGAGGAAATGTTTGTCGTCTGAAGTTTCGACAGTGAGTTTTTAATGAAAAGTTCTGAATTAAGGCTCCTACAACACGTTTTGACTATCTGTGCGTCTGAATATATGTGATGATTTTTTGTTCACGATTGCTCTTATATGAAACTTCCAAAAATTCCTGTTTTATGTATTTGCATTCTGCATACATAGAAAAGATTAGATTTAGGGTAAAATTGGACAATCGGAAATTGTATTTTAGAGGAAACTCGTAACCGTCTTTAGTGAACAACAGGGACTGGCGCTTTACTTGAGTCGTATAACAGTTTTTATTAAAAAACTACATTAAAATATAATCAGGAACTTGTCCATTTTAACATTTAAGAATTTCATAAAAATGGGAATAATATACTAGATTTTGACTAAAATTGATTAAATGTGCTACTTTACTTGAAGATCTGAAAAGACTTCCGTAAAACATGTATTATGAGATAATACAAAACTTCTCTAACTCGGTATCTAAAATAGGTAGGCGATTAAGAACAACATATTACATTTATAAGCATTAAATGTATTCTTGGAACTACGCTAAATGCAACGAAAACAAGCTCATTAAGAAGACAAGCTCTTTTTAAAAGCAATTAAATGGAATAGCCTCAATCCTCAGTTTGTGTTCATATTTGCTTCGAATCGCCTTTTAAATAGAAAGATAGTGGCGTCTTTCCAGCCGTTCAGTATTATTTCTATAGCTACGTATTTTTTCGAAATGAATTATATAGCAAGTTAAAATAATATAGTGAATGTAAAAGAATGTATAGCAACAAATAACACTGTGTTGATAATTTTACGGTACTCTGATTTAAAAAATTTTACTGTCTTTGAACTTTATGTTCCGTAAGCGCGAAGAAAGTGATAATCGATAAATAAAAGATTGGTTATCTTAGGAAGATATGGTTTGGTTTATTTAATTATGGCCAAGCACACAAGGGTTACCTTCCTAAGGAGAGGGATGCCTTCGTGGAAAACTTTCTAAGGGAAACTGGCTCGTATAGAGGTTACACATGGGGAAAACCACGAAAACGCCCATGCAGCCAGCCCGTTCGTGGGATTCGAACCTCGGACCGAACTACCAGTGCTCAGTGATTTTACCGCTCGGCGCTGGTGAGCCATGGTTACCTTATAAGAAAGCAGGACATTGGTATCATAAACTCATAAAAGACTAAAAATGAACAGTTGGCACTCTATATAGATCTAAAGATATGCTGCTTTTAAAAATTTTGTGATCGTTAAGTCACTGATTTGTGAATCCGAAATACTATATGTCCAGAGGATACGCTGAAGAGTAAAAACATTAAAACCACCTACTCAACGACGCGTTGCTCTACCTTTGGTCTGCAAAGAGCTGCAAATCACCTCGACATGGATGTCACAAGTTCTTTGTAGTTGACTTGGAGACAGGTAGTACCAATGTCTAAGCAGAGGTCACGCAAATTCGACATATTCCGACATAGTGGTGTTTGAGCTCTGAGATGCCGCTCCATGACATCCAAATGTGTTATATCGGGTTGTGATCCGGCGAGTGAGGTGGCTAGTACATTAATTGAATGCATCCTTATGCTCCTCGAACCACTCCAGCACAATTTGAGACTTGTAACATGGGCCATTGTCCTGCTAGTAGATTCCATTTCCAGCTGAAAGGACAGATGCTATGTAAGGGTCCCAAGTTAGACCCATGATAACATCCCCCAAAGCATAATACCACTCCTACCAGTCTGTGTATGAACAAAGGATACACTGAGGATCCTAAACATTATGACTATTGCTCAATGACGCGCTGAGCAACCTGTGCCCTGCAAAACAGCTGCAACTAGCTTTTGAATGGATGCCACAAGTTTCTTAGACGACTGGAGACAGGTTGTACCAAATGTCTAAGCAGCTATCACGCAAAGTCGAGATTTTCCGACATGATGGTGTGTCAGCTCTCAGCTGCTGCTCCATGACATCTTAATGCGCTTTATTTGGTTAAACTCTAGGCGTTAGGGGGCCAAGGCATTTACCGGAATTCATCCTTATATCCTGGAACCACTCCAAACACAATTCAATCGTTTTGATATAGGGCATTATCCTGCTGGAATATTCCATTTACAGTTGGGAAGAGACACAATATGTAAGGGTGTAATTGATCCGCATTATGTCAGTTTTCATGGTTGTTTTTTTTTTTTTTTTTTTTTTTTTTTTTGAGTCCTTCAGCTTTCATGGTCGTCCTACAACGTCTAACGGTCCCGAGTCACCCATAAGAACGTTCTGCAAACCATAATACTACCACCACCAGCCTGTGTATGACCTCCTGCACAGGGGGGGGGAGCAAATGTTTGCCTGGAAGACAGCGTACCCTAACACAACTATCGACAAAATAAATGAGGAAAATCGTGATTCATCTGACCAGTTCAATTAATCTGACCATTTTTTCCATTATCCATGGTCCAGATCGATGTTTCGGGCTCACTCTATGCGTAGTTGACAATGACACTTATCAATAGAGGCCCACGAGTGAGAGCCTGCTGCGCAGTCCCATACCAACAATGTCCGCTGAACTGTGTGTTCCGAAACACCTGCACGCACCTGCATTATTTTGACTGTCAGAGAGCTACTGCGGGGAGGATTTTGCTTACCAAGCGGGAGAGTCTCTGATGTCGTTTTTCTTGGCGTGGACGTCAACACCTAGCATCTACTGATGTTTCGCCGTCATTATACACTTTGCATAATACAACGACGGCAGATCGCGAAATTTTTAATATTTAATAATGCTAGTTCTGTCAGACAACAATTTTTACATTTTATACAGCATTTAAAATTTGCTTTTGTAAGCGGATGAACTTATTTTTACCATTTATTCATTCATATCCTCAAAGGATATATGAGAATGTTTTTAGAATACCTTATTGTATCTCTCACAAAACAGCCTCTTATCACAGGGCAACTGCTTATTTAAAAGAGTTTTGTAAGGGAAACAAAGATGTTGCACGTCAGTCAGCCTTACGTATGTGCTGCAGTATGTTGCTGGAAAAAAAAACCACAAAAATTACGATTCTGAAGTACTTAACATGATTTTTATATGTAACTATCAAATTATTCTGTACAAAATAGTCTATAAATTATTTTTTGCATTCTGAATGTAGATCAGAACATTAGAAGAAATTAATCAGCTTAATAGCGCGTTAAAAAAGTTTAGGAATATCTGATAATAGGTATCTGATAATAGCTAAATTTTTGGAATTTTACAGGAAAATTAGTAAAGGAATGTAAATAATAATTTATATTTTTGCTTTTTTAAGGCTCCAGGATCTCAACTTTCTTCAATTTCGGATATGTGTCCACTTACAATACGAGGTGTTGACGCTCGAGATACTGGTACATACACATGCGTCGCTACAAATTGCATGGGCAGCGCTTCGACTACTTCTAGACTTATATGTATAAGTAAGTATGTCAGCTATATGTGCAATATGAATATTTATTTAATAAAATAAAGCAAAAATATTTATAAAAAAATAAGAATTTTATTTTTATTCACACTAAAAATATACGCCACATGCGAATAATCGTTGTCTTGTCTTTCATTTAGAATCTGTAAGCACAAACAGGTTGGGGACTAAATTTTAGGCTAAGAGTTTTAGATTTATGGGTATATAAGAAATCTGAAGTATTAAGACAATGGTCTAGGCATGGAAATTGTTTATTTTGGTAATCCAAAATCTCATAAAATTGTGGATTATATGTTTCTTACAGCGAACACTTAAATACTAATATCTAATATATATATAATAAAATTCTAATATCCAGTACGTATACATATACCATATTCATAAATTAATTATCGTTTTAAATATGATTATGCCACTGAAGCAAAATCCAAATCCATTAACATTTGTCTTTTATACCAGAAAGTGGAAAAATGCAGTTAAGCAATATTTGAAGTCCTAGTTAGATAATAACTGAATGCATCTGTTGAACGCTAAAACAGTTGTTATTTTAGGACAGTAAATAACAGCTAAGCATATTTTTCTTTATAATTTTATCGATTTTTAGAAGTCGTAATGAAAGGGCGAAAATGGACTAAATGATATATTACTTATGAAATTAATTACTTTCAGTAGACGTTTAAAATGCTTTCTCTATTTTTAGGCAAAAAGAGCATAGTTGTTGAATCTCAACACCCTGAAGGTCTTGAAAAGATTCAGCATCTTGAAGACTATTCTCGATACCAGAGGGATGTACGAGAGGATGTGAGTTTCACTGTAAAGCCCACTTTTACCGCTGAGCTCACTGGAAAAAGTCAGTTGATTGAAGGACAAAGTGCTCATTTCGAAACACGATTGGAGCCAATGGGAGATCCTAGTATGACCGTGGAATGGTTTTTTAATGGCCGACCACTTACCACTGGTAGGTGAAAGATCTATAATATATATGTAATATGCACAGAACCCTATGAAAGGCAGTCAAGAAAAATGAACAAAAATAAATTAATCAAATAACTAATAAAATAATCAATAATTAAAATTAAAATTGAATAAAATGTAAAAAAATGCATAAAACTTAAAAAATTAATTAATGGATAATAAATGATTAAAAAATAAAATAAAATACTGGACCTTGTCTTCCTTGGGGCTTATGCTGGAATTATAATTTCACTCAAAGCAAAGGAAAAGCTCAATAAGACTCCTGCTGAATTTAAGCTCCGAATATACAGTATAAGCATATTAAGAATATACAGTAGGGCTAATTTAAGTGATGAACAGAAACAAAGATCCTTCTTTATCCTGCACACCAATGACCAAATTAAATTGTTTAAAGCATCAGTAAGGAAAATAGAGATAATGCTAGAGCAGGATGACAGTACGGAAGGAAATTTTAAAGGAAGTATATAGGTACGAAAACAAAGAAAAAAGAACCTAATACTTTCAGGCCACGATCCTTTGCCGATATAATTCTAGCTACCAAGTAAAACGTGCTGGGAGAAAAAGGATAAATTTTTAATGTTAATTTTTCACCAAAATAGTATTTCCGAAATCAGAAAATACTTTCTGCTGAAAATTATAATTCAGTTACATAAATGAAGCGTTGGCTCCGGTGCGCTCTGACTAGAATTATGATTTATCTCAAAAACTGAAAAATGCCGGAGCCGGACTCCAGTAGGCTCCGATGGAATTTAAACTCTGGTTCTAATTCGTTCAGTGTAATGTGAGGTATAACTTGTTTCATTTCCTTAATTTAAAATTCGATATTAACCGTGAAAAAAATATTAATATCTTAAATAAAAAAATTCTTTATAATTCTGTGACTTTTATTCGTGAATCACGTGAGTAACAGTGCAAGCTGAAAGTTTCACTTTAAGAAAGAAAAGAATTATGTACTTCTGGTATCACCCAGCTTCAGTATTTTCGGAGCCGTTTGTGATCAGTATAGTCGGCGCCCTTTATAATTAAGCATATTAATAATTTAAAACGAAAGGTGCATTTATTTAGTTGTTATTTGTGATGACAACTTAGCTGGTGCCTTCCGAAAATTGGTGCCCAAGCCGGATGTCCATGTCGCCTATGCTTATAAATGGCACTACTTCAGATAACCCTGTATTTCTTTCCAACATGATCTTTCGTACTGTATCAGATCTTATATTTCATGATTCATAATATATCTTTATGAATAAGTAAATTACAAATTTATAAAGTGTTTTTTTCTTCAGGACACCGCTTCAAGACATATTTTGATTTTGGTTACGTTGCTCTGGACATTTTGTACGTATTCCCTGAAGATACAGGAACGTTCACTGTTGTTGCCAAAAACTCTATTGGACAAGCAACACTTTCGAAGCAAGTTCACGTACAAGGTAATGTATGCTTTACTATGTTATAAGAAGATATATTTTTTTAAAGTAATGATTTTCGCATTCTAAAAATTTGAATTAGGCTTTTTACATGTGTTGCTATTTGTTACAATTTTCTGGCATTTTAAAACTAAAATAAAAGTTTGTTTTTCTAATAAAAATAAGTCATATAAAAGTGTTTTGTGTTTCTTTACAGCATTATTTAGGTGGTAAAATTATTTAAATTTATTCGTCAATTTCAGCTTACTGAAAACTATTCATATTGTAGATTTACAAATAATGTTGAATTTAAATTTAAAAGCATTATTATAATTAAATTCTTATCTAAAATATCTGAAATTAGCAAAAACCTTAGTTCCCATAAATTTCAAATAAATTTGAAATATAAAGTCAATATGTATTGAAACATATTCTGGGTACTAGATCGTAATTAAAATAATATAATAGTTCAGTCAATACTAAATTTTGTATTTTGTATTTTAACTGTATCTTCTAATATTTTAGTACAAACTCTTACTCAATGAAATTTATCTTTTAAATTTGACTTCAGAATCATTTACATTAAATCAGATTTATGAAAATAACATTTCTTGTTATTTATAGTGGCATCAGCCGCTGTAAAATTGTCAATGAAACAAAATGCTCGTTTAAGTTGCCTTATTTCTCTGTCTCTTTCTCTCTCTCTCTCTATATATATATACTAAAATACTATATTTAATTATCATACTCTCATTTTCCAGCCAAAACCTCGGTAGATACCTCAACTATTCACGAAATCGAAGAAAAAATTGAATATTTAGAACGCCCACCTCATGTGGATACTGACCGTTTCATAGAAGAGATCTCCAAGACCAAGCCTTATTTTCCTATTACTCTACACAGCCCCAAACCCTTACGAGAAGGTGAAAGGGTACACTTAGAATGTAGAGTCGAACCAGTAGGAGATCCAACGTTGAAGATTGAGTGGTTCTTTAATGGAAAACCTCTGCCTTCTGGTAAGTAACACACATAACATTCCTTGTCAGTGTGAATATTGTGTATCTTTTTAGTGGGTTTTTTTCGGTCAAAATACAGAACGAATTAAAAATAATTATGTTATTCATCAATATTTTGCGAAGAAACGAGTATACACATTTTGTAAAATAAGAAATCAGTTTCTTTACATTGATGGAAGAAAAGTAAGACTGTTTATATTAGCTAAAAATTATACAAGAAATTTTAGAAGTAAGCTTGACCTTTTGTCACAACTTGTGAATGACAAATTCAAATGCTACATGTTTATGGCAAACTATGTTATGTTTCTTTTAAAACATAAATTCGTAACAGACAGATAGACTCAATGCAGTAAGCTACTCCAATGTTATAGACTTTATGAATCTAGATTTAATTTTCTGCTGATACTTATGTGATGTTTGCATGATGCTAAAAACCAGTTAATATTTCAGCCGCATGAACATTAGACACATCTTGAAAAATAAATTTAGAGAATAATCTAGGTTTTTTTAAATACCTCGAGGTAACATCTTAATCTGTACATCCGCTATATATATTTCGCAAAACTTAAAAACGTTTAGTTCACATTACTTGTAATTTCTTTTATTTTCTCTTCGGCAACACAAAATGACTGCTTCGAACGAAATGCTCGATATGACGGACTGCGTTCACAGCGCTGTAGAATTTGATTGTATGCAGATTGAGAGTTTTGTGCGGCAAGAATAATGTATCATTTTAACGCATGTGGTTACTATATATGATGCTGACACCAAACTTTCATAAATAAAAATGTGTTTGTTTCATTTATGATTTCAGACAACGCAAGGTATATATTGTTGTGTGGAATAAGGTTTTGTTAAAATATCTCGGGTCATTTCGATTCATTTTGAAAAATTTAGATTTGAAGTATATATTTAGTAGTTGCCTTCTTGTTTACATTTTAACATTATTGCATTTGCATTTTGCATAATTTCGTAATGTTTTGACATGAGAAAAGAAACTTTAAAAAGTCATAATTCAGCTTTATTACCTTTAATGATGGATATTTCTAAGCTCATTCTTCTGTTCCTGACAGGCTCCCGATTCCAAGCAAAGCATGAATTCGGTCACATAATTCTGGACATACTCACAGCATACCCCGAGGACACTGGCGAGTACACTGTCAGGGCAACCAATCATCTTGGCTCAGCGCATACCAGTGCATGCATCACTGTCATTGGTAAGTTCTTTATTGAATTTTCATTGAAAGGAAAAGCCATAATTTCTCAATTTTACCCATAGGAGAAAGTCTCAAATGGTATATATCTTTCCTATTTTATTTTCAAATCTTTTTTTAGAAATGTTATGAGTACTTCTAGCCACTTACATAATATTTCGGATGATTAAGAATTTTATTTTCCTGAAATTTTATAATTTTTCTATTAATATGACGCTGTCCTTGTGTCGATCTATTTCTGGAATTCGTACTATTCTTCACAGAAATACAGGTTTGTCATAATGAAACAAGAGAGAGTTGTGAAACAAATGATGTGTAGTACAAAAATCATTCATATTCATCTGAGCATTCTTTGGAAATAAAATTCTTATTTATGTATTAAAAATGATGTTTTACACCATAGACGATTTGACGTGAAAACATGCATGGTCTAAGCTCGAAAGTATTGAGACCGAAATCAATTTTCGTGTTTCTGCCGAATTATTTTTATTTTGTTACAAATTTCAATCAGTTTTCATCATACTATAAATTCCAGTTGTGATTTAGTGACTTTTTTTTAGTGTCAGACACTCTAAAATTAGAAATCGTTAAACGATATTTCTTATAATGACGTACAACAATCTAATAATTGATTTCCTTCATAAGCAACATTACTATATCTTCCAATTATACTGAATCAGAAAATTGTGTTTGGTATGTCAGCCATTTTAGATTCCCTACAACCGGAAGACATTAGGCTTAAAATCATCTGAAAAATCTGAGTCTTTTTTGTATTTTAGTTTGTTGCCAGGCTGTTGGAAATTTGATTAATGTTGCTTTCAAATTACTTGACAGTGACTAGTAGCATACTTTGAAAACATTTTTATAAAGTATATAAATTTTGTTATGTAATTTTGATCATTAAAAGTTATTTGTTACTTTTTTTTCAGGTAAAAGTGGAATTGTTTCTGAAACTCAGCATCCAGAAGGACTTGAAAAAATCCAGCATTTGGAAGATTCGAGTCGCTACAAGAGGGACCAGTTTGAAGAGACGATCATTACGCAGCTTCCCACATTTACGAAACCACTGCACAACATCGAGACGATTGAGGGCACCAATATTCATCTTGAATGCCGACTTGCCCCTGTCGGCGATCCAACCATGCGGATAGAGTGGCTTGTGAATGGTGCACCTCTCAAAGTGGGTAAGTATACAGATTGCAAAACCGGATTAAAAGCTTAATGTTTATTCAGCTATTTTAATTACGCATTCGTATTTGCACTGGTAAGATGGAAAAAGGAAAACTTATGACACCAAATGCGCAGCAATAGAAAGTTAGAAATTGTTTTAGGAAACAGATCGGAGTTCATAATAAAATCCTTTTTAATTAATTTGCAAAGGTTAGAAATGAAGAATTTAACCGAAAGTGTTCAAATATCTTTGTTTTGTTTTCCTTTTTGAGATTATAGGTGAACATATACTCAATTAGACATATAAATGTTTTATAGGGCATCGATTCCGACCCGCATACGAATTCGATTATGTCGCCTTAGACATTCTCAGCGTGTACGCAGAAGATAGCGGAGTTTACACTTGCAGAGCAACTAGCAGTTTGGGCCAGGCTGTTACTTCTTGCACTGTTAAATGCACAGGTATGTTGTATAAGAATTAATAGTTAGTTTAGAGTTGAATGTACAAGTAGTGACGCATTCCGCTAAATTCCGTTTGTCTCGTATTTACAGCTAGGAGCGAAATTATTTCAGAATCACAGCATCCGGAAGGTCTTCAACAGATTCAATACCTTGAAGACCAGAGTCGCTACCAAAGAGAAACCTGGGTTGAAGAGGCCGTCAAAGTGCAGCCCAAATTCTTAACTAAGCTTAACAACTTAACTCTACATGAAGGTCAAATGGCTCATTTTGAATGCCGTCTGGAACCCGTTAACGATTCTTCTCTAAGAGTTGAATGGTTTAGAAATGGAAAATCTCTTCCAGTTGGTAAGTTACGTTCTCAAACTGGTTTATCGACAGACTGTATTTCATTTTTGGTTATTATTTACGTTGTGAGAAAACGGTTTTAAAATTATTAGAAATACGATTAGTGTATAGAAAAATAATGTTGTTGAACATTTGACTTTTGTTTATTGAAACAAAAATAGATTTTCTAAGAAAAGTAAAGCTTCTATCTGATTTAGATTATTGTTTCTGAGATTTGGTAAATGTCAAGTGTGCATTTTACGAAAGATAGCTGAACAGTTTTCTAGTTGGTAATGATTTTAAGGAAGAAAATGTTAAGAGTAAGATAAAAGAAATAAAAGATAACTTACCTAAGCAAATTAGTAAAATGAATAATCTGAACACAAAAGTATACTTTCAAGAAAAGAACCGCGGTGTTCTTAAAAACACACTTAAGAATCAACTTACTCAGATCTTGAATTTTTTGGAACCTAGAAGGTATTTCTAATAAGAAAGGGAGGCAATAATTAATAACCAGTCATACTGCAACCACTTGTTAAATTATATAAATATGCAAATGATTTCAGGATTGGTTACTTTTTAAACCTATTTTCTTTCAGTAAATGAATAAATGTAACCTTTAGTCTTTAAATATTAGTGAAAATTAATTGACTTTTGTTGTATATGCTTAACCATAAACTAATGATTACGATTTTTTTGTTTTATAGGTCACCGTTATAGACCTTTCCATGATTTTGGGTACGTTGCCCTAAACATCTTATCAGTTGTTCCAGAAGATTCCGGAACCTACACCTGCAGAGCTGTCAATTTAATTGGAACAGCAGAAATTCAAGCAACACTTACTTGCACAGGTATATTTGCATTTTGCTTTCTTTCAGAGTGATTCTATATTTCAGTTTGCTTAGGATTATTTTACATATAGGAATAATAATTATTTTTGTCTCATGAAGCTGCGTTTCTTAGGGAAAATTAAATAATAATAATATGCACATGGAATTTGGTGTGAACGTAAAATATTGGTTTATTTTTTTCAAGTAATCAAATTATACTTTAATATTGTAAACATCTAAAAGCTGAAGAATATAAATATGTTTCTGTAAAAAATAATCATAAAGTGCGATTTTTTTTTCTGTACGATTTTTTTCAGCGAATATTTAACATTTTAGAATAAACATCATATATACAAATGCGGTTTTATTTGTAAAGCGTATTTTATTTGTTTCCGAATTTATTACGTGTTACTTTTTTTAAATAAATGTCAGTTTTAAATTTTTACTTATTAAATTAAAATAGTCTCTTTCCGGTCGCATATTTAAAATAAAAGCATCATAATATTTTTATTCTTATCTTATTCTATTGGATATCATTTAATATTGCGAAATAGAAATTAACAGATATCCTTAATTTAAAAAATAATTAAAAGGAGGTGAATCTTGAGGCGATTAATAGACAGATAGTAATAAAATAATTTCAAAAGTAAAACCATTTAAAATAACCATGAGTAACTTTATAGTAAATAGTATCATTTCTGGCCATAATTACACATAAAAAGGCACATCTGCTTGATCTCAATGCAACTAACACTTAAAATAATTTCATTATAAACGGACTTACTCTAGGTAAACACTTTTTCTGGTGACTAATAATCTATTATAACAGCTAAGATTAGATTGTTTTTTCAATAATCGCTTTTTTCTGCCATTTGTAAATGTATATAACTGGATGAATTTTAAATTCCCAGTTAATTTCTACTAGCTCGTTGAGTACTCAAATAATCAGATTATTTTCTTCTTTCTGTTCTTCTAGTTGAGTGGACATATAAAAGATGTCTTTAAAATTAAAAAAAATCTAACATTAGCAAAATAAAAAGGCCATTAATAAATTAACAAAATGTATGAATATATGAAAATATGTGTAAGTAATGAGATTCATTAAACAAACATTTGAGAGCGTTATGTTCTTAATCAAATATTTACAAAAATGCTTTAAAGAAATGTTTTAGAATATAATTCACGAGAACAATTTCTATTTCATAGGCAAATCGTCAATTCTATCAGAAACTCAGCATCCAGAAGGCTTGCAAAAAATTCAGCAACTCGAAGATTACTCTAGGTGAGTACGATATGCTCAACCATATTTATTTACGTTTTCAGCATTTTTTCGTTGTAAATATTTAAAGATGTCCGAAGCATATACATTGCGCAGACACTGGAAAGTTCTTGATTGAATAAAATTCATTTTGCATACAAACTTAAAACAGTGAGAATCTAAAATTACTTGAATTGCTTAAATAGTAAATGGATTAGCTTGACCGAAAAATATTAAATTAATGAAATACGATGCTTTGTAATATGAAGTTTGATTAAGTTTATGTTAATCAAGCTAGTGAGTTAGCAAATTTCAACTTTGCAAAAATGAAAAATAATATAATTTCTTGAAAAATGTGTTCCCTTTTCAGTTTCTTTGTTGAAGCGAGCAGCATAGCGATACCGATAAAGTTTGCTTTTGCATAAATTTTTGTTACTAATTAAAGCATTAATTATCTTGAGAGGTAATAGTTTGTTGTCCATTCAGGTACACACGTGACGTGTATCAAGAAGAGCTCACAAGCCAGTCTCCAGTATTCACCAAAGCTCCACAGAATGTCGAAATCAAGGAAGGCCAGCGAGTGCATTTCGAATGCCGGCTGATTCCGGTTGGCGATCCCAAGCTCAAAGTTGAATGGTTCCATAATGGAAGACCTGTGAAGCAAGGTACGACACTTTGTTAAATAACGCGACTGCTTTGGAGTAATACCAAATGCATCAATATGTCTGACATATTAAAATACAGAAATATTTGATGTAAAATTAAATTGTATTTGATAAGATATTAAGATTAAGATGTAAAATTAAATTGTAGTTGATAAGATAAAATTACTTCGCTTTTGACACGGTGCTCCATTCATACTTGCTCACTAAATAAATAAGTATTCATATCTGTTTCAAAATAGTGGCAAGAGAGGGGAAGCATATATTATAATTATCTTTCTGGTATGTTTTAAAACATCACGGCAAAACGAACTTTCCATACATGCTTCCTTTAATGTTAAACCTTAAATATTTACATATTTATATATTCCCTATTAAAGTAATAAAAAATATATTAGTCAGTTTATTCATTTGAAAATATATATATACTCGTATATTAATTTTTAGCTTCAAGAAAAATTTTGAAAATTATTTATCTTGTCGGTTTGCATTATTTATTATGCATTGTTCATTAATTGATATTATTTATTAAATTACATAAAATCAGTGTAATGCTTTCCTTATTCTTCTGATATATAATGTAAGGCTAAATTTAATGCTTTTTAACATAATATAGGTTTCTTTTGTAATATTTAGCAATTATATGCTACCTGATAGTTGGTACGATATTGAACATACATCGGTGAGGTTTAAAAAATACTAGACAGAAACAATGAAAGAAACTAGATCTGATTCATCAAGAAAGTAGGATAACTAAAAAGTTTCATTTTATCGCATAGAGATTTTTTTCGTTTGATTTCGCTAGGCTGGAAATCCAAAATATTTTTTTTATATTGACTAAAACAGAGTTAGAATTTCTTCCTTTAAATTGTGAAAATAACAAATTTATTATTTAAGAAAATATTTCGTTATAATTACATATAAATTATACTTCATCATTGTTCTTATTTTGTTATAGGCACACGATTTGTTCAGACATTTAATTTCGGTTATGTCGCACTGGATATTATGTATGCTTATCCTGAAGATTCCGGTACTTACACTTGCAAAGCTGTGAATGCACTCGGAGAAGCTGTTACATCAGCCACCCTTAAGTGTCACAGTAAGTTGTCATTTGGTAGATTACAATAGTGAATTAAAAAAATATATTTGATTTTTAATGCTAACAATGTTTAAATTAAATTTAATATAATTTTGTGTATTTGCGAAATTTAATCTAAATTTACAAAACCTATTTTAAAAGATCGTTTTGTTTGTATTTTGCATTAACAATATAGTAATATCTCATAAATTTTTCTCGATATAATTATTTGGAATAAGTGAAATCATTATTTTTCTGCATTTATCATATGAGTCCATTGGCTTATAAATAAAGCATATTTTAACATTTTCTTTCATATACATAACTCGCCTTAGAATTCTGGTTTCAGTATTATATAATCTTTATATAAAAACGTTACTTTAAGTTTTTAAATTTCTGTATACCACCTCTGCCACTTTCCTTAAATGTTTTAATAATTAATACTTAACAGTTGTCTTTATTTTGAAATATATTTTTCTTTGTGTTAAACATCCAATTACAGAATTCGATATACTTACAGAATAATAAATGGCATAAATCCGAAATCAATTCTTTCTATAAGGAATATAGCTAACCAATGATTAAATATAATATAGTTATTTTAGAGTATATTTCGGTCGTTTAGAATAACGGAAATCTTAGAACTTCGTATATTTAGTACGAAGTAATCGTGATCCATCTTGATCCACGATTACGTGAAAGTAATCGTGATCTATATTTTTTCTAGGTAAGAGTGCTCTTATTTTGGAATCGCAGCAACCGGAGAGTCTGGAGAAGATTCAACAATTAGAGGATATGAGCCGATATCAAAAGACCTCATATATCGAAGAAACAACAACGCAGGCACCAGTTTTCACGCAAGCTATGAAGAACTTGCAACTAATGGAGAACCAGAGTGCTCACTTTGAATGCAGGCTGATACCAGTTGGGGACACGAAGCTTAAAGTGGAATGGTTCCATAATGGAATTGCTATCATGCCTGGTAATGAAAGTCAAAAAATATTTTTTTGTATTTAAGAATTTATTTTCAGTTTTAATCATAGTTCAATTTTAAATACGGGCCTGATCTTCTTTTCATCTTGTATTAACAGCTTCTAGAGTAACACTGACACATGATTTTGGTTTTGTGGCACTGGACTTGGCATACGTGAAACCAGAGGACAGTGGAACCTATACCTGCAAGGCAACTAATGAACTCGGACAGGCTGTATGTTCAGCAACTTTAGCTGTTAGAGGTAAATGAGTCTGTTATTCAATCTTCATCTCTTAATAACTAAAGCCATAATAAAATATATTCTTACTTGTTATTACGAAAATAATGGAAAGAATATGAAGATTTCAAAATATCTGTCTAATAAAATATATAATTATAACTAAGAAAAAGGCTTATCTGTAATATTTCTAATACCATAAAATAGGATTTTGTTTGTTAAGGTAATGCTGAATGTTCTACCATTTTCGTCGTCGTATTGATAATACGCGTCGGTGCAGTCAATTTAGGATGCTAAATATACCTTATACAGCAGCAGTTTTCACACTGCGGTAGTGGTTCTCAGCCTTAAATGCTTCTTTCATTCTCATCGCATATCGCAATCTCATGCCTCCACAAATATATTTTTATTGTTTTTATAAGTCATGCATTTCAGTAAAATTGAAAATTGAAAATTTGGATTTTAAGGCGCTAGAAATACTTATAAAATTAAATCTATTAATTTATTATATCTATTAATTTCACTTCGCTTACTAATACGTTAATTTAACTTTTTTCACCCTTTTTGATTCACGTGAAGTCAATCACGCGTTAACTGTATTTGCCGTGATCCTTTGCTATAGTTTCTTTCTATTACAAGGAGGCTAAAAATAATCCTCCCTGAGACAGTTACTCGTTTGGTGCATATTCCCCGCTGGTTGAAAATCTCTCTTTCCATGGATTTTTGATCCATACGCATTGCTTTTGCCAGAGGTTTAGCAAAAAATAACACAGAACGGACTGGCATTTCGATTTTAGCTTTGTAAAACAGATGGAAATTTAAATTGCCTTTTAAATTTCCATTTTCCTGTAACCCTGTTATTTAGCTTTTCAGACAACGATAAAATTGATCTTACCTTGAGGTCTTTACTGTATAATGACTGGTGGGCTTGTCTTAATTAAGTAGGTGACAAACTACATATGCCAACCCCTCTAGCTTGTGCTATGGACTTTTGAGACCTATAAAATCCCGAATGAAATTGGAAAACCTTTACTTTTTGTTTAATGTCTTAAATCAGGTTTCTCCATAGTGCATCTTTCCTTGCATTGACTGGCCCCAAGACAAAAAATTAGCTATCCAAAATCGATTCTTGATAAAATTTAAAACTATCTCTAACTTTTTCATCCAAGTGAGGTAAGTTATAATATAAAAACACATCCATAATAGTAATGTTATCGAAGTGATTCAGTTTGATTTTATATGTTCCTTTTATGAAATGTTTTTCTAGAAAAGTATTGAAATTTTCCTTATTATCATGATAGGTTCAAAATCCTTGCTTTTGGAGACGCAACATCCAGAAGGCTTGCAGAAGATTCAGTATTTGGAAGACGCTAGCCGTTACCAGCGCGAGACCATTGAGGAAACTCGAGTAGAGTAACATCGCCACCAGTATTTATAACACCACTTTCAGGACCTAACCAACTCGTTGAGGGACATAGCAGTCATCTCGAATGCAGAATAGAGCCCTACCCAGATCCAACCATGAAGATTGAATGGTTCTTCAACGGAAAACCTCTGCCTTCAGGTATGTTTGAGTGTTTTGTGTTATTTGTTTGACGATATCTAAGTTAAATAATATTCAGATCATCCGATGAATGCATCCAATATTACACAAGTGGACCCTAATTTAGAAGCTGAACTTAATTCTTGTGCAACTAACTTTACTTTTTGTCATTTATTGTCATTTTAGGTATGCAGGTAGGAGGTGAATTATAGGGTAGTTACTTGTAATTTTCATTAAGCTCGAATGTTAAGATGCTTTTTGGAATCCTACAAAAGCTAATCCCCTCAAATGATTTCTCCTAAAATATATTATGTATGCCGTTTTTTTCTCATTGTGGTTGTAACCGGTTTCAGTTAATAGCTTTAGTTTTGAATGTTTTAAACTAATCCAAAGAAATGGTTGTTTTGAGAAGAAGGTTACGAAATTTGCTGCTTAAATAAAAACCATATTACGCTAATGAATCTCAAAAATAAAGTGAACATAAATAAAAACGATATCTTTCTTTCGGATTTCTAGACAGCAACTATACTTTAAATAGTAATAATTATTTAGTTTATCAAAAATATTGTACTACTGCTAAAATATTTGATATAGTGAGGTGAGAATATTATGTATCTGTTGATCCTATGCTATTGTTCAATCTCTAAAACAAAAAGGTAATCAGATATTAAAAAAGGATTAAGTTGTCCCAAGACTGTTAAGCCTATTCTTGCTATCTAGCGAAAATTAAGTTGCATGTTTAAATAACGATCCAGCAAAATTGCCAATGAAAAGCTGTTAAGAATTTGGGGAAAATCTTTGACTGCTGGAATCCTTTCAAATTTGAAAAAAGAATTTCATGGCTAACATTAAGCTTTTATTTTAATTTGTTAAGAAGCCGTGATTGATTAAGACCCTTAAATAATACTGGAATTAAAAGAACACCCTTTCATCTACCTTGTGATTCCAGCACGATTGTGGAGATTGAAAATTTATTGAATTTAAAATGTTATCTGGTGTTATTAAGTACTTTCCAACCAAATAAACTGGAAAGGCGATTACTGGGCAGCATATCGATAACTGGAGAAGTTTTGTAATTCTATAATGGATTAAGAAAAATTATAATGCTGAAAGAATTTATTTTACTTTTATATTTTGTACTACTGTTCTTATTTATAAGAGCTAAGGAGTATTTTTAATATAAAAGAATTTTCTTAATTTTATAATTTCATTAATCCTTCTTTCTTTCATAGGATCACGCTACCGAACTATGTTCGACTTTGGATTTGCTGCATTGGATATTTTAACCGTTTATGCAGAGGATTCTGGTGAATACACAATTAAAGCCACAAATAGTCTCGGAACATCCTCATCTTCCGCTAGGATCAATGTTACAGGTCAGTGTTTTCATATGTTAACCAGCCTTGGAATGCGTGACTGATATTCGCATGCTGTCACTAAATCATCAAGCGTATGAACACTTTTGCTAAATTATTTAACGAAGCTGTAATTCTTATTATTTTATTAACAATCAAAATAGTAAATTTATTACTTTTAACTCTATTGGATTTTTAGTGATGAGGTACTTCTTCTAAGATATGTAAAACAAAATGGAGAAACTTAAAAAGATCTTTATGTAGAAGCCATGCCCCTTTTATCTGACTGGTCCGAGTCATGTATACATCTTCATACTTTTCGACATGATTAGCTGAGGGAATGCAAAACAGTTCATTCTCCCTCAGGGCAGTAAAACGGTAAAATAAAATATTAATGTAAGTGTAAACTATAAAAATATTTCAAACTTAATTTTTCATAATTTTATGAAAAAAGAAAAAGCTATGATCCTGTTATTAAGTAAATAAAAAAATTAATTGTAAGTTAATGAATAAAATTTTACGATTTAGATTTGAATAATACAGAAATTAAAATATATTTAAATAGAATATTTTTTATTTGACTTTTAAAGGAATTTTTATTTGATCATATTCCCCAAATTATGTATGTATAAGGAGAAGAGGCATCTATTTCTGTAGTTTATTGAAATGTTGCACAAATTTATTACTGCTAACTGAATGTTGTATGGAGCTAAATAAAGGAAAAAAATTGGGATTTTATGCTTGAAACATTTAATGATAACTATATTACATATGAAAGAAATTTTCTTTGTAATGGTAGCAGAATACTTTTCAAAATATTGGACGCGTGTAAATACATCTGAAATTTTATCTGAAAGCTTAGAAATTTAGTAATTTTCTAAACAATTGAAAAAAATAGTCAAATTAAATAATTCTTAGGTGAAGAAAACTAAAATTTACCTAATGTAAGTATAATATCAGTAAAACCAAAGGTTTTTGGCCTTCAACACGTTTTCTTTATGTATATAAAGTAGTCTAAAGTTTGTATTTATTTATAAACACAAATTACCTCAAGAAAAATATATTAAAATGCACTTTAGATACCAATCCACATGCGACGTTAAAGAGTATTATTCATAAAAAGTATATCATTTTTCAAGAATAGTTTAGATTCTTTACTTATGGGGCTGTATTAATGTGACTTTTTAAATATGTCTTTACAGCAAAGAAGAGTTTGATCCTTGAGTCTCAGCAACCAGATAGTTTGCAAAAGATCAGGCAGTTGGAAGATACAAGCCGATTTGCCAGGCCCGAGGAACCGGAGCGAATATTCGATAGGCCAAATTTCGGCAGGCCTTTGTACAATTTAGACAACTTAGTTGAGGGCCAAAGTGCACATCTGGAAGCAACACTAACTCCTGTCAATGATCCAACAATGAGAGTAGAGTGGTACCATAACGGAGTGACTATTAAGCCAGGTATTTTTTTAAATAAACAAATTATTTTTGTTCCATCAGATAATACACTAAATCATAATTTTAATTTATAATGAGAAATAATTCTTATTATAAGATTGGTAAATGACAAAACCCTGCTTTTAATTGGTAATGATTTTTTAATTATTTTAAACATTTAAAATTGTTCATGCAGCATGGTTGCAGCATAAAGCATTAGAAAATAAAATGATAATATATCAAAACCAAGTTTTGTGTTTTAGTTTATATTTAATCTCTAGTGTGAAGCGACAAAGGCTATATATAGGATAGAAATATTTGGATCTGAATATAAATGAATGTTTGGTTTTACATTTTTATGAATTTATTCTTATTATTCACTAAGAATTGAAGGCCTTCGTTTCAATCAGTGATATTTTTATGATTTATTTAACAATAGGAAAATAATACCAAATAATGGATGTTTCGATTTCTACCACTTTCACTTGTTCTTCTTTAACAAAAAAAAAGTTAATAGCTAATATAAATATTCTTTTTTATTCCAGCTCATCGTTTCCGAACTACATTCGACTTCGGATATGTCGCACTTGACATTTTACATGTTTTGCCTGAAGATACCGGAACCTACATGTGCAAAGCTGTTAATAGGATGGGAGAAGCTATCACTACATGCTCTATTAAAGTGCAAGGTAAGGCTATAAAACTGATGCTTTTTATCTGAGAGAGCGCAAGTTTAAAATATATTAATTTTAAATGATAATTTACATAAACTTCACTGACGCATATCTAGCCAGTAGTTATAACACAACTTTTATGATCGGGATTAAATTGATACTATATAATTATAAACAATCTGTAATGCATATCGTAAGATTTATAAATGTTCTGCTATTTTCCCATACCATATCTTAAATCACATATGCTTGCTGTAAAATGAAGTTCAGTCTGATAAAATTTATAGTAATATATTATAATGTTTAATATTTCAGCGGTTAAGTGAAATAAATGATAGTAAAAACTTCTATTAATACCTAACATTTTACTATCTTATTCTTTTTGAAAAATCCGGATCTCATTTATTTGTTTTAACTCTTTTTTTTAATAGCCAAAGGGTCCATTTACACGGACACTTTGCATGAAGAAGGTCTGGAGAAAATCCGTGCCTTGGAAGAACAGTACAGACCTGCTCCAGAAGAGCCAGTCATTCCAGTTTCTCGTCCTATCTTCCTTACACCCCTCAAGAGCCAAGAGAATATCAAAGAAGGCCAGCCGGTGCATCTGGAATGCAAGTTGGAACCTGTTAATGATCCAAAACTGAAAGTGGAGTGGTATGTCAACGGCATCGAGATTAAAGCAGGTATGTTATGAATAAAATTAAACTCTAATTGTATGCTTGTATATTTTGTGCTCTTCTCCTAATGTGGGAATATTTAAGGCTAAAATAATTAAGATTTGATAACAAAAATATAATTAGCAGTTTTGCAATGCAAATGTAAAAAGAAATTGTATAGAAATGCTTTAGATTTTACAAATGTGTTATTCTTTCCTTACAGGTCATCGGTTCCGAACTATCCATGACTTCGGGTATGTAGCTTTGGACATTCTGTACAGCTATGCTGAAGACAGTGGCACCTACATGTGCAGAGCTGTTAACGAGCTTGGTGAAGCCGTTACGACTTGCTCCGTTAAAGTGGAAGGTAAAATATATTTTTGATTTTATATTAAAAACCAAAATAATGAGTAATCTGTTAATTTCAAAGAACCCTTTTCCGAAAAAAAGAATTCGGCCACTGCACTTTTCTTGATAAATAAGAGAGATAGCTTTAAGATTGCAATGGCTTAGAGTTTTCTTGGACATAGACAAATGATGAAACTAAGAGTGTAACTTGAAAAATATTTGGGCTTTTTTGTATTCTTGAGTATCTGATTTTTTTTAAGAATTTCGTATTTGCAGAACTTATAAACTAGATTAGCAACTTAAAAAAACAATGTACAAATCATTTTAGCTCGCCGAAGCATTTACTACGATACCCAGCATCCTGAAGGGTTGGAGAAAATTAGAGAATTAGAAGGCCAGACTAAATATCATCCAATTGAAGTAGAGGAGAAGCCAATCTGCAAACCATACTTCGTCTCTGAACTAAGAGGTGCAACGGAGTACATGGAAGGGGATTCTGCACATTTCGAGTGTCGTGTTGAACCAGCCTATGACTCAGAATTGAAGGTGGAATTCTTTCACAATGGCAAATCGCTTCCTGCAGGTAAGGAAATTTTCTATTTCTATCTTAAACGTACTGAAACTTTCAACTGAGCTCAAAATACTCTTTTATATGATATTACCCTTAAAGCACTGGAAAAAGACATATTTTTAATCTTTAAATTTTTTATTTCTACCGCTGTTAAAATTTCGTTTCAAGTATTTGTCTTTAAAGTTATAAAAAATAAATATTATTTACTAATTATGAAAAATAAACTATTAATTATGTTTTGTGATCTCCAAGTTGAATTTTGTTTTTATTTTTTCATATAGCTGCAAGGTTTCATGTTACTCTGGACTTTGGCTATGTAGCGCTTGATGTGAGTCATGTGTACCCAGAAGATGCTGGACAGTATACTTGCAAAGTTTCCAATAAACTAGGGGAAGCGACTAGCAGTATCAACATCAGAGTACACAGTAAGCCTTTTTAAAAATAAAATACATAAAAAAGTTCCGTATGACAAGGAAATTAAATGCAAACAAAGGTTCCATTAATCGCTGTGTAAACTTCTTGCCTTTAATAACATAATAACAAGCAATTCAGACTGCGTTATTCACAATTATCGTCCACACAAAACTGTAAGAAATAAAAGCAAGCAGATGAAATTAAATAAAATATTTTTAAGAGAATTCTAGATTAACGCAGCGTTAATTTATAAATTAAATGTTTCACTGCAGCTGCAAAGAACTAAACACAAATTATAGTGCCAATAACAGAACTGTGATATCAATGCATTCGGTGCATTATCAAAAGAAAGTAGGTAATTAAGCAGAAAGTATTGTATTAACTGGATCTGTGACTATAAATTGAAACAAATTACAGCTACAAGCGTGTTATTAATTTTGCGCTCTTACCACTCACATAGTCTACTTACAGGCAGATTTTTCAACTAGCAGGCTCTACCTTTTGGATATTTTTACATTTGAATATTTCTATAGAAGGCTGTGATTAAGAAACGAAGAGCAAAGACATTAAAACGTAAAAAAGAAGCAATTAGTTAAATTTATGGACTAACAACTGAAATATCAGCAACTAAATGAATGTTTATTGCACTTACAACAACTGTTTCTAATATTAACCAAACCTTTTCTGTACAATAAAATTGCTGTATTTTGTTCAGTATTATTTTGCAGTTCTGAACATCTTTCACTGAGTTCATCTTTCCTGTGCAATAATGCTTTAATGTATATTAATATATTATAATTGATGACGCTATTTTACATTTAGGTCGTTCCAGTATCATTTCGGATACACAACATCCTGAAGGTCTTGCAAAGATCCAAGCTATGGAAGACGAAGCTAGGCGTCCAGCTCCAGAGTACGTGGAGAAGAGGACTTTCCAGAGACCAGTTTTCACAGCACCACTCCAGAACCTGGACATGTTGGTTGAAGGAGATAGTGCGCATCTGGAGTGCAGGCTGATCCCTGTTGGAGACCCTACTATGAAAGTAGAATGGTTCTTTAATGAAAAACCGCTGCAACCAAGTACGTGCTCTGCTGTCTTTAGATGTCTTGTAAAAAGATCGCATAAAAATACGATTTCTGTTCATGATATTAAATCACTAAATTTTAGAATAATCCCATCAATAATATAGATTGATGTTGGTTCTATAAATTATTGCACTTTTAATTTTTTCTACCAGATAAAAACTATATTGATACGTAAACATTCTATGAAAGTTTGTAGTAAACCACATCAATTCTAATAGATGAATCTACTCAAAATTTTACATGCAGGGGAGCAATGATCCCAAATTTTATATCTGTTCCTGAGAGAAATCAAGAAACGCATGCAAGCTAGTTATACGTATAGTAGATGAAGCGTTAATTGCATACATTTAAATAAAAAATGAGTTTCTGAATTGATTTCACTGGTAGAAATTCTAAATCAACTAATTTGAAGAATGCAATAAAATTTTAAATATGATACGTGAGAAAAGTTCTCTTATTTTTCATGCCTCTCTTAAATATATTATTTTGGATTTCAAAATTTATTGCTGTTTAATAAAATGTGTAAAAATTATTTTCGTGTTTTATTAACGTACAAAAATTTATTATTTACAAATTATATTTTATTGTTTCTCCTGAAAAGGTTCCAGATTCCAGACGACACACGACTTCGGTTATGTGGCTTTGGACATTCAGTACGTTCGACCAGATGATAATGGTGTCTATATGTGTAGAGCCACGAATGAACTTGGTGAAGCTGTTACCACAGCATCTGTTAAAGTCAAAAGTAAGTTAAATATTTTTGGATGATTATAACATTCATGTTTTTAATTTTTTTCATCTTTATCTGGTAATCTAAAATGATCTCTGTTACTGATTTTGCATAACGAACCACATAATTGTTCTCTTCAAGTATGTGTAATGCCATTTTGTGAGAATTACGTTCTGGAAATTTTTTAGAATATCATCTTCTAAATGCAGTTTAATTTCTAGAATTTGTGAAACTTGCTGTACAATTTACTATCGTATAACAAAAATATAATTTGAAATGCTCTGCTTTTTTAATAGCTAAGGCTTTCATTGAGCTCCAGAGTCACCATCCAGAGGGATACGAAAGGATTCAAGAATTAGAGAACTACAAACAAGCTCCGCCTATGGAAGAGCCAGAAAAAGTGTTCGAGAAACCTGTATTTACCATGCCTCTTTATGGTCCAAGCGAGGTGATAGAAGGTACTCCCGCCCACTTCGAATGCCGCGTCGTTCCTATTGGCGATCCAGATCTCAAGATACAGTGGTTCGTGAATGGAGTGGCCTTAAAACCAGGTACATAATCCATTTTGTTGAATGAAAAACTTATCGAAAATTATTTCTTAAGACAAATCCTTAATATGTTAAAATTTTGTTCGCATAAATATTTGTTACCAGAAAAGGATATTAGTAGAGATGAACTTCTTTTAGTTTTATGTGGATGATCTAATCTAGGATAACAAAAAGACATTTTGTAAATTCCCCAACTTAACCATAATATGCATTGAGTAGGTCCTTGTTGACAAATAGATCATAACGGCTGGAACCTAGTACCATTTCGGGATATTCAAATTATTCTATAGTTTTATTATTCGTTCTGTAATCCATCTTCCTTCACAATTCTGTCCCTTCCTATGAAAACAAAAACGTGACTTTTGAGGGCCAAGTAAGAACTGTATGTTGGTCTATCATTATTGCAATTACGCCCTTGTGCGAGTGAGGTATGATTACTCCAGAACGTAAAGATCAAATATCGAAAAACGCATTCAATTAATGAATTGGTTTAAATTCCACTTAATTAACACAGAAGTTCAATATACTTAATATTCCCGCAAATACTCCTATCTATTCAGGAAGAAAACCGTAAGGTCAAAAATAACTATCGCGCAGCGAGATGTTTTCTCAGGCTTTCCAGCTAATTCCTAATCTCTTACCCAGGCTGCGTCTTCTTTAAAAATAATTAAATTTGCATACTTCTGGATTCAGCTGAATTGTAAATGAGGGCATCAAACGTAAAACAACGAAAGAATTAAAGTGCTAGTGCAAAGTTAAAATAAAACAATTTATTTCTATTACGGGATTGAAAGATTAAAAATGGTTTCGAATAATGACTTGATAAATAAAAGCCTGCAATCTTGTTTCCTTGTCAATACCAAAATTTACTTTTATAAGATAAGAAAAAGAAAGATTGAAACGTGAGATTGAAGAAAATGATTTCGAATATTGATTGTAGACAGCAGTCAAAAATCATTCGTTTTTAAAAGTACAGATTTCAGCTGGTAATAATGTGACAAATTGCATTTATTTTTAGGGCCTTTCTTTACTCTTGAATAGCTTCTACGAATAAAATAAGTTTGCATTTTATTGATATTCGAAGAGCAAGTTGTAAATTTTTAGTGAATGCTGTACTTTAATAGTTTTAGTTTATAATTTTATTCTTGCATCTAGTACGGTACTTTACATTTGAATCGCTGCTTGATCACAAAGAAGTGTTGCACGATTTAGCAAAAATGAAGCCCTAAATTGTTCCGATACATTTTTCTACGCTAAATATTTGAATCGTGCTTGCTTCTCTGTACAAGCATGACATTCAGCCTATAACTATCTCTGCTAATAGTGCAAACAAATCCTGGCCAAAAATGAAATAGTAATAGGCAGTTTTATTGATCTTTATTACGGCCATTTTTATTTATCTTTAATATTATTGTTATTATTTATTATCAATTGGATGGAAACTGCTAAAGATGTCGGAAAAAGAAATACATTTTTGTAAAAGAAGGTCATTTCTGCACTAAATATAATTTTACATGACAATTAAGCGATGTTTATGAAGAAAAACATGTTTCAAGTGAGTTAATGACTGTTAATGTGGTCTGTTGAGTGTTTTAAGATATTAATCTGGAACCATTATCGATGAGTTCCTTGTCTTTTATGGAGGAATGAAAAAAGCCATACATGGAGCTATACCTAATCATAGCGAGCTCATTTCGGTCCCAATAGAAATAATATTTACAAAAGATTTCGCTTAAATATATTATTTATATCCTGTAAAATTATACCTAATAAAAATAATACATATTATACTGTGAAGTGATATTCAGATTTTATTTTATTTTTTACTTATAGCTTCCCGATTCCGTGAGATTCACGATTTTGGTATGGTGTCCTTGGACATATCATCAACTATTGCAGAGGATTCTGGCGTCTACATGTGCAAAGCTTACAACAAGGCAGGCGAAGCAGTAACATCGACTTCAATGGCCGTTAGAGGTTAGTTTTTTTAAACAGTCATATTATAAGATCTTTTATTCTCTCTTAACGAGTTCCTTATTGCAAGTATATTTTTAGAATAATAAATCGGCTTCTTTTGATGGTGGTAACGTTCGAAATGTTTAAATCTGTATCCATCTATTGCATGTATACAGTTCATGTTCATTGAAGTACTTATTATTACGTATAGTTCTGCACAGAATTTCAAATTTGACATCAATATGATTGATATATTGCCTTTAAGAATGAGGATTTTTTGGTATATTTATTTGTAATATTATGCCAAATGACCAGATTGTTAGTATTGTGACGCAAAACAGTAATCTGGCTTTCTGACCTAAACTTCATGAATCTTTCTCCTTTACTTTTAAAGTAACTATTTACTAAATGAGACTTTTTAAATAAGCGTGTTTCTTAACATTTATTAGCTCGTTCAAAAATTATGGAAACATGTTAACATTTAATCAAACACTGCGCACTATTTATGTATCGATACTTTAAACTTTTTTCAATGTACGTGGGAAACAATATTTTTTCCCATAATCGCAACTATATTTTGCACAAATTTTCATTCATTATTATTATTTGATGATTTAGCTCGGGGCGGAGTTTTGGGTGAAAGTCAACACCCAGAAGCTTATGAACAGACCCAGAAATTCGAAATGGGACCCATGCCTGTTAGTGAGCCTGAGCCTGCACCACCTAGGGCTCCATTCTTCACCGAACATCTGGTGAACCATGACAAACTTATTGAAGGCCAGTATGTGCATCTTGAAGCACGCGTTGAACCTGCAAATGATGAAAAGTTGCGCATAGAATGGTACAAGAATGGAAAAACTCTTGTGTGTGGTAAGCAAACTTTTAATGTTGAAAGTAGTTATTCAAACTATGTGAGTTATCTTTCTTTCTGTCTTTTTCAAGTGACCATTAAGGTATTGTTATGCACCACCAAGAAGCCAATTTTTCTATATTTTGGATTAACACATAGCGCTCTATACGTGAGAATAACGTTATCATTTCATGAGTGGGTGTTTCTTCTGTAACGAACGTATTTTTTGATAGGTAATGGATGCATTATAAGTGGCATTAGTAATGTTCCTAAGGAGAGGTTTAGTACTTCTGAGTGAGAAGTTAATACGAATTCTTTGTTTTGGCTGACTAATAAACACCGAAGAATTACTTTCAGCAGATTTACAGAAACGACGTCGATTTGCCATTTTGCACTAAATACGTCGTGGTAGGGTCGGCGCTAAGCATTTTGTTGCCCCGTTAGGTCCTAAATTCTGCTGCCCAACGCCTCTTTAAATTCTAACAATTTTGCCATCCCTAAAATTTACTGCTTATAACTTCTTTTACCTCTAAAAATTTTACCACCTCTAAATTTTGCTGACCGGTGCAACCGCATCTTGTGCACCAGCAGTAGTGAAGGTAGAAGTACATACTCGGATTTTATTAAATATCAGCCCATTTTCCGCAAACGCACTTTAAATTGACTCAGATGTATATATCTTAAATTAAAAGTGAATTACTGTTAAACAAATGACTTATGCATAAATAATTTAATGTGTAAATATGAATGTTTAATGCATTCAGTACCTTAACAAAAAACAATGATTTTTGTAAGCAATTGTTTACATCTCTAAAAATAACCCAAGACGTTTTCTACAGAAGAGCGTAGTAGCCCTTGCGCAACTTGTACTTCGGTTCAAATTAAAACTACCAAACCTTCATTCCATTGTTTTGCAGAAAGTTAGAAATTTAATGTAATTCAATTAATTTTCAAGTAAATTTTATTAACTCACAATAAATTATCTTCTGCTGTTTTTATTTAAAGCATAGACTTTATATATTTATCCACTTGTGTGATGTAGCCGTACCTCAATAGACACTAATGCCGACTAGCTTTAAAAGGATCTATTAACAGAGCACACAGGAACGGTTACAAACAAAAGAAATATACATAAAAATGAAACATATACCAAATGGAACATCAAACATTTGAATAACATAACATAACATAGTAAACTATCATAATGGCGGCTGGAGGTCGACTGACCTTTTTTTCATATCGCCACGAGATGGCATTTAAATAAAATAGTTCGGTTACAGTGAGTTCATGGCGTGAATAAAATAGTTCAATTACACTTAAATAGGTCTGTTACATCCTCCCCCTCTGACTTCGTAGACGTCTCGGCAAGAAGTCAGGAACTGACATTTGTCTACTTTGTGCAGCGGGCGGAGAATCAGATGAATGGGCTCCAGTTTGACGAGGAGTAGATTTTAGCGTCACCAGCACCTTTGTGCAACAGATTCGGGTGGTATTACACGTTTCGGGCGTCCTCTTTTCTTTAAGGGAACCACTGGAGTTACACGAGCTGAGTTTTGAAACTTATTTCGATCTTGATATGGTTTCAAGGCTGAAACATGATACTTGCCGAGAATTTTGTCTGGTTCATGAGGATCGGCAATATCATAAGTGGTTGGAGATCTTGTAGTCACTATCACATAAGGACCATCTCTCTTGGGCATGAATTTAGCAGTTTTCTTCAGTGGACCTTTGCTGATTGGGTGGAGGGTGACCCAAACTTTATCTCCAGGAACGAATTTCGGTGTTTCTCTTCGTTTTTTGTCAGCATAACGTTTCTGTTTATCTTGATGCAATTCGACTCTTTCTCGTACCTGTTGTACATTTCTTGCAAAACGTTTTTCAAATATGGAGTAATTTCGGGAACAAAATTATCGTTCTCAATTACGGCTTTTATATCATGCTTTACATCATCTAAGGTTCGTAACTCTCGTGCAAATTGAAGAAAAGAAGCAGAATGTCCAGTTGAATCACATTTGGCTGTATTCAAAGCAAAGCTTATTAATGGCAGTTTACCCTTCCATGACTGATGGTCGTTACCAACAAGTATTGCTGAACGTGGTTTCAGATCTCTATTCTTCATTTCAACTGGATTAGATTGTGGGTGATAGACAGGAGTAAGACTTTGATCAATGTTCAAGATATAGCATAGTTGTTGCATAACAATGTAGAGGCATTAGGTTAATTAGAAGCAGAAAAGATGAAAAACAGCAATCGCCTTCGCCGGAATCGAACCAGAAATAGCTCAGTTGCAGAACCACTACACCACGAAGGACGCTAGGAAAGTGGGAGAAATACCTTATAACAGCACTAGTAAACTGGGTACCATTATGACTGATTATTTTCCTGGGTAACCCAAATCGAAGGGCGACTTCCTCCAAACGAATAGTGGCACATTCTCTGGCCGTGGCTTTCTTTAAAGCAAATAGTTCTGTCCACTTCGTGGCACAGTCCTGCACAATAAAAATCCATTTTTCACCAGACGGTGTTTCAGGAAGGGGACCGAAAAGATCAATTGACAAGTTCTCAAAACGTTGAGCATAGACTGGAGTTTGAAGTAAGCCAGATGGCTTTTGATTAGTGGTTTCTCCCCCTACTTTGAAGACAGTGTGATATTTGTTAAGCAATGCATCAGTTGCAAGCCGTTGGGCTGTAGTTAATTGCTGTCCTTCATTTTCTCGTAGTCGGCAGTTGTTTACAACAACTGGGGTTTCTTCCAGTACTTGGGATTGATGAGGTTTCACGAAGCTATATTTTCTTCGAGGTTCATCAGAAAAGTTCCACTTATTTTCAGCAAGATTTAAAACAATTTTAGCTTTTTGAAGAAAGTCAATTCCTAACAGAGTCGAGTTATTTTTGGCATCAGGCAACACAAGGAGCGGAGTTTTGAACTCTCTGCCTTCGAGAAGAATAATTTGTTCGGTGCGAAGTACCTCTTTTTCAGATACCAAACCATCAGCGAAAGACACCTGTAGTGTTGTCTTTTCAAATACTGCATCTTGTTTCTGCAGAATATGATAGAGGGATTCATTTGCAATTGAGTGACTAGCACCAGTGTCGGCGAAAGCTGTACCGGAAACACCACCAATACTAATTGGAAATACAGCAGTCCGAGTGGAAGATAAACAGGATCGGATTTGGATAGTGCCAAAATTTGATGAATTTGAAGTCTTTGGGGGGTTACAGTCTGGACATTTAGACTTGATAAAACCAGTTTTTCCGCACCCATAGCATGTTAAAGGAGGTCGCTTTTCCTCTGTTTGTTGCTGACCACGATTTAAAAAGGTTTTATGAGTTCCCTGTACGTCACTTGTTCGATTTTCTACTTTGTGTTTGGATGGATTAGTCGGTTTGTAAGAATAGTTCCGCCTGCCAGGAAGTTGAGTTTTATAGTTCGTATTTTTAACACGTACAGCTTCATAATCATCCAATTTCTGTACTAATTCAGATGAACTCTTTTTCCCCATGTATCAATAAAATGCTCTTTAACATCACTGCTGACTCTTCTTTTAAGCTGATTCGTCAGGACCAAGTCTTTGAGTGATTCAAAGTCTGTAACATCGAGACTATGAAGCCACTCTTCGAGATAATTGTTTAATTCGTAAGCAAAATCTTTCCATAAGGACCCAGGGTGTTTTTGGTGTGTGGTAAGTTTAATTCGAAATGATTCAGCATTTAATTTGAATCTTTGTAGCAGAATCTTCTTGATGTAAGAATAATCTTCTAATTTGTCTTTTGGTTCTCTTAAAATAATTTGCGAAATGTCTATAGGCAGAAGAGGTAGGAGATGAGTGATGTAATCTATTTGTTTTATATTAACTTTCTCACATTGTCTTTCAAAAATTTGCAGGTAGGTTGCAATGTCAGAAGTTCCTGTAAATTTAGGGATTAGGTGTTGACTATTTGTTTCAATAGCTGCATTTGAAGCAAAGGCGGCATAGTTAGGATTTGAGCTGCCAGGTTTAGCAGCTGCCAGGTTTAATTTTAAACGTTCCAATTCTAATAAAAGTTCTTGTTCTTTCACGTTGTTTTTGTTGTCTAGTTTCGATTAAAATATCTAGAAGATTCCTGGTAAAAGCCTCATCATAAGTGTCAGAATTGACGATAAGATCTTTAAGATCTATTACTCGCATAGTGTCGTTTACAGTGAAACCCAGTTCTGTAGCGAGAGTTTTTAAATCCTCTTTTCGTGCTTTGGCAAGGTAAGCCATAATTATATGAGAGGTCAGGGGGGAGGGAAAAGATGAAGTTGAATTTTTTGTTATTTCGATTTTATTCTCAACACAGTATTTTAGAATTAATAATTATACCTTTAAGTAAAATGTATATACTCATATTACACAGCATGTATAAATGTAAACAATGTTACTCGTACATTTATATACCACTATTAAACAGCATTTATAAATGTAAACAATAATACTCCCAAAGTTTATTATTTCTGAGTCGTAAAAATATCATAAAATGTCCTCATAAATTCAACTTGTCTCCAGAAAATAACATATAATAAATTGCTCAAAAATTTTTTACTACTTAGCAAAACATACAAAAACATACATAAATGTCTTACCATAAGCTTTTATATTGAAGCTGAATTCTTCGAAATCTTAATCTTAACAAAATATTAAGCTAATTAAGCAACACACATTTAGTAACTCTTTTACTTTAATTAAATAGTCATTCGATTTTATTCATAAGTATTTTCTTTCTCTTCAAGAAATATTTTTTAAGACATGCATTCATTAAAGGAAAACAATCGTATTTTCTTAAAGTATTATACCATAATCATTTTCTCAAAATGTTCGTCGAAAGATAAATCTACAAGTACAATATTTTATTTTATGTAGAATAAAACATTTAATGAGGAACAACAGCACTCAAAGGAAATAAAAATATAATAAAAGATTTGACGTAAACACATCATAAATCATCGCTAGTCTAAACATTCCGAGGGGGGCAAACATCTGCTGCTGTAAGTCAGAAGCGAAACTAATAAATTCTAATGAACAACGTCAATGAATATATTCAAACTTTAACATCAAAACATGTATTCAGTGAAACAATATTATCCACAAATTAATTTAATATGCGCATTAAAATTTTAAAATAACAAATTACAGTTCAAGAAATAACGTTTGGTTGACAGAAAGCCGTTTGCTTTCGTTTAATAATCTTATATGTAATATCAATAAATCAGATTTCAGTAAGGAATTTACATTTGCTTTAAGAAGCAGCTTATAATAAATAATCAGTTTAAAAGAACTTTAAACTCAGATTAAACGATAATGTAAACGAAATTTATCTTTTCCGTTGAAAGTGTCCAGTTGATGATTCGATGTGCTAGCAGCACGGTATGACAATTTTAATTCCAGAATTGGTTTCCAGAATTTTTGACCAGTAGTCCACACCTGAAAAGAAACTGAGCCGATCTCCAGCAACTAAAAGTTAAGTTCGGGAGTAAGAGCTTGTTAAAGCCAAACAGAAATTCTAAACATTTTGTTGCGCCATTTTGGATTCAAATTTAGTTGGGCGCCAATGTGATGTAGCCGTTCCTCAATAGACACTAATGCCGACTAGCTTTAAAAGGATTTATTAACAGAGCACACAGGAACGGTTACAAACAAAAGAAATATACATAAAAATGAAACATATACCAAATGGAACATCCAACATTTAAATAACATCACATAACATAGTAAACTATCATCATGGCGGCTGGAGGTCGACTGACGTTTTTTCATATCGCCAGGAGATGGCATTTAAATAAAATAGTTGGGTTACAGTTCATGAGTTCATGGCGTTGAATAAAATAGTTCAGTTACACTTAAATAGTTCTGTTACACTTGTATTTTAATTTTATTTATCTATTTGTAATTTATTGTAATACTTTATTACTTGATAGGTACGCGTATTCGAACAACATGCGACTTTGGTCTTGTATCCCTGGATATTGTGACTGTCCGTCCAGATGATTCAGGTATCTACACATGCAGAGCTGTAAATGAAGTTGGAGAAGCCATCACTACTTGCTCTATGAAAGTAGAAGGTTTGTAGTATCTCTTTTAATCGTTATTAATTTGTTTAATTTTCTCATTATCAAAGCATTATAGTCATTAAAAATAATACTTCTAATTACTGCTCGTCTTCAGTAAATAGACATAGTTTATGTACAGGGCTTTTAATATGTTCAAAATATTTTTTAATCGCATTTGATTTATGAACGCCATTTGTTAAACGTAATGACAGTTTGTTTTAGAATCCTGTAAGCACTCCATTTTTTCTATGGACGTATGTGTTTTAAACATGGACAAAGCGGGAATTCATTCCTAAGTTTTTAATATTTCAAATGTTTCATCTTATTGAAAAAAATAATTTTTTCTCTTCGTTATTTGAAGCATATGTGTTATTATTTTTCTCCTGGATTCTGTATACAGTTTAAGAAAGCCAACTAAAATCGTTGAATTAATTGAAATCGAAATGAGCAATTTCTTTTATTCAGGTGGCAGTACAAAAGAGTTTTAAGTTATTTAGGAGAACTTGCTTAAAGTAGTTAAAATGAATTAAATAAAAATTTCCAAACTTATTAATTAATGTTTGGGATCCACTAATATCCAGTTATAAAGAATAAGAAACGTTATTTTTGTGTGTTGTTATAGTGTAATGGTCAGCAAATCCGTGTTCGACTTCAAACAAAGTCTGAGCATAATTGTAAATCCTTTTAGGCTCCCAGACTCTTTCGTGTCTGCAAGCTATATTTGCTCGATATGAATTTGAGCTGATATTGAATTATTCGAGTTAAAATTTACTTTGGTATTAAGAGTATGTAATCGACGAGGGTACAGGTAGTGCCTTCGTCCTGTACCACGGAGGATGCAAGGAAATCGAGTGGAAGGGGCATCTTCAACCAATAAACAGTACATTCCAGGCTGAAGTCATAGCCATTACCACTGCGATTCAGCATGCAATTGACAGCGGGATCACCGATGCAATGCTGTTTACAGATAGCATGTCAACGCTATTCGCCCTAGTCAACCATAACCACACCTCCCCATTGGTAGCGGACCTCCAGAATATTCTACAATCACATCCTCAACTAACTGTAAATTTAATATGGACTAAGGCACACGTTAACAACGAGGGTAATGAGACAGCTGACCAACTGGCAAAGGAGGCAGCAAGCAACATAGCTGCACAGATGGTAACTATTCCAGCGCCACCCTCGTATCTCAAGAGAACTCTTAAGGAAAAAGGTCTGCAGAAGTGGCAAGCTGAATGGGAGACCTGTGATACGGGTCGCAGAACCAATTTATTTTCTGCCTTAGAGTGAAAACGGAGCGCCAATACTCCATACCTCCCATCACTAATTACATCTCGGGGCACGGGCCCTTTTCCCACCTATTTTGAGCGATTTGGTATCTCTCATACAGGCTTGTGCGTCTGTGGGTCGCTCGGAACTCCAGACCATTACATCTTTGAATGCCCGCTCACGGAGGATAATCACCTCCACTTGCCAGCAGACAACCAAATAGCCTTCAAACGATTCATCGTTAATAACAAAGGCACAGTGAATACCATCTGCAGAATAATCAGCCAGATAACCGCCCTGGGGCAAGACCTATGCCAACCCCACTAATTCAGGGTCTTAAGTGAATGTAAGTACTCCTCTGCATCTAAGGAAATACAGTATCTTCCTTCTGCTAAGCGCATGTACCTTCTTTATTAATAGTATTTATGTGTCATGTCATGTATGTGTTATGTTAATATTTTTTTTCTTTTTCTTTCTTTCTTTCTTTTTTTTTTTTTTTCTTAAATGTGTAACCAGTATGTTATGTAACGTATACCTTGCAAACCTAAATCTGTAATACAATATAAATAGCCAATGTATCTCTCATCTGCCCCTGTATGGCAATGTAATAAATCTTTTAAGATCTCAATAAACCTCCGGTAGATAGGGGAGGGCGCGGGACATATGCCTGTTTACCTCTGTTAAACACCAGGCGTCCCCGTCCTCCGTCACCTGTCACCTGTAAATATTCGTCACACATTTTTGAAAAGTTTGCTGGAGCAAGTACTTGATAAAAAAGTATTATAGAAAGATTTCTTTGTTGAAAATAACAGCTTCGGTGAAAAGGTTAATACTTTTCATTTTAAAAAACGTATGTTACAAATTCTCATTATTTTATTGAGCTAGTTTTCAAGTTAATTTCCTCATCTTAGGTCGGGAGAATATCATCTACGGTTCCCAACATCCAGAGAGTTTGCCACGTATTCAGGAATTGGAGTCTATGCAGCCAGTTAGTGCTGAGCAGAAAGAGCCCGTTTTCGAACAGCCCGTCTTTATATCGCATCTCAATAACCTTGAATTGAAAGAAGGACAACCGGCTCATTTCGAGTGCAGAGTCGAACCTTACAGGGATCCTCAACTGAAGATCGAATTTCAGCTTAATGGCAAACCTTTACCAGCTGGTGAGTTTTTTTTTTAAAAAAAACGAATCTTAATCCGTCAAGATTTTTCATATTTTATTCGTTAATGACGAGAAAGTTGTTAGTACTTCTGAAAGCCGCACCAAAGGGCCCGGGTGTGAATCCCGGAGAAACCATATATGTAAATTGTCTGTTCCCTCATAGGATGGCCCACCTATTAGGTGCCTCCATAATATAGTGACCAACACTTTCGGGCTTCGTATTTGTCAACGCCTCCAACGACTAGCGCCTGCCATTAGAAATTAAAGTAAATAAATAAACATTTATTGATGTTATTTTATCAGCTACATATGCGAAAAATCTTTTGAGTTATATGAAAATGTAGCTAAAATTAATAATTTTGATTTTATATTTGTTTATTTATACAAATGCCAGACATTTGGCCACTAAACCATTAGCCTTGAACTTGATTCCCAATATCTAAGAAGAGTAGAATTAAAAGATATTAGTGTAGTGCATTTGTCAGTATGCTCCTTGTCCATGGACTGTTCAGAGTTACAAAGAGTACAGACAGAAGAGTGCTTAAGTCGAATTTAAAAAGAGGGACAATCAGACAATCGTGGCCAGATAAAAAATGAAATAATACCACGGCTACAGGACGAGGAAAATCTGGAATAACTGGCTTTGAACTAGTGAGACACTCTCAGGCCTTTCCCTCATTATTCCATAAAGTTCTTTATTTTTTAAAGTAAAGATTTCACGTTTGCAATAAATGACCTTTTTGGTGTTGATTTAAATAATTATTATGATTAAATAACTGCATTAAGTATCGAAATTAGCTATTGTTATTATAGCATCAAATCTCTTCCTAAAATTGGAATTAAGAGCTTCCGATTTGTAACATTGAATTCCTTATTTATTCTTAGTTTTTAGTAACTTGTTGCAGGGCATTTCAAAACAAATTAATTCATTTTATTACTTTAATTTTCTTCTTAGCGACCCGATTCACAGTCAGTAAAGATTTTGGCTATATCACTTTGGACATTTCACATGTTTTATCTGAGGATGCTGGCATCTACACGTGCAAAGCTTCAAATCCAAAAGGCCAGGCAGTTACAACTGGATCTCTCAAAGTCATCGGAGGTAAGTAGACTCTGTTTACTTCAGATGATACCCTTCAATAATTTGTGCAATATATTTGTATAATTTTTACTTTTTTGAACTTAATTACAAATTCTACCCAAAGTTAAATCGTAACTGTGTCATCCAAACTCAGTTTTATTTTATAATTTGTATCTATTTTTAGTGATATTAGCAGTCGTAGAATTATTTAGGCTTTTAGTGATTTTTAGTCTGCATTAACAATCCAAACAACTTTTATCAATAAGGCCTTTTTTTTCTTTGTACTGTGAGTAAAAACAGACGGCGTAATTATTTTGACACGATTGTCATTGCGGTATTATAATTTTCAGAGCAAAAGAATAAAGCTCTTCATTGCTCAAGAGGCAAAGAGATAAAAATCAACCAACAAAACAATGAATGCTGCGGTTAGAAGAATGAGACATGATAGTTATGATCAAAATTAATCGATCTTATAATTATATGAACAATCTAAATCTGTATATAAAACTGTAATAGAAAAATCAGATTATTTGAACCAGTACTCATTTAAGCGGCTTCTTTGGTTTTGTGCATAAAACTGGAATACTTTTCTTAAGAAAGTATTTAGTGTTGTGACGTTTTAATTTTTTGTTTCTGACTAGATCATGAATATGTCATTGAAAAGACTACTCACCCGATGGGACAAGAAGGGCTTTCTAAAGTACGAGAAGTTGAAGAACTCTATTTGTCGAAATATCAGGTATGGTTATCCTTTTATTTTTGTTTGGATGACAGAAAACAAATTTAAACTAGAATCGTTTGAAATGTTTATCTCTAGATAAGAAATATGTTGACATCTTTACTTGAAATAATGCTTCTTTTTTTTGCTTAATAAGAATTATTTTTTTTATTGATAATATCGGTCATTGCAAAAGTAATGCGCCTTACTTTTTATTAAACGTACGTAAGAAGGTTTAAGGGATGATTACTTATAATTCTTTGGCGAAGTTTCAATGTTTCTGAAGAATGGCTTTCAATATTATAAAAATGCTATTAAATTCCAGTTTAGGACTTCATTTTCGTTAAACTATTTGCAGCATCGCTTATAATTTTTCGGCAGTTCCTTTCAAAAACGAAAAATCCTGATATCCGACATTTGATCATTTGGCATCACTGTACTGGATCGATCAGTTCCAGCTGTCGTCAATGCCGAATTACTACCGCTCCGGATATACTAAAACATCCTAGTTCTTTTTTTTAATAAATAAATACTCTAACGATTGCACTATTCAGTCTGTGTTGTTGCCACATTATTTTTACCGTAAAAACCCTTAATAAATACTGTAATAAATGTGATTTTAAAGTACCATTTTTATAGCGACGTTTTACATCATATGAAGAATTTTCGTGTTCTTTTCTCCTTTCTCTTTAATTTTCCTCATTGCAATTACACTTGTGCGATGATCGGCGAAAAAAAAATTGATTAAGTTATGTTCCAGTTTATGATATTACCTTGTTGTAAAATATTGCATTCTGACACGCCTGTGTTTCTACAGACTCATATTGAAGACAAAGAAATGCAGTATCCAAAGCCGGTGTTTGTGGTACCTCTGCTAGAAAAATATAACGTCAACGAAAGCGAAGGCATAAGGTTAGAATGCAGAGTAGAACCTGCAGCAGATCCCAAGCTTTTCATCGAATGGTTCTTCAATGGAAAGCCATTAAGTCTAGGTACAAGTTTTTTTTAATTATAATTTGTTATAAGTGGCTATTCCTGACACTTCGATTAAGTGTAAATTTATAAATATTTCTCGTTTTATTTGGCAACCTATCACTGTTTTCGAAGAAAGCAAAGTACGAGTATATTAGCTTATGCATTTTAATAACGATATCTTCCTACTGCTCATCAGTGCTTAGTAAAATAATTTCCCATGGCTTTTATAAATAAGACAGTTTCTACTAAATTCATTCTAAATTAACAGTTGTAATGAGTATTATTTATAAATCGTTCTGGTAGATGATGTTGGGTTCGAAAAGAAAATAAGCACAGCGTTGATACTTTGATAAGGTTAAGTCTTATTTTATATGATGTTTAATAACGAAGCATATGGGTGCAGTAATACAAGTAAACCACTTTAGATAGTAAAATTAAATTTTTTGAGAAATATGCGGTCCTCCACAAATAATTATTTCTTTCTGCAAATAGCGATTTAGAATACTTGATAGTTTTTTTTTTAAAATGCATCACCAGTTTTTGTAATCTTATTATTTTAATTCATACATACATCAGCTTTCAAAGAAAATGAGTCAGAAATTTAGCTGACGCCATCCGATTTAAATATGAACAGTTACTTTATTATTTTTAAGAAATTCAGTAAACTAAAATATAATTAAACTCTTCTTGTATAAAATTTTTGTTTTAAGAAAAATATAATATGTACTCTCCTTTTCAACCAAAAGAAGCAAAAAATAATGTTACATTTCCTAAAACATAAGATGATGCCCATTTGTTGCATCCTATTTAATATTTGTCTTCTCATTAGAATAACTTGATCTTTCTAAGTTCAAGAAATAACACATTATGTTAAATTAAATTTTGTAGGCACTCGTTTCCAGTTGACTAACGACTTCGGACAAGTGGTGTTGGCATCCACAGATGTGTGGGCCAGAGACAGTGGTGTCTATACATGTAGAGCCTGGAATGCCATGGGCGAAGCATTTACATCAACTACTATTCATTGTGCAGGTAAATAATTTATTTCTTTGATTCTAAACATAAATATATTTCTATAAAGTATTTGCCTCTTATAGCATATATTGTTTTTCAACTTTATTATTAATAGCGTTAGGTTCTCAAACTTACCCGATTTTTAAGTTATTAATCTCTCTGACGTTTTCGTTGAACAGGTTTTTGAAGTTACAAAAATAATTTACAAAATTCTGAATTTAAAAAATTGTGAATAGAAATTCCTAAGTTAGAAGAAAATGTAGTAGGAAAGTAATGTTATTCGTAGCTTGCTTGCTTTATGTTTTTATCCAGCATACTGATCTCTTCAAAATACATTTGCATATACTTCAAAGCAAATTCAAAATCTATAATTCATATTGTGTCCGTTTAGTTTAAGGATTGAAACTGTATATTGATTTTCATTAAATATTTTTGCTGTCGAAAAATTTAATTTTTTATTTTTTTAGTTGTGAGAAACTAAGAAGTAAAATTTACTCATATCATTTTAGCCAAAGGAACGATCTACGAGGGCACTCTGCATCCAGAAGGCGAAAAGGGTCTGGAAAGCATCCAGACTTTGGAAGAATCTCTGCTAAGACCAACTGACCAAGCTGTCACAGAAGAGAAGGGACATCCGCCTGTATTCACATCTCATTTCCAAAATCTGACAAACTTGACAGAAGGGGATATTGCTCATTTTGAGGCCACACTTGCTCCAGCTGGTGACCAGACAATGGTAGTAGAATGGTTTTTCAAGGGTCAACCTATCAAAGCTGGTAAGTCTGGCTATTCCGTAAATATTTCTTTACTGTTTTATAATTATATTCATTAATGACTCACCTCTTAAATAAGATTTAGGTTCTTATTTTTAGGACTTCTAATCTTTTCCCTAATTTACGTTGATTACCTTTAATCCATAGTATTGCGGTTTCGCCTTTTATTATCAGTTGTTGACAAATGACAAATTATTTTCTTCATTTTTATAGGCCACCGTATCCGAACAGTGCATGCCTTTGGAATGGTCGTACTGGAAATTCTTGGTGTTGTCATCGAAGACACTGGGGAATATACCTGCCGTGCCACCAACAAGTGGGGCAGGGCCGAAATCACTGTAAATCTAGAATGTGTAGACAGAATACGTGGCCAGAAACCAAAATTTACTACTCAGTTGCAGAGTTTGACTGGTTTGAAGGAAGGTGCCAGCGCTCACTTCGAATGTCATCTCATACCTGTAGGAGACCCTGCTATGAAAGTGGAATGGTTCCACAATGGAGTACCTTTGAGGCATAGTACGTTTCAAATCATCTAATATTAGCAGTGAAATACAGTAAATTTTATGAAAGTTTTTTATAATAAAGCACCTTTCATAATTTAATTTGTTTTTTCAGGTTCACGTATCAAGACACTGAGTGACTTCGGCTATGTTGTAATGGATATTTCCTTCGTCCACGTGGAAGATTCGGGAGAATATGTCTGCGTAGCCACTAATAAGTTTGGTTCTGACACAACTAGATGCGTTATAGAATGTACTGGTAAGTTAACCTTGGCTTTTAATAGCCGTAGTACTTTAACATATGTACTGTATGTACTGTATGTTTGCATAATCAAAGTATTCTTTAGCACAGCGGTTGTGAACCTTTTGACTAACGCGTACCACCTAAACAAAAATTGAAAACCTTTAGTACCATCCCTACAATGTACTACTACTACCACCACTCCTCTTGAACAAAGCTCAGATCGTATAAATTTACGAGTGTTAGAAAAAAAACTCAAACAGGATGTTGGTATTTTAATTTTTGAATTTAATAGTTAAAAATACTTTGATTCTTTGCGTACCACCTATTTTTCTCTTGCGTACCACCGGTTGAGAACCCCTGCTTTATCATATTACATGGCATATTCTGAGATTTTAGTTAAAATAATGAAAAAGAGAAAGCATGTATAAAGAGGAAGACGCGAAAATAGCATGTATGTCTGAAAGTTCAAACTTTAGTCAAAATTCAACTTTGAGTTTTCTTATAAAACTGATATTAATTTAATTGATATTTGCTACTAATATTATCCTAGGCTAATTTTGCCAAAGTTTAAATAAATAAATTTAAAATTTTTAGACACGTTTTTGCACATGTACCTTTATACTTTAGTACAATATTTGCAAAGACTGTGTTATTTCTAAAGAAAATATATTTACTGCATGTAGGAAAAATGTGTCTTTAGAGAATTAATAATTATTAATAAAGAAAGAAATAATAAATGTATCAGGAACAAAAGCATATTTAAGAGCATCGCTAACAGGGTTTCTTCTGCTTTCCCAAAAGATGAGCAAAGACAAATTGTTTGATTCAGTACATTATCGTATATTAATGTCAATATTTTACTAATTAGAGTGCTTTTGAAGCTAAAATTATTATAACTTTGCATTTAATTTAGTTAAATAAAATTTAATTACTTGTAAACTTCAAAACTTTTATATTTTATAGTACCTTAACATATATTAAACATATATGTACACTATTTTAATCATATATTGTACCACTCTAAAAAATCTTCTATATACATCCGTGACCGACCAGTAAAATATGTAATTTAAAAATTATTGTGCAGCTGTTTGGCTAGCTGTGGAATTAAATCATGTTTAATTATCCTGTGAACCTTAATTCGATTAATGTAGCTTAAAATGCGTCTAAAATTAATGAGTGAATCTCAAAAAACATGGAACTGAAATTACTCCGCATATTGTTCAGATTTTATTATACATAATAGAAGTTTATAATTTATTTTGGCCCACCAGCGGCCGAGCGGTAAAGACGCTGAACACTGGTAGTTCGGTCTGAGGTTCGAATCCCGCGAACGGGCTGGCTGCATGGGGGTTTTCGTGGTTTTCCCCATGTGTAACGTGTATACGAGCCAGTTTCCCTTAGAAAGTCCTCCACGAAAGGCATCCCTCCCTTTAGGCAGATAGCCCTCGTGTGCTTTGCCATAATTAAATACACCAATACACCAATAATTTATTTTGTCTTGTCATTGGTGATTAGAAGAAATAACTCGAACTGCAATCTAAGTATAAATCGCAAGACTTGAATATTATGTCGAAAAGGGGAAAGATATAATGTAAATTATTAAAGAAAGATAATTTTTATCCTCAGGTCATGGCAAAATATTCCGTGACACTCTGCAGCCTCAAAGTCTTGAGAAAATCGCCGAGCTGGAAGGATCTCATGCCCTTTACAAGACACAGCTGTCCATGGAATCTAAAGTCAGAGACGCTCCTAAATTTACTACACATATCAAGGATGTTCAAAATCTTGTTGAAGGACAGAGTGCTCACTTTGAAGCTTATCTGACACCAATCAACGATCCTAATCTTAAAGTGGAATGGTACTTTAACGGAAAGCTTCTCGGAGCCGGTAAGTCAGCATTTTCTACACATTTATTAACTTCCTTTTTTTGCAGTAGCTAAATTAAAAAATTTTACAGTTTAATATTCTCTCGTAAACTTGCTTAAAATGAAGCTTTAAATCTTCCTCTTTTTTAAAAAATTGTGTGTGTGCGCATGTGTGAAACAGCTACACTGTATTTTTATTAAATTAACGGGATATATTAACTTTCTGTTAATCAATTGAAGTTAGCTTACATTTTTCGTCTCGTAATTGATATTTCAGGTCACCGCTTCAGGACCTTCCATGATTTCGGTATTGTGATCTTGGACATTTTATACTGTTACGGAGAAGACAGTGGCGAATATATGTGCAAAGCTACGAACAAATTTGGAACTGATGTGACAAAGGCAACTTTGAAATGCAAATGTAAGAAAAGTTTTTACTAACTTTTTTTAAATTCTATCTAAAAATAAAATATTTAATGATAGATGAAAAGGACCTAAAATTATATATAATTATGATACAGACATATAAACTAATGTTTTTTTAATATTTTCTCTTTCAGCTAAGAGCTCCATCATCTTGGAACCACAGCTTCCAAAAGAAATGGCGGATAGTAACCGTAGAATTATGGAACTTGAAGAACATCTGTACCGATCTCGTTCCGAATACACAGAGGAAATTCATTTGGAAGCGCCTCGATTCACTGTGCCCTTAGAGAACATTACTGATCTCCGTGAGGGAGAAAATGCACATCTGGAAGCCCGACTTACACCAACAGATGACCCAGATCTAAAAGTAGAGTGGTTCAAGAACAGCAAGGCCCTCAAAGCAGGTTAAAATTGACTTTATCTAATGTATAAAATTTTATGTATTATTTCTAGATTAACTTCACACTCACTTGACAACTAATTAGTCTTCCGGTGGTTTTCAACTTTTCTATGTTCCAAAGGCATAAAAAATGTTTAATCAGTGTTGATAATTTTTTATGTATTTGCACAGTAGCGGTATGCACACTAATGTTTAATTTATAATTTTTAGCAGGGCGAAAAGGGGGTTATCATTCATGCAATCTTAACTCAAAATTTGAGGGTATAAACCATTCTAAGTTCTGTTACAATGATAAATTGTCCTAAATCAGCGATCCTAACTTGGTGTGCGAGCACAGACATGGCGGTCTGGTTTACGGCAAGTTATTAAGGGTTAAAAGGGTTTGATTTGTATTCTACGTAGAGGGAAGATAACGGATAATTGAAATTTTATTCATTAACAGAGTCTGCAGTTGCACAAAATTCTCAAACATTTACAAATTAAAACTCTCAAACTTGCAGATCGACAGCTGCGATACACACATGTAGTTGCGATAATACACAACTATGATGAGTTCTTGTAACTATTTATAAATATTAGTCACTTACTATACTGAAGAAATTTCTATTGAAAGGAATTTTAAATCAAATTCTTAGACGGATAAATGAAGTTTTGAGTAACTATATACAGGCAATTATAAAATGGACCAACTCAGTCCTATAACAAATGATTCACATATAAATGGCTTTAGAAGGCATTTCAGATTTCTATCAATTCTTCGGTTACAGCCGAAAACATCGCGACAAAAACACCGCGGCCGAAAACGTCGCGGAGAAAACAACGCAAGGCGAAAACTTCGTGCTACAAAACATCGTGGGAGAAAACATCGCAGTTCTAAAACATCGTGGTACAAAACATCGTCGTCGAAAATAAAGCGGTTCAAAAACTTCGCAGTTTTAAAACATCGTTGTGGAAAATATCGTGGTAAAAAATAAAGTATCTACAAATCATCGCGTGACGATAACATCGCAGACATGCTTTTTTGCAGGCTATAATAACTGTAAATGGATATTCCCATAATGATTTGTGAGCGCAAGATGTAAAAAAGGATAATTTTTACTTTCACATTTTTTTATTAATTAATAAATTTTTGCTGAAAATGTAAGAAGGAAACTTAAGAATAGAAAATTAAATGCAACTTATAGATTATACTTTTCATGAAAAATTACCAGTAAAAACTTTATAAAAATGATTTATTAATGGCCTTTGTTAATTAAATATGTCAGTTTAAAATTCTACTAAGTGCTATAAGTTGCAATAATTTGCTATGCTTAAGTTTCCTTCTTATTTTCTCAGCAAAAATTTATTAGTTAATAAAAAAATGTGAAAGTAAAAATTATCCTTCTTTCCATCTTGCTCTCACAAATCATTATGGGAATATCCATTTAAAGTTACTAAAGCCTGAAAAAAGTATGTCTGCGATGCTATCGTCATGCGATGATTTGTAGATACTTTATTTTTTATCACGATATTTTCGACGACGATGTTTTTTAAATTGCGAAGTTTTTGAACCGCTTTTTTATTTCGACGACGATGTTTTGTACCACGATGTTTTAGAACTGCGATGTTTTCTCTTTGCGATGTTTTCTCCCACGATGTTTTGTAGCACGACGTTTTCGCCTTGCGTTGTTTTCTCCGCGAAGTTTTCGTCCGCGATGTTTTTGCCGCGATGTTATCGGCGGACACCAATTCTTCAATGTATAAACGTATAATTACAGTAACATCAGTTTGCCCAATAACATTAACAATGTATTAAATTCTAAGACGCGAGTCAGCATTCTTGAGAAAGTGAAGTATTTAAGTAACCGAAAAGGCTCGAAACAGAATGGAATGGCCTCGTTTTAGTATTGTTAATGAAACATGTGATAAAATTCAGTTTGGGAAATAATCTGTATTTATTCTTAATATTCGTACATGTCATAAATTAGGAATAGAAAGCTTACAATTATAAACTTGACAGATTTTGCCCAAAGGAAAAAATGGAATGAGACTTACTCATTTTATTGTAATTTGATCTCCTGAAATTAAGCCGCATGAAACTCTCGATGTTTTTAAATGTAATTAATTTAAAAAATGAACTTCAGAGATAATGCTATAAAATTTATTTTGAAGCTCTGAAGTTGTAGAACGTGTTGAAAAAGAAGATTGAAACCATGACATGAAGTTGATAGTATTCTGGTATCTGATATGTGTGCAACAAACTATAAGTAGTAAGACATTTAATTTAGACAGAGGTATCTAAAATTATATCAGAAATAATCTGTGGATTAAACTTTTGAAATTTATTTAGCGTATAAAATTTTTTTCAGTCCATCGTCACTCATTTTCACTTATTTAAAAGTTTTAAATAGCTTCTTTTTAATTTGTAAAAGGTAGGAAGACAAGAGAATGTTATGGGTTTTCCTTGATCTAGTAAACGTTCATCAGTCCAAAACCCCTAACAGACGCGAAGTGAATTATTATCTGAAAGTAAAGTCAGAGAAAGGTTTAAATAAATCTTTTTATTTAAATAGAACTTAGAACCACAGCTCATCTTTTTATTTAAATAGAACTTAGAACCACAGCTCATCTTTTTATTTAAATAGAACTTAAAACCACAGCTCGTGGTGATAAAACTAAACAGAATAGTCAAATTGAAGTTAAAACACAGAATAATAGCCAAAGACTACACAATTTAAATATACTCTAGGTTGACTCAGTAACTCTACCGGCGTATCAAATTCAGGTATCGGCAGCGATGTAACTGAAAGCCGAATAGTTGTAACTGAACAAATCTCATCGGAAAGTTTTTAAAATTTGTTATGAATATTATCAACACCAAATTTAAAATTAACAGATTAAAGAACATTTGTGAAATTCATTTATTGTTTTCTCTTTCAAAGTACTGAATATGTTTATTTAATTAGGTACACGTATTAGAACAATCCATGACTTTGGTTTCGTTGTACTGGAAATCAGCCCTGTATATCCTGAAGATAGTGGACTTTATTCCTGCAGAGCTACTAATAAAGTTGGAGAAGCCGTTACAACTTGTACGCTCAAATGCTCTGGTAAGTGCACTTTTTGGAAATCAACCAAATATTTTAAATCGGAAATTTGCCCTAAGGCGCTTCATAAAGCATTTTTGACGTATTCATATTTCTTTTTATAGGCAAGCGCAGCATAATTATGGATACTCAACTGCCTGAGGGTATGGAAAGCATGGAGAAGATCGCTCGATTTGAAGATATATCATCTGCGCGCATTGCCGAACAGTGGATGGACGTAGACGTACAACAGCCTCCAAATTTCATAACAAAACCTAAAGATCTGACTCTGTCTGAGAATACCCTTGCTCATTTTGAATGCAGACTCACTCCAGTGAATGATCCAACCATGAGGGTAGAATGGTACTTTAATGGAAAGTCCCTTGTTACTGGTAAAATTCTTTGTGCCTAATGCTTCCTTTTTCTTTAAGTTTTGAATTCCCAGATTTTTTTCCATAATTATATTTTTCAGTGTTTGAAACGTTTTAAAACATAATCAGTTGCAGTTTTTTTTTAATATTTTGCTACCTCTGTTCAAATTTTAATCTAAATAATATAAACCAGTACATTCATAGTATAAATATATATTTATGGTAAAATATCAGCATTTACGCATTTTTAATTAACTTTCCTGATTTAATTTTTAAATTTTTTATTTTGCTTAGTTTTAATATCTGGAATAAGTGAATTTTAGGATTATTTGTTGAGAGTAAAAATGCAGAACATTAGAGAGTTTTTATTTATTAATTTACTAGCAGCTTCGCTGCCAGCCTTCGTCTGGATTTTAAATGTACCTGAAAAATGGCTGAAGGAAACACCAAACGTTAAATTTTAAAACTGCATAGAATTTTACTCTGCAGAACAACTTCATAAAAAAAAAGTTATTGCGTATAACAAAATTACAATGAAATAAGCATATCCCTTAATAAAAATATTAATTATCCTAATAAATAAATTAACCAACTTCCCTTTGCAAAATCTTAAGAACTCAAATGGTATAAAGGAGGTTAAGAACTTTGTGTCATGAAAAAATCGTTCAAAACTTTTCAGTATCTTACAAACTGTGAAATGAGCAATAAATAACATAAAAGAATACAAAAAACAAAAAATTTTGAAAAGCAAAGTATAATTAATGATATTTTATCTTATATTTTCAAGAGAAAAAAATTACAATGAAATAAGCTATATCCCTTAATACAAATATTAATTATCCTAATAAAAAAATTAATCAACTTTCCGTTGAAGAAAAAAAATCACGCAAAACTTTTCAATATCTTACAAACAGTGAAATAAGCAAAAAATAATATGAAAGCAACTCAAAAAGCATAAAATTATAAAATTCCGCAGAATTTTACTCTACAGAACAACTTTATCAAAAAAAAAAAAAAAAAAAAAAAAAAAAAAAAAAAAAAAAACAAAAAAAAAAAAAAAAAAAAAAAAAAAAAAAAAAAAAAGTAAAAATCAGTAAAAATGAAATATGCCAATCTCTTAAAAACAGTGACGTAAGAAATAAGATTAAAAATTGTTGCCAAACCCATATTTCTAAAAGAATGAAACTATTCAAAATCATGCGATTTCATCAAAAATCTATCAACAACAATAAGACAGGAAAATTGTTGCCAAAATCACATTTATAAAGATGTGAGATGTGAGAAGTGTACTCGGAAGCTTCATTTAAAAATTTCTTTAAAAATACAAAATATAATTTTTCCAAACTTCTTTTTGTAAAAGCAGTCGCAAGGATAAAAGTTTAATGTATCCAAAAATCAAAGAAAAATAAACTGTACATGTTTAAAAATAAACTTTTTTAGAAAATATCCCGTTGAAAAGGTGTTAAGCTCCCTTTGTTAAATAAATTCGTATTTAATCGGTTTATTGAAACACGAAATTTATTTTAAGTTCGTAAAACAGCTAAGTGCCTACGTTTCATGACGATGTGAAAATGGAGTGTGTAGAGTAAAATCTCGCTTTCCTGTAGCCCATTATGTCTCAAAATGACGCGATTTCGTCACAAAACATAAAATTAAAAAAAAATCGAATTCGAATTTCGAAAAAATCGCTTTGAGGTGCACTGGCTCTTGTCTAGATGCACCTATGTACCAAATTTCGTAGCCGTGGGTCTATTAGCTTACGAGCAGCGCGAACGAAAGACACATACACACACACACACACACACACACAGACTCTTTCTTTTATTAGTTAGACTATTTTAACTATTAGATTTTATTATTTAGACTATTTCTTTTATTAGACTATTTCTTTTATTATTTCTTTTATTATTTGAGATAATTTTCGTATTTGATTTATTATTTCAAGCAGAGAATAAGTATTTTTATTTATTTCATTTAATAGTCTATTTTAAAATATGCTTATGCAATATTTAACTTCCTTTCAGGCACTCGCGTTAAAACCATCAGTGATTTCGGATTTGTCATTCTGGAAATTGCTGGTGTTTTCCCCAGAGATTCTGGCGTTTATACCTGCAAAGCTATCAATGCGTATGGCGAAGCATCTGTCACAGCTAAACTTAACGTGAAAGGTATTTTTACGCACAATTTCTACAATTTATAAAATAGGCAAAAAGTATAATTTAAATATTGATAAGTGTAGTATTGATAAAACTCTTATTAAGCGAAATATTTATGTAATTTTTAGGCAAAAGTTCCATCGTCATGGAGCCTCAATTGCCAACTGAATGGCGATCGGGCACCGAAAGTTTACAAAAACTAGAAGAAGCCATGTATAGGACTGAAGAAATCATCTATGATGATGACAGGAAGCTTCCTCCAAAGTTCATCACTCAGATCCAAAACTTGGAAAACAAAGTAGAAGGAGAATCGGCTCACTTCGAATGCAAGCTTGAACCTGTGGGAGATCCTACAATGAAAGTGGAATGGTTCTTGAACGGAAAGCCACTCACAACAGGTAAGAATCGTTGCATCTTGCAGAATAAGTTGCATCTTGCAGAACTATTTTTAAAACTTTTTTTACTTATTTCGTAGTATTTTCTTTCAGATTAAATACTTTATTTTCTTTTTAGGTAATGTCTTCCTCTTGTTCTTAATGTTATTGGTTAGAATGGCTTAAATAATTCCTTTATGTTTAAAATTTCTTAAACAGTTTTGACTGAAAGTACGATATATTCTTCTAACCGGCATTAAAAGTTTAGCTACTATGCAAGTGTATCGTGAATATGATAATTTTGATTATTCTAAGAAATTCTTGAAGGATTAAACTAAGTGATTGCTAAAAGCAGTACTTATCAGTATAACATAAGGAATAAACCTAGTAATTTATGAAGTTGTGCTAAAGGAAGACTGACATTTTTGTTATTCCTTAGGTACACGTGTCCATACTGTAGATGACTTTGGCTTCGTTGTACTGGATATTGATTGGCTTTTTCCACGAGATGCTGGAGAGTACATGTGCAGAGCCACTAACAAATGGGGACAAGATACCACAAAAGCTATCCTTAAAATTAAAAGTAAGTTGAAATTTACTCTTTTGATCTAAATAGCTCTATTTTAATCATTTTCAGCTAAAAACTAAAATATCTTGTATTCAATAAATGTAGTTAGATACCCTGTAGAAAGCGCTGTAACGCTGTAAAGCATTTGAATATAGCAAACATTAATACCCCCCAGCCAAAATGAAAATATAGTTTAATAATTTTGTATTCTATCATTTATTTTCAATTCAATCGTTTTGCTCAAAATCTGATTTCGATGCATAGCTTACAACATAAATTATCCCTTGTTTATGATGAATGATGTTTATGTGAATCTTTATAAAAATGACTTTATATTGCGCTGATTATGGACAATAATAAAAATACTTAACTTGGGTATATCAATGATTCAGCTTTAAAACTATAAAGCATTTAACGTCAATCAAATAGTCGTCTGATATTTTTCTGAAAAATAAATTATATTCTTAATTCAATATTTTTACTTCCTTGCGCGAAGTAAAAAGGAAGTATTGTAATCGCGAAAAGTTTCAGGCAGAAATTTTCAACTAAAATATCCATTTTGACCACTATCGAATGCAATTTAACGATGTTTTTGCGTGATATCTGTACGTAAGGACAGAATAAAAGACTCGTTTCCTCCAAAAAAAAATTATAAAACTGCTTTAAAATTAATTCTGAAGAGAATTTTTCGTGGCGTCTGTATGAACGTATGTACGTACGTATCTCGCATAACTCAAAAACGAGTAGACTCAGAACGTTGAAATTTTGTATATAGGACTGCTATAACATGTAGATGAGCACCTCGTATTTTGGTTGCAATCGGCCGCACCAAACGTATATAAATATATTTATATATATATCCACTCTGTTACCCGGCTCAGTGTGATCTCAGTTTCTTTACTCTTATATGTTTGTAAATTGTACATTTTTTGCTTTAAAAATGATTGAATTATGTTGTTTTTATCTTCCGGTTATGGTTATCTGTGTGCAATATTTTTAGAATTATCAACAATTTTAAAGTTGTTTAAGTGCCGCTAAGCCTTTTTTTTTTTTTTTTTTGACGGCGGCCATTAATTGTTTACATTTGAAACAGCAGACTAGTGGATTTGTTGCCAATCTAGAGAAACTTAGCTTCGCAACAACAAAGATAACGCCTTCATTTATTATTGCGAATTAAATCATGCTTAATCCTTTCTGGAATTTTTTCGAGGAAATAAGTGTTTAGGATTTACTTCGTAATTTTTAATATAGATATTTTGAGTTTTTATGTATTTTTGACTTCTCGCGAAATGAGAACTGAATTAATTGAATGAGAAATACTCAATCGTCTATGAAAAACTGTTTCTTTTTTGTTTTGTTTGCTTAATTTCTTTTATACATCATTCTAGCTTTATTATAGTATTTGAATAGAAAATGTAGCAATGATTAGATAATTCTATTCTTTAAATGATATAAATTTTGTGCATTATGAGTTATAATATGAACGAAATATAATACTGTTAAGTGAATCTAGTGCCAGAGTGTCGCAATGGTAAACAAACACTAGAGTGAATTTTAAAGAATGCATTTATTCTATTGTGGTTTATGCGCTGTCGGCGAAGTAGATTTAATTAAATCCAATAAGTTTAAATGAAATGCAAGAAAAAATGCGTATAATTTAATATTCCGTACAAGGATGTCATGTGGTGTAGACATCAGATATTTTATTGTCGTAGTTCCGAAAATTTATGTTTATCACAAATGATGAAATGCTTAACAATCACAGTTTCCTTTCAAATTACTTACGTTTATCATATGTGGAAAAATTGAGGATTTCACTTATAATTCAAATATTTCTTGCCTTAGATGTCTCAATTAGTCTAATTTTAGTTATCATGTGTGAATGCATTTAATATTTCGCTTATAATTTAGCGAATAATTAATAAAAATTTGCTTTTTTCTCTTATTACAGGCAAACGTGATATCATCATGGACAGTCAATTACCTGAAGGTATGTCTTCTGAGAAACTACGAGAGTTGGATTATCCTGCTCCACAAGAGGTGCCTGTTGAAGAATCTCCTCCTCAACCACCCAAATTCATCACTCAGATACAGCCACAGGAAAATCTCCAAGAAGGGGATAGTGCCCACTTCGAATGCCGGCTGGAACCCATTAATGATCCAAAATTAAGAGTTGAATGGTATCACAATGGAAAGCCTCTCAAATCAGGTAATAGTTCAAGCATCTGAATGCCGAATTTAATTCTTTCCTTTCTAACTGTTGCCTTCGTTTTTCCTAAATTAATTTTCTTTGCAATGCTGAAGATAATCTCTATTTATATTTCAGGTCACCGATTCAAGACCACGCATGATTTTGGCTTTGTTGCCTTAGATGTTCTCTATGTATATGCTGAGGACTCAGGCGAATATACCGCTAGGGCTGTAAATGATTATGGAGAAGACATAACTCGGTCTACGCTGAAGGTAAAAGGTAAGTACATTTTGGAATTTTAAAAAAGTTAGATTTCAAAGCATTCTTACTACAGCTCTATAAGTTACTTACAGACTAGGATTTCACAATTACCAAATTATCGCATTACGATCTCAAGCTGTCTTTGCTCCGCAGACCTTCTCTGATATTCACGCATTAATCTGAAGCTAAATACTATAAGGAATCCTAGGCTATAATAAGTTAAAAGTTGTTATTTAAACATATATTTAAAATCATATATCGGATTTGTCTTTTGATTTTACATAAAATATTTAAAAATAATATTTTGTGTTAAAGATAACCGATGAGCCATAGAAAATCTGCATTAATGATAACTTAAAAAGCGAACCGTAAAAAGCGAATTATGTCTCAGTTACACTATTTGGTTTATATTACCGCATGATTTTCTGACAGTCTCATGTCTAATTATATGAGCATGCAAAATCATTAGGTATTTTTATCAGCGAGAACTCATGAAAATCCAGTTGTGCCAATATCGGTAAACGAATCCAGACCTTCAATGGCTAACTAGATTTACTGACCATTCTGTTACAAGTATCGAAGTAATCCCTATTTATTTTAATTGAATGTCTTACTCTAAATCTCGATAAATTGGCATTAGTACGCATTTACATGCTAAATGAATGTTTAATGTATTTAAATAGAGGTTTTATTATTATGACAATAAAACTTGAAGAGTTAAATGTTAAAAATGAAAGGAACTAATGAATAATCTCAAACAGGTAACGACCAACCAGTTGATTGCTTGTGTTTCCTTCGCATTTCCAGTCAGATCTAAGAATACTAGAAGTTATTCTATTGTTAATGTTTACATCTGATTTTTTTTTTGTCAAATTAAAAAAAAAACTTTTCTAAAAAACATTTTTGATAATGTTACCAATATGTATTTATGTTTTAACTTAGAAACTGCGTGTAATACAGCTGGCACAATACACATAATCATTTTTCTCATAGCTCAAAGACTTCTTGAATACAGAACGCAGCTACCAAAATCTATGGAAACAGGAGTTCAGAAAATTGCAGAAATGGAAGCATCATGGCAGAGGTACATTGCCAGATTTATTAATTTAAAATAAAGAGTTCAAAGCTCGAATTATATAAATAATTAGATAATTTTCTTTCAGTCGCATTAAGAACAACGTAAGAAAAGATCTTTTCAGTACGTTAACGAGAGGATCGTAATGTATTCTATTCTTTTACAGGGTGGTGACTGAGGAAGAAGTACCGCCTGAGCGTTGTCGTCCTATGTTTGTAATGAAACCTGAACCTCAAGTTGTAACTGAAGGAGAATGGGCGAAGTTTTGTTGCAGGGTTATTGGCAATCCTAGACCAAGGATCATGTGGATATTAAATGGGAAAACAATCGGGCCTGTAAGTTATGTCTTTAAATTTGTTACAAATACGTGTAGTGTATTTTGAATTCGCGCTATTTATTTCTGATGAGCTGTTTAAATATGCAAGAGTATATATCTTCTTCGTCTAAAGAAAGTAATTTTTAGAAGAGCATGTATCTGTTTTTATTTCAAATCATTATTCAAACAAGCATACATTTTCAGGAATAGCATTATATTTTAATCATCTGTTGTAGAAAAAGACTCATACTCCGTGATAATATTAAAAAAATTATCCATTCATAAAATTCTTAGCTTTCGTTAAAGAAAATTAATACCATCTTATAAAACAGAGATTTCTTACTCGATAAATTGCATTCTTTCTGCAAAATCCTAATTTTATTTCTAACTTCCTGTATAAACTAAAAATTTAGTTTTGAAGCAAAGTGGAGATTTTATTTTTCCTTAAGACTATATACAAGTAGCTGTTTCTAATGAAATTTATGATTAATATTTTAGGGTTCTCGATACAAGTTGACATATGATGGAATCTATCATTTGGACATTCCTAAAAGCAGGCAATACGACCAAGGAAAAGTTGAAGTGTTCGCCCGCAATGCATTGGGTGAGGCGTATTGTTGGACAACTCTCGAAGTCAGACCAAGACACGATGATTATAGATTAGTTCTGAAAAATTCACCAAGGCGTAAGTCGGTTTTTGAAAAAAATATTATTTGTAGTTTGAAAGATAATCTCAGTGAAAATAAAATGAATTTAAATTCTCATACGTATTTCATTGAGCACCTTTTTTGTATTGAAACTAAATATGAAGACTTCTTAAATGATATAATTACTTAAAACAGTTGAAATTTGATTCATTAATCTGCAAAAATAATTAGGAAAGAAATCAAAATGAATAATACCTGATTTCATTTCAACTGAGCAATTTAGAACACTTACTTGCAGGGTGGTTTTGAGTAATTGTTGTTTAAGCTCGAGTAATTGTTGTTAAAACTTAAAACAAGTTGCAATCGCTAGTCAACTTGGACATATCTTAAAGTATTACATGTAATGCGTTTCCTACGTGATTGTTGTTAAAGATAACACCTAAATTAAAAAAGATTATTAAATTATAGAATAAATAAAAAAGTTAAATTGTACTGTACAGAAATTTTATGTAACATTAAATTTGGAATATTTTATCTGAGAATATCTTCACTGAGATTCTTTTTCAGATATCTGTGCATGACTGAAAATATTGGCTTTAACTGAAAAACAATATCACATAGAAATGAAAAAGTGGTTTTGTCTTATTCTAATAACCTCATTCGGTTTTAAGTTACGTTTGAAAGAATACTGAATTATATCAAATTCTTTAATTTCTTAACAATTGAAAAGCACTTTTTTGTGAAAGTCACTTTTTCATTTCTGTTGCTAACTCAGACCTGTAGCACTCGGTCGCGGACGCATGTCTACTCTTTAACTTCACTAATGCGTCATCATTTTCTTCTAAACATTCTCGAATAGCTTTTCACTAATGACAGAACTAACAACGATCCGTAAGTAAGGGAACTCGCGTCTGCAACGGTTTGAAGAATGGAAGGATTACCATTACTGCATCGCTACAGCTCAGTGGATACAAGGGACGCTTTTATAGGTAGGATCTATCTGTATCTGTCAAGAGCGAGAGCAAACGAAAACACATTATTTATGGTCTACCAAAGAAAAAATATATATTAAATATTTTCCTTTTCTAAATGTTTTGAATTTTTGCCCACGATTTTTCAAAAAAAAAAATGTAATGCTTTATATTAACGAAATATATTAAGTGAAAGTTTTACAAACTATTCAGTGTCTTCTAAAAATAATTTTGGGTTTCGTGTAAGTTAATATGGCAGCTTTAAATATGCTATTATTATCCAGCATAACTTTGAAAATCATTATAATATTTTCTTGTATACATCAAAAATTGTAACTACTATGTCGCACATCAAAATTATTTTCGTCCTCTTTCCGTATTCAAACCAGCATGGTCATAGTTAATGCTTGTAAACGCTAAAGTGATTCTTTTATTCAACCAGGAATGTTTCCACTTCATTCAGTTAACCATGGAAGATTTTGAATACTTTTTGCTGTAACTGCGTTTCATATGATCCAGCCTCTGTGCTATATGATGCATCTCAATAAGAGCTGAGCAATTCATTTATGTTTTCATTCTACCATTCTTGAAAAGAAACTGGATTATTTTATCCATTATTTATTCTACCTTTGAATCTTTTTTTTTTCGTGTTTTCATTATAATCACAAAAGAAGGCATCTGCTAGGGCTCTGTTGTTGTAAAGAAAACTCGCCTTTCATTTAAATCTGTCATCCTGAAAAACGAATGCCATCCATTCCTTCAAATGAATGGTATTTTAATCCTTTCCATTCGAAAACGAATTTTAATCCTTTCCAATCCTCCATCCTAGGAAAATAATTGTTATCGCATTAACCATGATGTAACATCGTGGTGAAACCTTGATCATTCTTTAGCATCATCTTTTACCATGATGTAAACATAATTAGGAAAGGTGATACATTCAGATTCTTTTATATTTTTGGTTTGAAAAAAAAACTGAAATCTCCTGATGGAAACTTAGATATCTGATGCTGAAACTAGCACGAAAACCCTACATTATTTTTCAGACATGCGTCATTAATATAGGAAGAGGCAATAGTTCTCAGTATATACGGTTTATTATGTGATTTTTTTTCCCTTTTTCTTTGCATTTTTTATCAAATTTAGCACTAAAATATACTTAAAAGAAAACTTACTTTTATTCTTATTTTTTCACACATAAAATATACTAAATAGGTGTGAGTTTTCCTTATTTTCTTTATTTTATTGGTCTTATTTATTGGTTATTTATTTATTTCTTCTAACTTAACCTCAAATGATGTGTCTTTGTTTGCTTATGCATGGCTTTTTATAACTCAAATTTTAAATTTGCTACTTTCCTTAATATAACTGCTTTTTTCAAGTAGCTTATTAATTTTATTACTTAAAACTACTGTTTTCTAATTAACGTATTTTGCTTTGCATTTTAACAAATCTTAAAATTGTTCAGCTATATTACTTAAAATGCATTTATAAATACATCAGAAATAAAACATGCTTGATTTTCCGTTATATAACTTTTAAGTGAAATATACAACTAATTTATTTTTTTAACTTTGCAATATCTCAATTCTAGAAAATAATTTTATAAAAGGTTGAAAAACATGATTACTCAACTGTTCAAAAATAATAAAACTATTAATAATTTAAAGAGAATATACAGAAACAAATAAGGTGAATCCAGAAATGAGAGCATAGTTAAAAAATTAGTCAAAAATAAAATTAGGAAGGAAGACTGCAGTACTTTTTAATATTGAAAACAACATTAAGTAAAGCACTTATTTTTAATAAAATGAATTGGTTGTTGGAGAAAATGTGAAAACGGGGAAGTTGTGCTTAAATGAAGTCAAACTTGGCATTTAGATAAAGAGATATTTTCTGAAACAAATCATTTTGAAATTAAAACACTTCCACGTGCTCAGCTACATAAGGTAATCGGTAAGAATTAAGGCCACCATTTTGGATGATTCAGTCGTTATCTTAGTATGGTATTCATTCGAAAAGTGCTGGAATCAAATCCTGAAGTGCTATGTAATAATTACCAAACTTCCCAATCTGGATTTTATCGCGAGGACTCTGGAGAACATTTACAAGAAAGGGTTCCTGTGGTTCCTATAAGATCCTATATCCTATAGGTTCTAAATTTTTGAGAGATATCAGGAAAATGCTATCAAAGAAGTTACCTCCTGATTCAATTAGCGTCCCAAAATGTTTCCAAGTTTTCGAGCTGTGTGACGTTCAGCAGTTAAGAAGGACAGCTGTAACGCGATAGATACCTCTTAAGCGTTCATGATGTTAGCTATGTTTTAGTGCTAGTGTCCGTCTAGGAAAATGTGAGTGTCCTGAGAATGTCATCTATTGGGGACTGCAAGGTTGCTAATGCAGGATACCGGATACATCGATAAATGCTGTATGACGCTCATTTTAGTGCTTTTTGGTGAAAAGGCTAAATAAGTAAAAAGCTCGGTCGCTTCCGACGAATGCTTTTCAGCAGTTTTGGGGCTACTGGGAATGGAAAGAACATTATCATCAATGTCGCCCAACGATCGTTGTATCTTCTTGAGCTTTTCCCACAATATGAGGCAAAGACTAACCTCTAACTAAGGTTTGTGATTAAACCTCTAGTAGAATAGTAATGGAAACGTTCTATAAATTATTTTCAACCCTTAATTTTCATCATGATGCAGAGTAATCATTAAATAAATAGTCTTCTTAATGGTTTGCAATTTATCGACGGTCATGTCTTTATTAATTAATTTCAGACAAAAATAGCAAAAAGTAAAATTAATTATTATTTATTGAACCTTCAACTTGTAGCCAAGAAATTAAAATAACATAAATAAAAAAACTGCTCGTATCAGTATAGTAAATTGTACAGCAAGAGCAATTTGCGTTTCTGGTGAGCGAAGGAATAACATCTAACTGACTGCCAACTCACGCTACAAAATATAAGTTTATTATGGTTTTATAACTCCCAAATACCTTTGATTCGCCAAAATATCGAGCGTCGAGTGAATGGCAAAAACCTCAGAAACCCAAATGTGCTGGAGTTGCTTTCGAAATATGTTATATAAGGAATTTCCCTTGCTCGCAAAACTTATTTCCTGGATAGATTTAAGAGATGAGTGTTTGTGTATTATGAAATCAAAAGGAATTAAGCAGAGCAGAATAAACAAACGACAGCTGATAACTTGAAATGACAATTATAATTTTTCTTTTTCTCAAAGAAAATGGATATTAGGTTTTTATTGCATTGTATTATCAACCTGAATTTGGTCTTCTTGCGGCTTAGGAAAAGGAGGAATAATAGAATGCCAAGTAGAATAAAGGTCAGGTCATCTCATAAAGAATGTTGCTTTTATAATTAAGTTTTGAAGAAATAAAACGTTTGCGTAACTAATTAGTCTAAATACAGTAATACTAATGTAATAAACTACATATTCCCCGCCTGGAACAATAACATTCTTTCAACGCTTTAATAGGTTTCTTTCGCCTAGAGAAATTAGTTGGCTTATTGGAAAAAAACCGCCTTGAAAGTCTATTTTAAGAACTTCTTGAGAGTTATATACTTGAACAATGAAATTTTGCTAACTTTAAACTACCAGTCACTTTTTATCACGAGTCACTAGACGTATCAAAAAGGAGTATTCTTTAACACGTGAATGAAATATAGTGCATATGTTGGCACGTTCTTTTTGATCAACATCAGTACCTTCATGTATAACCCACCTACCTTTCTCAGACACGATTCCAAGTTTCTTCAAATGACGATATACTATTGATTCCGATGAATTAATTTCTTCTGCCAACGCTTCAACAAGTGCGTGTAAATTTCTTTGAAATGCAGCTTTCAACACGTCACTTTCAAAAATGACAGGAGCGTCCACAGTAACTGCCACCTTTCAAGTTAACATCGCTTTCTCAAAGTTACAGAAACATTTCCTCTGCATTTTTGCAGTATTTAATGCATTATTGCTTTTGGTAAAATATAATGTACTTGATGCACTTTTCTGTGATTGCCATTTTCATGACGGTAAATTAAAACAACAAATTTTTACCCGTGGACCTTGCAAGCCAGAGTTTAGCTGAACGAAGCTGTCTTTGTTCGATGGTGTTTATACAACCGTAAAAACGACCTGTTTAAGATGTTTTAAAAAGTCATGTAAAAAAAATGTCTTACTTATGGGATGACCTGAAATTTATAAAAAAAATTCCGGATGGAACTGTGAACACTTAATAACACATATTATTTAAATAATGTGTTCCCTTAATTTTTATATTCTAATTGGGATATTGCGAAAGTATACATTCTGTTTCGATATTATTTGGTTCTAAACATCCTTTCTGTGCAAATGGCTCTTTATATGAATCGATTTTAAAACTGCTTTTCTCATTTTAGCTTGGTATGACCAGGGTGTAAAGTCCTATCAAAAGGTTCGAGCGGAAACAGAGTTGGAGAAGATATTCGAAGAGAAACTTACACCAGGTGGCACTAAAATCGATGTCTGGAAGACAGAGGAAAGTCAAGAAGGTAATTAAAGTCTTATACATAGCATTACAATTTACGGAAGGAAAGTACAATTTCTTAAATAATCAAGAATCTTGACTGTTAGATTGCAGTGTATTCATGTAGATTAAGGTAAAATTTAAGTTTTTTTTTGAATAAAACATAAAGTAAACTTGAACTTCGAGCAAACTATAACATGAATTTAAAAAACTATTCGAGGAATAACTTGATCATATATTTTTAGTTGATCAATACATTTTCAACAAAAATAATACTTCATGCTCTCTTTCTTCAGAAGTCACCATTGTCAGATGGTATGACATAAAATCCTGTCTACTGTTGTAGATTGGTAATAAAATAACGTAATTGAATCTTAGCATATTTCGCTACATGAAGACATTATCTAACTTTGTGCGACCACTGAATTAATCTCTCCTACCTTGCAAAATTACATGCTCGCTTTTAAAAAGATATTATAACAAAACTGCTGTATTTTTGACGTTCAAGCTCTTAACAACGTCTCTTCATCAGTTTCAATAGTTTGAACAATATATTTAAAACTAACTTACAGGAAGGAAACGTTTTCTTTATCCGAACCATGGATGATTCTAACTTTTGTGACTTTTCTTGGAGTAATTTTACTTTTTACAATGACTGAAGAACGAAATGGGTAGAGAATTGTCTTTGTGTTTCAATTATATGATATTTACTCTTTCATACGTAGAAAAACTATAATGCTTACTACTCACGGTTAGCGGTTTTAAAGCATATTTGTGATTGGTTATTTCTTTCTATGAAAATATAAATTTGTTAAATTATGGTTGCTGATTCGATCGATGCATAAGAAGAAGGGTGATAGGCGTGTGAAAGGTAATTAAATTAGTTTTAATAGCGTTTGTATTTAATGTATTTAATCAATTATTAGTAACGATAGTTATTTAATTATAATACAACACATTTTCTGTGTTTTTGAGACCAATGTAAAATGTCAAATTTGATAGATATGATTATGAGTGTTATGAATGTTAAGTCATGCAATTTAATTTTTCCTCTTTTTACTGCGGTTTTTAAATAAGATTAGAAATAAACAACAACAAAAAAAAGTTTTAAAGACATGGAAATAATTAATTTAAAATAAGGTAACAATAATGAATCGCTGTTTGTATTTTTTATATTAGTATATTACTATCCAGAATAGTTCTTATACATACAAATATATCATATTATTGTATTGATTTATTCGTGATTATTTCGTACTTCGAGTCAGCTAATTTAACAAAAAAATTACTATTATTTTAGGAGAACATGTGAAACTTGTGAAGAGGCTAGAGGAGGAAGACACCAAAAAGTTGATTCCAGAAGTGAAAAGATATAAAACAGAAGCCATATACGTAAGCTAAATTCTAATATTCATATAAGAATAGCATCAAATAAATTTTAAGAATTATTCTTTAGTGACGCAGTAGAATTTATTAAAAGCATGATATATTTTATAATAAAATCAGATCACTGCAGCATTTTTAAGGTATATAATCATTTAGAAAATTACTCAGATTTACGTTATAAATGTTTCTTCATAAATCTTCGCTTTGAAGTAACGAATTTTAAAAAACTTGCATACGATTTTGTCTTTTAATTTTTTCTTGTTAGCATTTTGGGCTTCAGCGGCAGAATAATATGTTCTGCAGATTTGTCGTTTTGAATTCCTTGGAAATTCCTAGTTTCATAATTTTTACTGTCTTTTGAATTTTAGGTTGATGAAAAAGGAGAAAAGCATGTAGAAGATCTGTCTCAAGTGCATTATATGGCGAAAACGTATGAACAGCAAGCTCAAATGTAAGTACTGTTAGGAATTTCATACTTAGATAGGTAATTTTAGTAAAGTAAAATTGTTGTATTTCTTTCGCAACATGCAAAATCTAAAGAGAAGATATGCCAATACCGGAAAAGTAAGAGTACAGGGGCAAGGGCATTTAACATTGACTAAATGGGTATTTCGGTAATTTGGCGAGATATCGCCAGGCTGACGAAGGTTTTGGCGACATTTTGGTCTGGTCCCTGTATCATCGTAATATTTAATGAAATTGAAGAAATGTAATTGACCACTATGTTAGCTGTAACCTAATTCCACCCCCGTATTGCTTTCCCGTAGTAGTAGAAAATATTAGAAATATCTTGGCGGCTGGTTGAAACTATTTAGGGTCGAAGAGAGAGCATATGCTTTCAGTTGCTTAGTTATTGCTGTTGCGAGTTGTTAGTTCTGCGTGCACTGAGATAGCCGAGTTAGCTTTCTCTTTAGATGCGCTTTCCATTGCCTTGTGTTTAACGTTCTTAGTAGTTTAATTCGTAACTACTTTGTGATACTGTGGACTTCTGTACAAGTATTTCTGAGGAAAATTCAGAACGTTGATTTTACGCTGATAAAATAAATTTTATTAACCTATCAGCGGAATTGTGTGCTGTCAATCTATTACGAAACCGTAATGATGCAATATATAATTAGGTATAATTAGACTTGCTTAGTGAAGATCGTCAGATAGGTAAAAAAAGAAAGATTTAGATGTTGTATGAAGGATTTTTTCCCCAGATCTTTTTACCATTTAGCCTGATTACTTATCTCAGTGTGGTATCTTCCAGTGTACCAAACGTGATATGGAAGATATAGATGTAAAACATATAGGTTTTATAACGTTAAGTTTCTTATTTACCAGCTAAAGTAACGTATTATTATTAACTAGCATGATACATGCAAATACATAATGCTCACTAACTTTACTAATGGCTAAGACATAGAGTGCTTCATTTACGGATGATTTACGCAGGCATAAATTATATATGTTGTTTATTTTGAATCAAAAATTAGAAGAAATAGATTTGAGTACTTAACAGTTTATTTATTGTCTCTGGCATTAACTGTTTGAAATATGAATTGCTATATAAATTAGTTTTACATTATTTATCAATTAAAGAAATAAAAGAAAAGGCTTAAGAGTATATTGTTTAGATAATTTCATTATGAAGTCTTTTAAAAATGATCTGAATTATAATATTTCTTTTGGTTAAACTGATTTTGTAAATGCAGATGCCTGATCTCAATCGAGGATTTGAAATCTGGATCTGCGACATTTCTTACGAAATCCTGCCTGTAATTTACTCTTTATAACCAAAATAGATATCTTCTCCAGCAAGAAATAAAAACTGTGACACTGCATCTTGAAACCCATTTTAATTTCGGGAGCTTAACAGTTGTGCCTCACAACACTAGAATTGGTAGTCCTTTTAGTACATCTACGGTACTGAATTACAAATAAAATTAATGAGACTGACGCAATGTATATTTACAGTATAACATTTTTTTTTGTTTTGCATTAACCCTTAATGCTCTAGATTTATTATTGTAATATATACTGAAGTTCTGGATTTATTATTGTAATATATACTGTTCAGAGGTCTTATTATGACATATACTGACAGAGAGTGTTCAGGAATTTATTTATCCATATGTATAAGAAATAGCAAAAATGTCATCATGGAATAGCTTTCAGAGAATTAATGCATGTCCACAGCCTTTCGAGCGTTAAAGTTTAGTGATCTTTAGTAATAATCAAGACACGCCAAATAAAAGTTATACTCATGCATTTTTTCTTTCCACACAGCGACAGTCAAAAGGTTATCGTTCCTCCTCTTCCTACTTCTCCTGCGGAAAGTTCTGTCTACGGCAAAGAAGTTCTTGTATCCAAGCAAAAACAGACACAGAAGGAACAAAAAGGAGATTTAGAGATTACACGTCATAAGACTGTAACTGAAACCCGAGAACAAGAGCACAAAGCTGTAACCAAAGAAAGGAAAGTCGTTGGCGTGGTGGTAAGACTGCATCTTTTTTATTAGTTAGACAGATATTCGATTATCGATTGGATCCTCATTTAAACTTAATGCGGAAGTGAAAGAAAGAATGTTTTTGGCTTTACGCATGTGTGTGTGTTTGCGTGGTTAGAGTTCAAAGAAAGCTCAGTGGGATCAGATAACATGTATGTCAACTTCAGCCTCTGGTTTAAATCCAAAACTAGTGTTAGCTACTAGATCCCGAACGTCATGTTCTTGCTGTTAGAGATTATGTTTTCTGCTATTCTTCCCTCTGTTTTCATTATTCTAATTATTCAAACTTTTATTTTAACAGCCTGAAACCAAGCCTCCGATGTTCACTAAGAAAATAGAACCTTGTCGGGCTTTTGAAGGAGAATCAGGTAAATTCACCTGCACTTTCGTCGGTTCTCCTGCTCCTCATATCACCTGGTTCAGAGAGAACTTCCCTATTAAGGACTCTCAAGATTTCCAGGTAAGACAAAGAAAAGAGCGGAAATGAAGCTGAGGATACTATACTTTTTTAATCATGGCAGGAACTTCAGTAGTAGATGTTGTAAAAGCTATTATCATAATTTCACAGGAAAAGCTTTAAAATCGAAATTATTTAAAAGATTGAATAAGTTGTATATTTAATTGTTGCATATGCCAATTAACGTTATTACAAACGAATGCCGCAGTTACTTTATGGTGTAATATGTTGTTGCCTATAGTTGGGTTATGGTCACTTTATGGTGTAATGTGTAGTTGGATGCAGTCGGGTTTGGCGCCATTAACTTGATATATATAGTAGACAACACCCTACCATATATTTTCGGTATGTGTGAATATATAATTATATCTGAATGCAATGTATGTATACTGAATTAAAATACGTAGTGTTATTATTAATAATTTCTTAACTTCACATTTTCCAGCGTAAAATCGCAACTAGAATCATTCTAAGGAATTTTTTGGTTAAAATCTAATTTATATTTTACTGTGCACTAGTGTGAAAGATTAGTTGTATATACAGCAAGCAGATGATTATGCAACACGCAAAAATTTTAAATGCAAGCACACGATTTAAATGTTAGAAAATAGTTTCCTAGAAGCTTAGAATGTTTCAGGATGTTTGTTTGTAGTTTAGGTATTATTATTGTTGTTTTCTGTACTTTCCATTAGAAAAAATATTAGCTCTGTATTTAGTAATAATTTATTTAATAACTTCTACTTTTCTGTTTGCTCGATTAAAAATTCTTTTTAGAAAAATTAAGTTTATAGTCGTATACTTCTTTGCACAGATTATTTTCTTCTCTAGATTAAAGGTAAATTCGCAAAATACGTGCAAAATACTCATGCAAACCATAATAGATGTATTCCTGAATTAGAAGATAATTCTTCAGAACTTATAAAAACATTGGATTTAAAAATGGCGCTTAGATTAGTGTTTAATTCACGTTTCTTCACTTACTAAACATTAATCGAAGTGCTGCAAGGGTAGAATTGTTACATCAAAGATATAGTAAATTTAGATAAAAATTATTAATTGTGCATTATTTTCCTAATCAATTCTGTAATTTCTGTTCGTCTGCAAACTTGTATTTAAAATATCTCTAAAATATCTCTCTTAAAGTATTACGATTTTTTTTTAGATTACAACAACTGATACAACTTCCACTTTGATCATCCGTGAAGTGTATCTAGAAGACAGTGGTGTGTTCAGTGTAAAAGCAGAAAATAGGGGAGGAACTGCAAAGAGTTCTGCAAATTTAGTTGTAGAAGGTAAATTAATTTTTAGTACATTTAGAATATATATATCATTTAGAATATATATATTCTTCTCTGTGCTTGATATTAAAATTTGCTGACAGGAGAAATAGTACTTAGGTATTAGAACATTGCATATGTTTCTAAAACCTGAATGCTACAAGTTATGCTATTGAAATTAAGTGTACAATAAGTGAGAATGAAACCTATAAATAAACACCCAATACTAACAGAACTGAGAAAAGAAGCAAAAAAAAAAAAAAAAAAAAAAAAAAAAAAAAAAAAAGAAAAAGAAAAAGAAAAAAAAAAAAAAAATCTCAAACCTGGGGAAACTCGTTCAAATTTTTAGGAAGTAATTTCAATAGCTGTTTTTGGTTCATAATTAAAAATAATAAGTTCATCATCAGAAGACATACTCTGAACTCCATACATTGCATGCCTCCAATCAATTGCATTTCCAGTGCAGTTTCGAGGAGCCAAAAAACTGGTTGAAAAGCATAAAATTCATGACTCATAAAATTCATATTCATTAAATTCATGATTTTTCAAACAAAATTTTATTTTAAAATTTGGCGCACAAGACTACGAATAAGTGGTACTTGACTATTTTAAACGACTGCATTGTTCTCACTAATATCATTATCTTGGAATTCGAGATCATGAGTTAGGATTAATGCTTCACCCAAAGTAAAATTTAACATTATGTGGTTTTGATCGAAATAAATATCCTAGATAAACCATTATTAGCCTAAACGGACAATTTGACCAGAAGGGCTATTAATTTCGTTTTGGCATTTTGCGTTAATTCACCATAAACGGCTAATCACTTTTTAAATTGTTGCCACCAAATATTAGAGCCCTGTATTATATTTAAAGGAATTAAATAATGAAGAATCTGCATAAATGTATGTATTGTAACTTTTGAACACCCGTGTTGGGTGAAAGGAAAGAGAAGTTGTCTTTTAAATATTTAGTTTAAAACTTAATAAGAATTTCTTGATTACTAATAAATAAAATAATCCAACCATTACAGCCATAATATGGCCGATGGTTGCGTCTTTTTCCAAGTCTTTCACTGCATAAAAAGCTCACACAAAAAAGGCCCTCTCTTTCGTTTTGTTAAACGTCTTGTCGGAAATACCTGGAATGGGGTAATTACTAAGTCCTTTATGTCCGGAAACCGCACCAGGGAATTTCCGCAACATTCCTCAAAGTTCTAACTGACAATTAGTCTCTGGACAAAACAGGAAGTTCTACTCATTAAGCAAATGTTCGACAGAGGTGTGCATATTGTCAAAGTATGTTTCTCGCATTGTGATAAAACAGCGGTACCTAGAGCCATTAAATTTTGAATAACGTAGGTCTTCATCCAAATATAGGCATCTGGAAGCCAAAATTTGGAATTTGGAATTTGTTTTATTATTTATTTCGCATTTTGTAAAGCATTTATAAGTTTTTCATTACGAAACTCGACGATTTCAATGTAAGCAATGGCAACACTACACGGAAAAAAAAATAATAATAATCTCCAGCGCGCAGGACTGTGTATCGGAAATTCTAAATATATGCTCTTTTAAATATTTTGTGATATTGCTGTTGAATTGAATTTTATTGTTTAAGTGTTTGAATATGATGTTTAATAAATAAAGGTAACACACAAAATGTTAAAAAAGGTCCCTTTGTGCGTAACATAAAATCTGAAAATTTCAGATTTTTTTCGAGTTAATGTTTTTGTAAAATCTTTTTTGCATAAGATTTCTCTAACATTTATATTTTCTCAAAAAAGTTAGATTTCATTAATATCATATATAACTTGTAATTCCATTTTATTACGTTCTAATTACATCGACTTTTATTATACAGAACGCAAAGAGCAGGTTCGAGGAGCTATTCCACCGAGTTTTGTGAGAACTATTCAAGATGCCACCGCAAAAGTTGGACAACTTGTTCGTTTGGATGCTGTGATAGCAGGATCAAAACCTTTAGACGTTTATTGGCTTAAGGTGAAGATTTACATTTATGTTTTTTCCTTCTGTATCACATTTAATACAATGAGTTCTAAACATCTTATTTAGTGACACAGAAATTTTAACCCTTAAATGCAGACTGTTAAAAAGTAACGAATTACTCTAAACCAAACTTAGTAGAACGTTCTCAAATATTTTTGAATATGTATACATAAGTTTAATTAAACGCTATAACATGGGAATTTAAAAGCAAATTTTTGCCATAGATGGCAGAAAATAATGGAAATATTTAAGAAAGCACTCACTGTTTTGTCAAAGTTTGGCCATGGTGTATACCCATAATAATAGCACTGAAACTATTTCTATGTTCTAATAGTTGTGTTGATTTATTTTTACTTAACTTATTGAAGACGTAAAATACAAATTTCTTGTTCAGCGTTAAATGTTGTATATTTTAAATAACCCCATTTCGAACCCAAAAGTTTATTCAAATTATAATGTGATTATTTTAAATATTTCATTTAGCAATAGACTTAAAAACACATGAATGATGTTTTTTCAGTTCATTTTAAAATTTGATATATTTGAAAATTTATTCTTAAGCCTGGTAAATATTTAATATTTTTAAACTATATATTAATACACGATGATGAATGTGTTTTTTGTTTCATAATGATCCAGTATACTGTGAAAGATAATTAAATGAATTTAATTGCTTATTCTTCTTTTTTTCATATTCCAGAATGGGAAGAAGGTCATTCAAGATATAACTCACAAAGCAATAGAAGAAGAAGATCAATACACTCTTATGGTTTTGGAAGCAGCTCCTGAAGATGCGGGAACCTATGAATGTGTTGCTATAAACAAAGTCGGAGAAGCACGCTGTCAAGCAGCTATTCAAGTACAAGGTAAACGATTTTGCATCATTTGTAATTCAGGATACCGTTAAAAATGAAATAAGTCGATAGGCATGTACCATATTTCCCATTTTCAGTTAAGTTATATGAAAGCGAAATATTTATTTTTTACATTTTTATTTTTCTTATTTTTCTATTAATATCAACTGATTTTTTTAAAAATTCCTTCGCTGGAACCAAGATTATGCATATGAAACAATCGTTTCAATTAAATAATTATATTTTTCATTTACCTGCCTAAGCAAAACATTGTTTCCCAATAAGAGCAATAATAATAATATAATAAATTGTATTTACACTAACTCCTAAAACGTAACACACAATTTTATTTTTATTAAATTTTAAAATAATGAAATTACTTCTTATTTTGTTTAACAGTACATAAATTTATTTTTGTCAAACTAAAATTAAACTAAGATTTAAGCCAGTCTATTATATTGCGATGTAAACCATTTTTCATGCTTCACACACTATTTATTACAGTTTTTGAATTTCTAATATGCATACTTTACCTGCGTGCATTTTTTCCTACGTACAAAATGTTTTATAAATATAAAATGTAAAAATTAATTACCTATTCAGTTACACATGCTTATTATACCAGATCCTAAATATGGTTATGTATCTTAAATATTGGCTAAAGCAAAACTGATGACACCAACATACGCTTTTAAGTGATCCTTGTACGTTCAGAAGTAAGCTATAACTGTCATTAGCGAGGCAACGTTTTCTTATGCGCTCTCACGAAGAAAAATTTAGTTTAACTACACAAGATCTATATGCTCCAATAAACCATGAAAGGTCCATCGTCATTAAAAACTTATAAAATTAAATATTAAAAAGCGTCTACTGCATTTGACTATTCAAAAAATTAGTGCACATCTCTGAAGCGTATTCTTTTGAACTGGGTTTTAATAAAGAGTGAAGTAAACTAAAAATTATAAAACAACATTCAAACTTTTGGCCCCACTATTGCAGTTGAAATATAGCTGTTGTAGCTTCAGATTGGATAATGGAGTTAAACTTATCAAAGAGTATACTTCTCCTCGTTTAGGCAGTATAGTTATTTACTTTATGCTGCATATTTTTGAATGTTTATGTCTTTCATTAAGTATGTTTTTCCTTTTCAGCCGTCCCTTCACCGAAAGCCAAGTCATCTACTCCAAAAAAGACGGAGAAAAACATTAAAGCACCTGAATGCATCGAACCCTTAAAGGACGCCACTGTCAAAGAAAGCCAACCAGCTGTTTTCAGATGCCGATTTTCGGGAACACCAGGTACGTGCCACCTAAAAGTATTTATGGAGTCAGTGATGGATTGCGCTAGCTATATGAAAGTTGGGTATTCAAAATGAAGATATTATATCTTGGAAAATATTTGTTATACAAATTCCTGGTTTGCACTGCTTCGGGGAAAATACTCAGTTTCCTTTTATCGTCCGTCCCCTTAAAATTTGAAAGCGAATTCCAGTTTGGACGTTGCTGGTGACACGACATGTAGTCAGAGTATTCGATCTCATTCCAGTTTATTGTTGTGGCAACGTTTGTTGTCTGGAGCTTTTATGTTCTGTAATTTCTTCATCCAAATAAAAAGGACAATGCGTTCTAAAAAGTGAATAAACAGCCTTTTAAAACGTTCGAAGGTTTCGACGAGACTTTTTTCACGAAGCAAATTTAATGGCGTTCTTATTTTGTTGTCCAGAAATGTATAGTCTTGGATTTAATCTATCATTGTGATAATAACATACACTGATAGAAATCTAGAACAAACTTAATATTTACTATAGATGAGTAGGTGTCTTCTACGTGTACTAGCATGCCTGCAGCCATATCTTGTGTTGTCAACAATATTTCTAAGCTCGTGTGTGGAGATTAGATTACCCATCCGCGTAAGTGATGTATGAGATAAGGTTGAAGATTTTTCTTTGCGTTAGCTGAAATCAGGAAAGTATGCAAAAAATATTAACTGAGATATAATTTCATTAATTTTATTCCGGTGTTGCTCATAAAAAACTAAGAAAAGTTTAGGAGCGGGAAGATAACGAAAAATTTCTTGAGCTATCTCCTGGAGTTACACACAAAAGTTTCGATGTTCCAAAATTATATGATAAACCTATCACTGCAAGAGCCAATTTTCCTCTTCATTAACTTATTTGATTCCAGGCCTCCTATGAAAGATAACGACAGGTACAATTTTGCTTGGAAACGAAGCGATTCCAGTTTCTTCTGTTATAAGATAAAGTCAGCGATGTCTAGAAAGTTATAGTCCTAGAAAACACATAACTTCTCTTTTATAAGGGTCTTAAATGACGCGTGATCGCTTATCTGTTATCTTCAAGGTTCTTCACGAAGCGTTTTTGTTATTAAATGTTTTACAAAACGGGTAAACACTATAATTTATTGTACATTGATAAACTGTTATTTTAGTATTTCTTATTCCCCAAAACAATATGAATTACAATTGTTTCTTTTTAATTTAATGCTCATACGTAGCATTCATTGAAGTTTTCGTAGAGATGAAACAATGTATTGAATAAGAAAATTACAGATCGGTATATGTATAGAGCTACAATATTTCTTCACTTTCTTAAATTCTTCCTGATGAGCATACTTAGTTTGCAATATCTTGCATTTAATATCATAAGCAAATGAAATTGCTTTAAAAAGAAATTTCTTGAAGATCTAGCATTTAAGAAGGCATTCTATATTCATATATATTTAAGAAGACATTCTATATATATATGAGATCAAATTTTAGTTTCTCATGGTAAACATAATTATACGAGTATATTCGCATTAAGATATAGTGTGATTATCATTACAGTAAACTCTATGTCCGCCCAAAACTTCTTTATGTGAAACAAGAGGCATAGAGGCATAGTAAATTTATAATATTTTCAGCTTATAGTGTTGCGTGGCCCCAACTTGTCAGCAACTATGGTAGTGACTGCTATGAACTGTAAATTACACAAACTCGTAAGAAGGGTTTAAATCCCTTTCTATTTCACTTTAGAAATAACAGCTGCGTTCACTTGACGCTCACAAACTACGCCGAACCGGCGGTTTAACAAAAACAGAACTGTGAAACTAAAAATTAATGACAGGATGAATAAACAACTAGATCACTACCTACGAGGCTCTAAAATCGTAACTAACTTAACCGCGTTCTAAAATACAGCTGAGATTCAGCGAGCTTACTGATTAAGCAGTTGAAATATTCAGCGAACTGCCGAGATGGGCACATAGGCCGAAACGCGCGGTTCTTAAATTTCTACCTAGCAACCTTCACGTTAGCGATTCAAGAAGCACACATACAATCTTGTTTCCCTTCTATTTAAACTCAACTTACTTCTGCTAAAATTTGAATATACTGCGCGTTCTACTACAATTTACATACTCTGGCATTGGCAATTCTAGGGGAAAGTAAAGGCTTGCTGGAAAGATAGCTTAAACTTAAAATAAATGTTAGTTAAAATAAATATAAACCCAACAAGCTGTATGTTATAAATTTAAGCATGCTCATCCTTGTTCCCCATGTTCTAGTCATATATGATGTTCTTCAGGCGACTAGATATTATTTTCTACTGAATAGTGCCTTAAAATAATATTTTTAACATATGACAGACAGAGTGCAGTAAAAGTAACAAAATATTTCTTAAAGAAATATGGCATATGTAGAAACAGATTAAAGATTCGAAATGTTTGCGAACAATCTTTCATTTTTCTTAACCTTTATGCTCAATTTCAATGTTATTTTTTTAATATTTTTTAAGAATCTTTTTCTTTTATATGAATTGAGAAAACGTTAAGATTTGTTTGGATTTATTTTATTTGTTATTAATTATGAACCGTTACTTTTAAAAAGTATCCGAAAACCTATGTAACTTATAATAAATATGTTCCTTTTTAGCTCCCCAAGTGAAATGGTATCGTGGTGAAATTTTGGTGAAACAGTCTCGCTACTTCCGCATGTCTGTAGAGAATGATGTTTACACACTTCGTATATCCGAAGCATTCCCTGAGGATGAAGGACTTTACAAGTGTGTCGCTACCAATTCTGCTGGCACAGCATCTACCAGTGCCAATCTCAAAGTTGTCGGTAAGTTATAACAACTTTTCAGTTTCAAAATTTACTGGAAAATTATTTGTTCTATCTTCTGATTGCCTAAAATAAGAACCGAACCATTACTTTATGTTCTTCATTTAAAGAAAAAATATAAATATCGTTTCCTTTATTTTTAGTATATAATAAAGCAAGCAATCTGTTCAAGAAATACTGAGTTTTAGAGGTTTATAGTAAACAGTTAGAAAAGAGAAAAATATATAAGTGGAATGTCTAAAACTTTGGGCAATACAATAACATAAAAAAAGTTCGTAGTGTCCTCACACAATCTTTAAATTGTTTGTTGACTTCAGTACTTGAAGTAGTCGTTGGTACTGGAGCTCCGTCGGAATCTTTGTGCTGTCATCCAGGAACTCAGGCAGCTGTGCTAACGACATTTATTCCACTCTCCCCCTTATTAAAAAAAGTACAGTAACAGTATAGTATTTAATACTAATACGACATAAAAGCTTTGATTGCTTAATGCAGGAATCACATGCACATTGCAAAAACAAAGAACACAGAAGCGCCAGAGAAGAGGGTCAAAGACGTCACAGGATTGAATAGAGAAGCCGAGTAACTTTACAGTCATGGAATAACAGGAATAAGAACGTTGCATACGGCTGTTCCCGCTTATGTACTTAAACTTCATGACATCATTTTTCAGCAGTAAATAGAAAATTTAAATCATTCACATTCAGTATAATTAATATGATAACAGAGATTATACTGTTAGTAATCATACAATACTCTAAATTGGCCCTGAAAACGTAATGTTTACATTCAAGCGTACTCAGAAAATATATTCGCTTGCAAACTTTTCTTTACTTCGCGGACTGTTGTTAAATATGGTATTTATTATTATCAAAAATTAAAGGAATATGTTTAATTTTCCGTTGTATTTAAATGCTGGAAAGATTTCGAGAGAGTTATGTGAGAACACCTTGAAAATGCATTTTCCTGAAACTAAAGCCCTGATGCAATTAAGATAAGGGGGTATTGATGGAAGGGGCCGAGTATAAATATAAATAATAATATAATGCTAAGAATGCAAAATCCTTAAACTATGCATCAAATGTTTTCAGTTCCGGAGGTAACAGAAGTTCCACCTTCTTTGAGTCCTTTGGCTGATCTGACTGTTCCTGAAGGTTCTCCAGCTCGCTTTGTTACTACTGTAAGTGGGACCCCAACTCCTAAGATAACGTGGTACAGGGAAGGCAACGTAGTCAAAGCGAGCCGAGATTTCCAGGTAAGAATTCCTTGCTATTCATCTTGTGTTTTCTGCAAAACTGCAACTTCTATGTTTGAAGAAGCTTATGAAATTCCTTTATTCATTTCGTTAGCATGTTAAAATAGTATGCATGAGAATTCATAAAATACAAATTTCTGACGTCAGCATTCCATAATCTGTAATAAATTACAGCTTTTATTTAAATTGGGTGTCGCAAAAGGATTGCTTGTTGAATAAAAATCATTCATGCATTTTTTTAAATTTTGTGTTTTAGCATATATTTGGAGAAGATAATTCTTTCCTTGTGTAGTTCATAACATAAAAGTTTTTCTTTCCTGAAGTTTTGCACATCTAGAAGATGAGACCAAAAAAACTGCTATTTCAAATTCTCAGTAGTACAAGGATATCAAGTATTGCAGTTACTTTGTAGTTCAGATAGCAGAAAATATCCTAATCGTAGTAATAACATAAATTAATCTAAAGTTTCAAAAAAAAATTCCTGCCTTTTTCTTTGTGCTTGTGTTGTTTAGAAGCGTAGTTTAGTGTAGAAAAGTATTGGAAACATAAGCATAATTTAAAATATTATTATCTAAAGAATATTAAATTTACAGTGTTCTCTTTCTATGAATTATCTTTCGATTTTAATTTTTTACATTTTATAGTTTTACAGTTAATTTCTTTTTACTCTCCTTTTACATTTATCCTTTTAAAAATTCTATAAAAGTATTAAAAGCGAATAAAGTAAAAATAACGCGCGGAATAACAATTATTAGAGACTACCTGCTTCAAGAATCATCGGTAACTTCCCGTTGCTCTAACCTGATTCCTCTTGCTCTAACTCTTTAATAGCATTAAAAGCAGTGAAGGCAACCGGAAGGAGTTAGTACATTTTAAAAAAAGGACATTCTAATCATTAAACAGAAGGAATTAAACTGAACAAACTTAGTTAATGAATGTTTTGCACTGCTATAAAAAACTCATAAATTTCATTTGCGTTGCTTACAGTAATCGTCATTATTTTTTTGGTAAATACACAAGAACATGCTGTGAAGATTGCTGTTATTTTTTAATGATACTAAAAACGGGTATGGGTGCCGAGAATACTAAATGACGTGTCACAATATTAAGGCATAGGTCTATGAAGGTTGCAAATGTTTTACTTGCAATGTTTTGCCAAGCTACGAAAACTTTTGAATGCAGAAACATGCATGTGATGTGTGAAATGGTGAAGGATGCTTCTGTAAAAATTCAAGATGATTTGCTGTTAATGTTTATTACACATAATTATTACGTACGTAGAGCATATTTATTGTATACGATTATCAAAGCTTATAATTGTAGCGATTTCTGAGGTACTGTGTGTAAAAATGATCATTATAATAAAGCATGTTTAATTAAAATTTTTGGGAAAAATACCAATTTAAGCTTTCAAAATATGAAAAATTCAACCTTTGATTAAAAGCCGCTATTAAAAAAATCATTATCTATTTCTAGAATATCCAACACATACGTATTTCTTTTTGAAAAATAAATTATTCTCACATAAAATATTTTTGCTTTTTGAAGGAGATAGATCTCTGATGGACATTCTCGAACTTCGTATAGCATTTCATACATTAGCACTCACTTACTACTTGAAGTTTTTCAAATCCATATGCTTCCTTATATGTATGTTTATTACTTAGCTTGCTCAGTTTTAAGAGATATCTAAAGGCTACTTCCATAATACAGAATAACTTAAAATACGTGCAGCATATTTAATCTTTTTAGTTGCAAGTTTTACAAATATTCTTTTCCCTACTGTGTAACACATAAGCAAATTATTATATTATCTGCAACGTGACGTACGTCCAATCAGTTATTAGATATTTGATTAATACCTAATATTAGAAAACAGTGATATGTATATTGAAGCCTCTAACCAAATTCATTTCCTTTTCTTCTTTTAAACGAGTAATTTGTAATTATAAAACGAATTTGCTTTTTATTTTCCCAACTTTCAATGATTCCATATATATATTTTGTAAACGGAAAATTGAAATTTTTTATCATTATATTGAAAATGCTAGACATTATCATATGAAATTTCATTGCAGATCTGCCATTAAGGATTAATAGATCCTTTTTTACAAACATTTATTAATTGGTTTTTTATTCTTCTAAAGATGATTTACATTTGAAAGTATCTTAGTCGTGTAACTGCAGTTTTTAGTAATTTGATTATTTCGATGTAAAGATCTCTGGGGAAAGCATTTTCTTCGAAAAATTTTTAAATCACGCTGAAATATCCTTCCCCTTCAAAGCTGGAGCCTATTAATATTTCTTTTATAGAGCGTGTGTGCATCAATGTTCTGCTGTGTGAAAACTATATTAAATTGTTGATTTTCTGTTCACCAGATATTTCCATCACTTAAAGAAAAAAATTTAAAAAATAGTAATTACTGCCGTTCAGTATGTATTTTACAGTTATAACCATATACAACTACGTTAGCAACGTTTCTTCTTATTGAGTCATACCTTAGCTCTAGCGTATCTAATTCAATTCCTTAATAAATAAAATTTACATCTAAAACAGTTTGTGATAAATTTATTACATCTTCCATTTTTAACTAATCCTGTTCCTTAATAAAGGAAGTTTATGATTAAAATACCTTGCGATCACCCCTTCCATTTTTAATTAATTCCATAATAAAGAAAATGTGTGGTTAAAATACTTTGTAATAACATGTATCACTTCTTCTATTTTTAACTATTTTAATTCCTCAATAAAGAAATTTTGTGATTAAAATAGCTTGGGATAAAAGTTATCAGTTCTTCCACTTTTAACTAATTCAATTCCATAATAAGGAACATTTATGATTATATTAGTTTGTGATAAAATATATCACTAATTCAACATCATAATAAAGAAAATTTACGGTTAAAATGGTTTGTGATAAAACGTATCTCTAATTGCGTTTTTAACTAATTCATTTCCTTAATGAAGAAATTTTACAGTTAAAATGGTTTGTGATGAAATTTATCACCTTGTCTCCCTCCTTTCCTTATGTCTTTGTGGTTGTAACCGGAAGCAGGCTCGACGCCTATCCTAGAGGTACGAAATTTGAATCCCGGCAATGGCGATGTGGATTTCTTTAGTTTCCAACTTGGAAAAAAATTCTAAAAATTTTCGACAAACTGCGCTCGAAAAACACAACGGAATTTTGCATAGATTTGCTTACAAACATATTCAGAACTGGCGTCAGAGCCGTTTCGACCGCACCAGGTGGCAAAATTTATAGAATTTAGTAAGGCACTGGACGGCAGAATCTTGGAATAGAAGAGATTGCATTAGGTAACGAAAAGTCTAGAGCTAGTTCTAAGTATATTTAACAAAACACAATGGAAACTTGAGCAAAAGAACAACTTTAGTTTGGCGTAGATTTTGAATAAAACTCTAAAGCAACGGTTCTCAATCTTTTGACTAACGCGTATCATCTAAACAAAAATTGGAAAACTTTAGTACCACCATTACATTTTACAATGACTACTTTTTAATTTCTCAATAAAATATTAAAAAAATATTTTGACATTTGCAGAGCCTATTGGCTATATGTTTCAAATATGCACACATAAAAATATTAGACTGAAAATTGATTACCATTTTATAAGGTATTTCTCTCGCCTTCTTGGAGTGCCTTCGTGGTGTAATGGTCTGCACGCTCAGAGCGTCATTGAGAGGTTCGCGGTTCGATTCCCGGCGAAGGCGTTGCTCATTTTTCATCCCGCCTGCTTCCAAAAAAAAAATACCTAATGTCTCTACAATTTTAATTATCAAAATTTAAGTTAGAATACTTTAATTCTGAAATTTAGCTTGAAATTTGGGACTGTTTAAGGGAGATCAGTTTTTTTTTATGTCTAGTCTTATTTCACTTAGTTTTAACCGTAAATTAGGATCCAATTTCAATATCCATCTGTATTTATTTTTCGAATATAGCATGGAAGAAAATCTTTGTTAACACAAATAGGTTGTGCAAAAAGGCAATAAAAATTTAATAGCTTTATTTGAAATGCCTTTAAATTCTTTTTTTTTTGTTCGGCCAAAAGTTAACAAGTGTGTTATTCAGATAAAATAACATGCCGATTAATTTAGAAGTCAAAAAAAAAAAAAAAAAAAAAAAAAAAAAAAAAAAAAAGCTCTAGTGAAACAAATTTATCACTATATCTTATCTCGTTCATTTGCGCTCTGGCAGCTGAGGATGATGGCTCGGTAAAACCATCGAACCTAGTCCTGTTAAAATATAAAATATAACGCTGACTTTTGTTGTTTGACTTCTAAAAAATTAATAAGTGTGTTATTTCTGAAATTTTCTGTTAGTTCGATCATAGGAAAGTTCTATCAAATTTTCTTTTTCTTTGCGAGATTTTTGAATTTAATAGTTAATAATAATTTGTTTCTTTGCGTACCACCTGTTTTTCTCATGCATACCACCAGTAGTATGTGTACCACCGGTTAAGAATCTTTGCTCTATAGTTTTTGGGAGGTTTCAGATACAGTTCCCTCTTCTTCAGGGGCGAAATAAGTTTTTGCCAATTGCAATAACCGTTTTCAAATCGAAGGATATGGACGGAGTAAACTGAATATTGAGCATAGCGCTATCTGGAGATGAAAATAGTAATAAAATGAAAAAAACTAGGATACTGCAGTTTTTAAAGCATTAGGAAAGGCTGGATTGAATTAATGTCATTAACATTTTACTATTAACTATCGGCTGGACAGCTGATCTACTACAGGTATAAATTCGTATCTGAATGAATGGTCCAGTCAATGTCATTAAGTAAAGAAGCTAAATTTTTGTGACGGTGAAAAACTTCAGTTAAATCCTTTTCGCCAGCTGAAGAAGTTTTACGCATCATTTTGCAGGGCAAAACAGCAAAACGGTTAAAATAGAAAACTTTGAAAACAGCTATAATAAATCATATTCAAAACGGTAGTAACTGCAAAATACCACAAAAGCAAAACACCGCTTTTATGATGTAGGAAAACTATAAAATATTAACAAATAATTTTAAATAAAGAAAATATCAAGCAGGAATTAAATAAGCGAGTCTTATTATAAATAAAATTGAAATGAAAACCCACCGGATTCCGAGAGTGAAAGAACCTAAGTTGAATGCAAAATGGGGATCCTCCCTTCCAAAAAAATGGTGCATGGAGACAAACGATCAAAATGTCAGGAAACTCTCGCAAATGAACGTTGGTAGCAAATAATCCAGTGGAAGACACGCCAAAAAAACACGTCAATGTAAAATTCCTCCTATTTTCAAAAAATATTTTAACTGCTCAAAAAGGGTAACCTGCGCCTGATCGCCCTCGAAATCTATGTCAATTTAAAGCTGCTTTTTAGCCTATCTTTAAATTTTAGATTGGCGTGTTTCTGTCCATAAGGCGCAAACTATTGCGTATTGTGATAATTATTTTGTTAAGAAAACTTTACGCGTAATTATATCCAAGAAATCCGAATATTTAATTGTAAATTTACATTAGTATAGTGCTATATGTAGGGGCCTGATATCACATGGTTCTGATGGAGGTTTAGATGGCGTACTTGGAAACTATAGTGATAATTAATAAAATATTTTCTATGATAATTAATAAATTATTTTCTATCTTTTCTCTGTTTAAGTAATATAACATGACTTTTGCTTTCAGTTGTAGAAATACTGCATGAAAATATTAATGTAACCAATAGAACAAAAACAATATTTTAAAGACTTTTGTATTTTAATTCCTTAGCAGAGAATAACATATTAATCTATTGAAAGATGTGTAGAATATATTAAACAGCTGCGTTTTGATTTGTTCGAAATAAATATATTGACTGCATTTCTAAAAAGGTTATAATTTTCATACGTAGTATACTTTTAAATATTGACTATATCAAAATTTCATTTTTATGCGAATAACTAAATGATTCAGTAAACCACAAGATTGTAAATTACATAGCATTTAAGATTTATACAAAGGAGGATTCCATCTTTTTATGTATTAAATCTTTTTCTAAGATAAACTAAAATAATTTCTGCATCTTTCGAAAAAATTTTCAAACAATCGGGTATTTCGACCCTAGAAATTCAACGAAAAACGTCAACTTTAAATTTTTAATGCATTTAACTGGGAGAAACTTTCGAGTTATCGAAAAATTTGAACAATTGCAATTCTACTGCATTTGCTTGACGTTATTCCGTAAAACTGATTGCATCCACAATTAATTCCATATTATTATTTCCACAGATGTTCCAAGATGGTGGATCGTGTTCATTGGTCATCCGGCAAACATATCCTGAAGACGAAGGCGTTTATACGTGCAGGGCCACCAATGCCAGTGGTCAGGCAGAAACCTCGGCTCGTCTGACTGTTGAAAGTAAGCCTTAAGCGCCTGACCGTTTCAATCAGTTTGTGAATCGTTTTACATGAACTATTTAAAGTTTCTTGAACTGTACATAATGTGTGTGGCTGTGTGTCAGAGGATACATGTTCGCGTTGATTTAATCTAAAAAATTTGTGCATCCTTAGAATAGATTTTATGTTACATAAAATCTGCTTTTTTGTGCTTTTTTCCCTCAAAATCATTGCAAAGTTATAAGGCAGTGTTCTTTTTTAACTTTTTATTTTCAACAAATCAAACTCATTCTCGATGATTTTGCTGAGAATGGATTAATACATTTTTTGTATAGATGTTTAGTTAAACTATAAGAATCATTAGCTGCGTAGTCGGCAATCTATTTTTCAAATAAAAATCATGTTTATTACCGTTGGAAAGTTTTGTCGAAGTAGTATGTAAATTTCGCTTTACGTACTTATATTTTAGTCTCTGTAATTCGTTAATTTTTTCTACATAAGTCATAGTTGAGATGTAAATATAAAATTTGTTATTTTTCTACCTGATAACCATTTTATTTTTAATTTTCTCCCTTTACATTCGGTTAATAAAATCAACCGTAAAATTTCCATTCTCAGTAAAACTAATGAACTAAACCGAAATATTAATTCTCCATGTGCATGCGATTTATTGTACTGATATCTCCTTCATAAAAAATAAGTACTTAACAACACCCGCGTCAACAACTTATTAACTGAGCTGCTGACGCGCGTGATCTTGACTGCTTAAAATTATGTATTGCAATTCAGCTTCTGAGGTGAACTATCTAGGTCAAGTCTTCAAGATATATTTACGTTTTTGTGAGATGGATAATATTTGGACTAGCAGAAGTACATTTTTTATTTCTTGGAGAAAATTATGGGATGGATCATCACTCAGTGAGTGCCATGAGGAATGAAGAGAGAAAACTGTTCCTGCCTTCCGAAGATCTGCCCTGGGAAAGGCCGGAACCAATGATGAGCTGCACGTGCTCTGCTTCCCATCTCACATAAGCCGAAAATAGATGGAGGCTTGTTGCCAGATTTGGACTTCAAGAGAGATGGCGGTTTCAAATTTCGCGGAGACCTGAGGAGCTGTGTTCACGTGTGAAATAATAATAAAAAAAAAAAGGATATAGAAAGAAAAACAAGGACCGTCGTGGTCTGCGTTATGTTGTGGGGCTCTAAATTCGCCCAGATCTTATCTTGTTTATTTGCTGTACTGTAACCAACGTTGCCAATTAAAAATTCAGTTTTCTAACCTTGCAATTAGATTTTGTCATTCTTTCAAAATTTTGTCTGTAATTTGTGTCTTTGATGTTTTAAATTACCTTCTACAAGGTTATCTAGAATGATTGTAAAAATGCTGATTTGTTTTAAAATATCATGAGTTGTTGCACTGAAATACGAGATTACCAGTGAGCTATAAAACAAATATAACTAAAAATTATCCTTTTGTAGAAAAACATCTCATTTATGCTGATTTGAATAAGTATGATTTAATTTGCTGTTCAATCGCAGACTGCCAGATTACTTGGATAATATCACTTATTTAAAAACTCTTGTCTTGATGCTTGATCTTTCATGAACCTAATTATTATTCCTAATTTTTAAAAGAAATAATAGGATATAAATCAAAAACATGAAACTGTAGGATTGCGTGTGTTTTTTTTTCCAAAACCTAGTGTTTAATTTACATAATAACTTTAACAACAGTGATTTCGTTCGTTAGTAGTGAAAGTTATTTTTCGTAATAATTAAATTTCAGAAAAATATTTTAATTCTTCTAATATATAATAATATCACATGCGTTACAATACAGGGTTTTTCCATGCATATGTACTCGCATTACATAAACGTGAGTGCTCTTTATAATACACTGCAATTGAACTCTACTTAATATTTGAATATCTCTATGAAGGAAAGAAACATATATCTTTATAATAATTTAATGGATAACTCTAGGACGAGGAAAACAAATTTTCTATGTATTTGTAGTTCTAAATAATAGCTTAAATAAGAACTTAAATTTGGTTTTCTATAACACTCACGTGCTTGTCGTAGCATGTGGTTGGCAGTCTGATTCATGTAACAAGATGTCATTCTGTGACGCACTCAAAATTGAGACAGTGGGAAGAATGTTATAATTCTTTAGCAATGAATGCCATCTTTCATAATAATTAATCCTCAGAAAAAATTAAAAATTTTTATACTGTTATCACATGCATTACAATACAGGACTTTTCCATTGCCTGTGTACTAGCATCATATTAATGCAAGATTAGGTACTTTGAGTATTCTTTCATTGCTATTTATTTAAATCTGTTGGTGAATAAAAATAAAATAACTTTATAATAATTTAAGGGATAATTTTAGACTGGGGAAAAGAAATTTAGCTCAAAAAAGAATTTAAGTTTGGTTTTTTATACTTACTCTCACGTGCTTGTCGTAACATGTGGGTGGCAAGCTGACGTAATAAGATGTCATTCTATGACATAATCAAGGTTGAGCCAGAAGGAAGAGTATTATAAGTTTCTTGATTTTATTTTTAAACACAGCTTCATGATCATTCCCGGTTAACTTTCACGTCTTGAAAGTTTTTGTCAGAATATATCAGTATAGAAGTTTTGCATTATTAGTTCAGTAAATTAAATATTTCTGAATTCCGGCAAGGAATTCCTTTCATTTGATTTTAGACTGTTTCAGTTTTCTGCAGCATATTTTTATCTAAGGGTTTGAAATTAAAATTTATGTTTCCTCCAATCTGCGTATCTTAAATGAAATAAATATATGCTGTTTTAAGAACCATATCTATCGACCACACTGAATGATTTTCATGCTAGTAGAAAACTGTTAACAATATTTACTGTCTCATTTTACATGTTAAAATTTTCCTTATAAAATTGCTTAATGTATATACAGTGTGTTAAAATGTTTTAGGTGGTTCATGTTTCGTTTACACTAAAAAATTCATCATTCTAGAAGTCTAACTACAATTTTAAATCGCAACAAAGTGCTTTGTGTTTCAAAGTGTTATCCATGTAGAAAATTTACTTATCAACATTTCTAACTTAAAAGTGTTCTGTTTGACATTAAGAATTTCTGTGCACTTTATAATATCACCTTCAAAACTAGTCTGAATGTAATAAATAATAAGGGATAAATCATGACACATAAATAAGAAAAAATACTTTATTTTCACTATATTTACAGAAAAAATTTAAACATTATTAAAACTACAAAAGATACTGTAAGAATTTTAATATAAAGTTGTTAATAACAGAGGAGTTACCAATTCTTAAAAGGAAAGAAATATTGTAAGAAATACACTTAAATATTTCAAATGAACGGCTTAACATAAAATAAGAAGACTAGATGCATTTCTTTTTACCTTATACCTTACTTGAGCATCTATGGATTCATTGACTGATAAGAGACCTTTCTATACTTAATTTTTCACGTTTTGCATTTTTTAAATGAGCGCGGTGCATTTAATTACATAAAAGAATTTATCAGATATTACTGCTGCCCCTTTTTAAAACAACTGCAGCTAATATCCTCAGTAACTAGGACTTTCAGAAGGGTTATATAATTTAAGATGTAAAAAGCAATTTAGCTCAAAGCTATGAGATCATCCTCAAATAAAGTTTTGTAATGGTATTTACAACAAAATTTATCTATCTTCCTGCTTTTGCTTGCCAAATAGCGACAACTTGGCAAGATAAGCAAGCCTTTAAGTCACTGAAAATTAGACATTACTGTGAGTGAGACTCATCTCTACTTTTATCGAGCAGTCCCAAAATACAGAGCCTAAAAATGTCTATGACTCCTCATCTGAGCATTTGAGTTTACACAGAACTATCTAAATACTCAATCAAATGGCTCACGCTTAAGTCTCTGTTAGCACGGGACCCAAGAAAGGAAAAGACACGAGACCCTTGATTGTTATGTGACGTTTACAGCATTAGTGATTCACAGTATCCTGTTTTCTTTGGCGATTTCAGGGCAGCTTTCTTTCTGAGTCATACAACGTGGGGTGTTATTATAGAATAGGATTCCCCCTGTTTTTCCATTACTCAGAGACAACTTTCTTCCTGTCTGGTAGTGACAACGAATGACAAATAGCACATACTGTCTAGCACTTTTAAGTGATGTAATCTTTTTACTTTTGGAAGTTGTGAAATTAGTTTTTGTTTATTTAGTCTGAAAAGGAAAATACTTACCTATTTGTCTTCTGAGTTATTTAGGTCAATATAAACTCCACTGAAAGTGTTCATTCGTATTCGAAAATTTTAGTGCTCCATTTTATTGGCACAGGACTTCTTGTGTCTTTTACCTTACAAATGAACTGATAAGCGAATTCTTTCTATCTTATCTTTTGCTATATGCCCTCTTTTTCGTATATTTATTATGTACCTTTGCGAGCTAACTATTTGCACAGTTTAAATAAATAACTATTATTAAGTTTAAATAATAATAACAAGTTTAAATAAATAACTATTATAAGATACTTTTGAAAACTGAATTTTAAAAATTTCTTTATTTTGGTTTCGTATTTTTCTCCTTTTAATAATCCACATTTTTTACATTTATTAAACTAAATTCTAATTGTAAGAAATTTTTGGTAAACTGATTGACTAAAATAATAAAGAACCATTTTTTCTAAGAGGCTGGTATTTGAATGTAACTGGCACATGGTTACTATTTTGAATTTGATCATAAAATTGCATCAGTTGAATAAACGATAATTTAACAATTTTACAAAACTGCCATTAATTAATGTTATCAAAATAGTTTTCAATACCTCGTTACCAATCTTTCTGCTGACTGTTCTAGATCAAAAAATATTTAGTGTGAAAATAGTTTTATCGGAATAAGTTGACTAGAAAATAATTTCGATCACACATACAAATAATTTTCATAACTATTATTTGACTATATTATTAAAAACATTTCAAATACTGACAGTCCCTCCAGCTCTCTCTTCAAAATCATATCTTCCAATGAAATTTGAATATTTCTTAAAATTTAGGTGCATTTACAAACAGACGCGTTTTAAGATGACATTTTTTGGGTAGAGTATACATTTAAAAATCATGTTCTATCGTTCTTAAATCTCCTTCTGGCTTATCCTATTTAATTCTAGGATACTGTATCATTATTCCTTGGTAATTAAAAAAAAAGAATGTAATTCATTGTGTTAATCGAAGAGTAACAGATACTCTTTTTTAAACTCTTAGATATCAATAGGTACTTAATCAAACACGTTAGAGAAGGGGGCAAATCAAGTTTATTTTAAAACTTGCTGAAGCTTTTTTCTCGTGTTTAAGTTCAATGCATGAAAAAAAGAAAGAAAGTATACTCGTTATACAAAGGGTTGGTTCTTGGGGAGCATATAACACAGTTAGGAAACAATAGCTACCGACATGATGATTTCTATTTATACTTCTTAATGTAGGGTAATCTAGATTCTGGGGGCATGCAATTTCGTCAACAAAAATTGATCTCCTTTTCACAAAAGGCTTCATCATTTAGAATCTTTATCTAATGAATATCGGGTAATTCTTCTTCTTATATGAAGGAATTAATTTTCTGTTCGCTAATTTTAAATTGCATTAAATTGTAATAGACATTATGCATTAGAACATTTTTTTTTACTTGGATTAATACATTTTCGGAGTACAATACATTTACATTTACACACATACAGAACAGTAAAATGTATTGTTACTGAAACTATCTGAACTCTTGTTAGTGAAATTAATAAAATAAAATATTAAATTAAATTTTCAAAGGTAAATGGGAAGATCTGGAAGGAAAGGGAATCTGATTTTATTTTCGGATACTTTACTTAATTAAAATGATAACTTGATATGCATCTAGGTGCTGCTGTTAACATACTAATATTATACATATAACTGTAATGGCATTTGTTAGCTGTTATTTAGAAAAACAACGAAAAGTCCTTTTTTTTCACATGTAGTTATTAGTTAAAACACTTTAAATTTCCAAAAGATATTTTGGAAACAGACAAACTTATAAGCGTGTTCTGCCTACCATTTTTACACATTTCAAATAGACCTGTTTCCTATAAAATTCAACATTCCTAATTATTCAAATTTTTATGACATGATTATCAAATTAAAATTAACTTAATTATACATTAGTTTCCAAACTTACAGTCTAGCAAAACTACTAAAAATATATCTATCAAATTAAAAAAAGCTGATTTGTAATAAATACTACATGATAACTAAGAGAGGTCTAATATTTAGCTAATGAGCAAATAAATAATGTATTATGAAAATATCTTAACTGCTAAGAGCATGAGTTGGATGAATGCTTGGTTTTTAATATGCAGATCTGCGAATAAATAACGTTAACTATAGAAACCTTTCTGTTTCTTTCAGAAAAAATTCCTCTGCAAGAAGTGGTTCCTTCCAAAGATAAAGTGGCAAAAAAACAAAAAACAAAGCCAGAAGAAGAGAAACCCACTCCACCGAAGTTTGTCAAGCAGCCTAAACCTCAAACAGTAAAAGAAAATGAAAAAGTAGTTTTGGAATGCAAAGCAACCGGACATCCGGCTCCTAAACTTACCTGGTATAAGAATGATGCTCCTCTTCAGTCTTGCAGGCTTTACAAAATTACGACCAAAAAGGATAAAACTAGTGTACTTGAAATATCTTCCGCTGGACCGGTGACTGACATTTACACATGCAAAGCTGTAAACACTGCTGGAGAAGCTGTTACATCTGCGACAGTCATTGTAAAAGGTAAACTCTTTTTTTTTTAATCTAGCTTAACAGCATACATAATTCTTATCAAAAGCAAAGCGTCTTATTAGTCCTTGCTTTACAAGTTCAATAGAATTTAGAGGGAAAGTATTACGTTAGCACAACACATTATCGCGTTTATGATGCTTTCCAGCTACTAGTTCACGGTTTAATTCTTGGACATCCTAGATTTTGCAGTTGTTAGAAGCACGATCACAATTCCTTGAACAACTAATATTGGTTTACTTTATAACAACATTGTGCAGTCTAAACATTATGTATTTTCGGTAAGATTCTTGCAGATTTTAAAGAAGTTCACAAAGTTGAACTAAGCTTAAATTCAGCACTTGTGTATCACTGGAACAGTTGTTGCGGAAGAGCAACTCCTCAGCAAAATTGAAAATAATTTTCTTTAAGTATATAACTTCCAATCACTAAAAATAAAAGAATGGTATTTGGTAGAGATTGATACTTCCATGGCAATTAACACACGTATATTCTGCAAGCAGTTGAATCACTTCGGTTTAAGGAAAACACCACTAAGTAGATATTAGGAGAACAATGTGTGAAGACCTACGGGATAACAGTTAGAAATTCGTTTGCAATAAAAGTTTGTTGAATTACCTGAAGAACACGGAAACGATGAGCAGGTGTTCAATTTGTAGAACAAAAAACGACTGAAACAACAGCTGAAAGCAGTTTCTAGAGGGCAATGTAGTAGTCGAGAAACCGATTTGCAGTTCACCAAGCAATAATTGTAGATAGTCATTTCGTATATAATCGAAAAGTACTTTTTTCTGCAACTGGATTTCACATCGAGTAATGGAATAGTTTATCTAAGTTCTGTCATTGATTAATCCAAGTATAATTCTGTAAATCAAGCAGAAAATCGAGAAGATTCTTGAGCAAGAATGTTCATTTGGAGTTGGTAATATCTTTCTGCTGCAGTTATATCCTCACTTTTTGAAACTCACAAGCTTTTATTGTCACACTCAAATGCCGGTAACTCCTCGTCAATCCTGCAGCACGTTGAGTAACGTAGTGCAAGTTTGAAACTGGCGCGGTGTCATCCTTATCCAGAAGATCTTGATTGGACTACTGTGGGATAAAAAGTTTCCTTCTTCGAACGAGTCATGCGGGGGTGCCCGTGCCATGACGGGGAGAAATTTCCGTCGTTGTGACCATTTCGGGCTCGATCCAGAAATAAAGCCGTTGGTTGAATCACGCCACCTGGCAGTCCCGGCTGGAAACTGCTGGGTTAGTTAAATATAGCAATCTCCGCTAGCAACTAAGTATAACTCTGCATCCTTCCCTGACTCACCCTTACGCTCTCTTTCTCTCTGAAGAAATAGCATTTGTGGGCCACCATTTTGTCTCTAAATTACCTCATCTCCCTCTCGACTAGTAGTCAGAATCCCGTTTTAGCAAATCAGCCTCATTTTATGTCATCCTTTCAAACTGTCCTGCAAGAGATGTTTCAGATTGCAGACTGCGTATTTCACGATAATAAATGGGATTCGTTAATACTGCCAGCAATTTAAAAAAGAGTTGAAAGAATGATTATTTCACTCTTGGTTCTTTTTTGTATAATCAGAAAAGCGTATACTCTAAATCTTCGAGTAATATTCTCTCCCTGCGTGCGGGTTGAATGTAGCTGAGTGAAACTTTTATTCTCTGATCTTGCATAAAAGATCGTTTGTTTCGTAAATTAAAAGCGATACTGAAAGTAATTAATAAGTTATTTTTCAAGATGTCATGTTTACAATTCATGATAGATGAAACCTTAAGTTATAATTGAAATGAACAATTCTGTGGTATATAATATATGGGAAGGAATTAAATTCATGAATTGTAGAAGAAAGGAGGTGCTTCCAAATTTTTAGTATTGTGATTTAATTTTTAAATACGAATTAATTAATACAAATTTCCTCTGAAAAAAAAAAAGAGAAATAGAAGCAAAAATCTTTGAGTAAAACAGTCTATTAATGATCCAGTAATAAATATATATTTGTTATTATTAACAATTAATTAATAATTATAAATAAGTTTATACATTAGCATATCAAAACAGAACTTTTTGCAACCCCGCAGTATTAGGTGATGATCCATATTTTATGAGCCACCGTTAGAATATTATTTGGTTGTTCTTATTTATACGATACTTAAATATGTTTTATTATTTATTATTTATAATAAGTAACAGAAGTTAGTTTAAACAGATGTAAAAACTTATATACTGAAAATCAGCGAACGTGAATAGACTTTGATCTCAATTAAATGTATTGCACATATCAGAACATGCATAAATTTTTTTCGTTCGCTATCGGTATAATAACAGTAATCTTTCAACGTATATTGGCAAAGTACATTGAAAGATTATTATAAATTATATTTATAGCCTCAAAGATTGCCAAACTGTAGTTACACTTGTGCTAATGCTTTTGTGCATTATAATGTTTATTAATTATCGCATATCATTAGTGATAGTTTTATATTCAAAATACTTTAAATTCATTTAAAAGTTTAGAGATTATAATTTACATAATCATTAAATTATTTTCGCGAAATCGTTTTTGTTATTGCTCTTCTTTTAAACGAGAGCACGATAGGTATGTAGCTGATGAATGATTTAATCCGATCACGCAGTTGGAACTGAATACAGATTTCGAATTATAAAATGAAAGAAAAGCCCCACTTATTTAATGCATTACCTTACACAGTTCCGTATTCGAATCCGACGCCCAGACGGGAAAGTGATTAGTGTACCGTACTAAAAAGCTTGGGTTCGAATCCCGGAGAAGGCATGGATGTAAATTGTCTGCCCCTTCATTCGAGGTAATGGTGGCCGCCTATTAAGTGCCTCCATATTAAAATGACCACTGCTTCCTTGTGGCCTTAATAGTGGTAAAAGCTTAAAAATAGCCAGTGCCCGCCATAAAAAAAAAAATCGAATATAGGATTTTCTGCCCGAAGATGGTGCTTTACGAACTAAATTATGCAGCTATGTAAACCATCTTCGGATAATTTCCACATAACCTTGCGATCTTTTGTCATTTAACTTTGATATGATTTGATCCATCCGTAATGCGACCAAGTACTGCAATGATCCAATCACTAAGATGAGTGATTATCTTAGAGAATTAATTGCAATGATATGATGTGCATGTATAAAGTAAATGAGATTGAAAACTTTACTGATGAGCAGAATTTAGTGGCTACGTAAAGTAAAGAGTAGTTGCAAACTGAAGCTCTTAAACTTGACAGACAAATATGTTGATGGCATCAGATGCCGAAAATTATGTACAAAGATTAAACTCCTCTGTGAAGAAGGGATTTCTATTTACACTCTTAAGTATTCTATAAAACTGAAAAGATGAATTCAGATTTCAGTTAATAAAATATTTCAAGCTAACGTCAAACTGATCCCTGAATAGTAGTTCACGAAAGAGCTTATTCACAAAATATTGTAAATCCTTAAATAAAGTAGGAAGAAGAGCAGGAATAACCCACATTCATTTATTCTACCGTACCTAAAGCTTTTCTATGATATCATTCTAAAATAATTTACATATTCTATAAAAGATACGGGCGTAGTTTAGAAACAAGAATTCTATAAAAGATACGGGCGTAGTTTAGAAACAAGGAAGAAAAACAGGTAACCTAGGACTGTAATAGGTAGTTAAAACACTTATAAGATCTTAAAATATCTACTTTCATTAATTATTGGGAATAACTATATTTGCACTCTCTTGATTTTAGCTCCATCAGAATTCTTAAAAGAATGTTTGTAAAAGCTACTCGAACTTATTAAATCAATATTTACGTAAGAAAGACAAATTATCTTCCAACATAATTTACTACAGTTTTTCCCAATTCGTTACCTCTGTTTTTCGTGTTGTACTTGCATAAATTTCAAGGTTGTTTACTGTTATGTGCTTGTTAATCGGTTACAAAATATAGTCATATTTCTGTCGATTACCGAACTAAAACTCTTGTATAAATAATCGGTTGTGAGAGATTTGACATTTGTCAAGCTAATATGTTTCACCTAATTCCTATTATTTCCTTGCTGTTATTACTGAATATTTTGTCAAAGAATGTAAAAATTAAATTTGCCGATTACTAAAATATTAGTGCAACATAGTTAGTTATATTGCATACAGTATTGAGTATGGAGCCTGGTGTTTAAAAGCATTGCAGTATGCAGCACTAAATGCATGTATGTACGTAACATTAAACTATCAATTCATATGGAAACCTAAGATTTATAGCATTAAATTCTACAGCCGAGTAGACTGACACAAAGCTTAACGCCCATCTTAGTGAAACAACTGTTTTTATATGAAGATTTAAATAAACCTTTTTATTAAAACTTTAACTTAGCAATAGCACAGCTCGTACTTTACAAACTTAATCACCGCAATTTGCGGGATTTAAATTATTGTGCAATTTAAAAGTAAAATTTAAAACAAGTAACACCGGAAAGTTCTATAGCAAATTCCTAAAATTAGCTTTGTGAACTTTGGTTCAGGATTTTAAATGTGCGAGCAAAACGGGTAGAAAAAGACTAAAGCCGATGTGGTCTTTGAACTGGGTGAGAAAAACCACGAAGGTCAGCATTGCTGCTCAAAACTTCCTTTCCTAGCTTCAATAAACGTTAACAAGTTAACTAATTTGCATCCTGGTGAGAGCACGCAAAATTAGAAGTGACGGTAGAGAAGAAAACAATAATATAATGGGTTAATTTACTCCAAACTTTACAAATGTTCAATGGTTAATTTGCTGAAGCATTTGATTAGAATGTATAAGCTAATGTTAGTAATTAAAAATATTATCTTAAAATGCAATTTTTTACAGTTTATTAAAACACTACGGGATGCAACTATCGCATTCACCTGAGTATAAAACGATATTATATTCAATCCTGCACTTTTAATGGCGTTTCGTTACTCAGGACGAGGAAGTATTAATATGTTGATGGTGTTCGCAAGATAAAGAGGTAGATAAATACTACGCATTGAAGCAACACTAAACGGATATCACTTCTCTTAAGTGAAAATTTAAGAGGTAGCAGCGAAATTATAATATATTTTCTAAATGTTAGGCTACACATGTTAATCGATGCAATTTTTAGAATAGCATTATTAAAAATATATATCTATGTGGGCAAACACGGTACTTATCGATGAATCGTTCTTGACTTATTCCTAATCATCATGCTCCTAAATTCTTGATTTATCCCTAATCATCGTGCCCATTAGTAATTAATTATGCTTTCTTTTGAAAGCTTTTAGACAACTTTAGAAATTATAAGTCAGTAAATTAATTTCAGATTAATTAGTAATTAATTAATTTTTGTCAGGGTAAGATTTTAGAAATAGATATTTGTATTTCTTTTAGAAATCGGCCGACCACCCAAATTTACAGAGCCTCTGCAGCCGGTCTCGGCAGTTGAAGGCAGCAAATTGGTTCTCAAATGTGTCGTCACAGGATTTCCTACCCCTGAAATCAAATGGTACAGAGAAGGCAGAGAACTACGTCCTACGCGGGATTTTCGTCCTTCCTATGATGTGCAGACCGGCGAAGCTACGCTTACCATACCAGAGGTGTTCCCTGACGATCACGGAACATTCACTTGCACGGCTGTCAACCAGTATGGAAAAGACGCCACTACGTCTACCCTCACTGTCACAGGTGAAGAACACACATATCTAAGTGATTAAAATGCGTATAGATTAATGATTAAACACGAAATATTGGGTTTTAAAGCTTGTTTCTAGATATTAACATTATAAGACTTATTTCTGCTTTCTTTTATCATATACAAAATGTATTTTATGCACTTTTTAAGCTAAAATTAAAATAAGTGTAATGGCGTTTGTAGTTAGCGCTAAATTATTCCAATTTTTAGAAATTTAGAAAATTCTGAAAGAAAGAAGAAATATCTACTTTGGGCTATGTTAGAATACCTTTAGAACGATATTTGGAGATACGATTTTCAGAATGCCCAAAGACTAAATGAATGTCCACTACCAGTACAGTCGATGTTAATAAAATTTTACTTCATGGTATGAACGGAAACTATTGTGAGTTTTTTTATGCGAGAATAAATAAACTAGTTATTTATATTACATTATGTGAGCAACTTTGGGAAAAATAATAAGAAGTGACCAACCGCTTATTATTATTATTAGTCCAAAGGGGCTTTCTTCCTGAAGGACTATTGTTTTCATTTTGCGATTTTGCGTTGGTTCACTATAAATGTCCGTTTCACTTTTCAAACTGTTGCCACCAAATGTTAGAGTCTTGCATTATATTTGAAGAAATTAAATAATGAAAAATCTCCATAAATGTTTGTCTATTTTTCACATTGTGATAAAACAACGGCACATAGAGCCATCGAATTTTAAATGACGTAATCCTACTGCGAATATGAGCAATGTGGAAGCCCAAATTTGAAATTTGGAATTTGTTTTATGATTGATTTCATATTTTGTAAATCTTTAACGAATTTTTGATTAACAAACTCAAAGAGTTCAAAGCGAGCAATGGCAACGTTGTACAGAAAAAACATTTTAATCTCCAGCGCGTGAGACTGCGTATAGGAAATTCTAATATGCTCAAATTAAAAACTATTTTGCGATATTGCTCTTGAACAGAATTTTGGTTTAACTGAGGAAAACGTGATATTTAATAAATAAAGGTAACAGACAAATATTTAGTAAATAAAGGTAACAGACAAAATGTTAAAAAACGCCCCTTTGGACGTTTAAAATGTGAAACCTTTCAGATTTTTATTTTTTAATTTTCATTTTATATATTTCTTACTTCGTTGTACGAAGCAACGGAAGAATTGTAATTGCGAAAAACTTCGAGTATCATCTTTCAACGGAAATATCCGTTTTGACCGCTTCCCTATCCATTTGGACAATTTTTTTGCATGACGTCTGTACGTTCGAACAGAATAAAGGGCTCTTGCTTCCAAAACGGATTGCCAAGTGCATTTGAAATGGATTCAAAAGGGAATTTTTCCTGACGTCTGTACGTACGTAAGTACGTATGTATGTATCTCGCATAACTCAGAAAAGATTAGCCGTAAAAATGTTAAAATCTTGTATATACTACTGCCATAACATCTAGTCATGCACACCTTTCCTTTACTGCATTCGGCAAAAACCAAACATATACATATATATAATATATATATTTATAATTATTTGACAAATATTGCGTTTACGACTCTCAGTGAATGTCAGAACGAAATTTGTCTTGCCTCTCTTATTAATCGACCAAGTATGGAGCTTCAAAACACTTTTCCCTTGACAAGTTCAGGTATAAAGCTCCAGACAAGGGAGATTAAATTTTTTGCATAATTGTTTAAATTTTTGCACAATTACTTCCCTTGTTTACTTTCTTAATTCCAATCAGTGTCTTAGTATCTTAGTTTTTGCAATTTCTTCTTTCAAATCATTGTCTTAATATGTTAGACTTTTTGCTTTTACGTAGTTCATGTATTAATTTACTTTGTAAAATTCGGGTCTTATTGCTGATGAGTTGGATCTAACAATACTTTTAAACTTAAATTATAATTTAGCAGCACTTTGCGTTAATTTATTCTTTTAGTACTAGCGTGCTTTTTCTGAACTCGTTGACTACTTCTTTTCTCTTTATATAGTATATATATATATATATATATATATATATATATACATATACCCCCTTACAATGCTTAAAAATCCTTACTCTGCCTTTATTTTCACAATCGTTGGTCACATACTTCTAATTACAGAAGTGTTTTAAATGACAAAAGCATTCATGTTTTGGCAATGTGAAATTTAAAAAAAAAAAAAAAAAAAAAAAAAAAAAAATGTCAAATAGCAAAATCTAATCTTGTGATTTTCCGTTTCCAATACTTATATTTGAGAAAGTCGTATCCTCGTTATGAAAAAAATAAAATTAGAAGTTTCACATCCGTACGACAGAAACTGACCAGTATATTTAATTTCAAAATTTGCATTTTTTATGTGATTTTCAATTTGCTTTGAGGAATAGATTAATTAATTTAGAATAATTTGTGGAAATAAGTTTAAATGAAGTGCAGAAAAATACGTATAATTTAATAGGCTGTACTGGGACGTCATGTAATTAATTTTTTTTTTTTTTTTTTTGCATTTCCCAGAGGATATTGTCATGATCGAAAAATCGGATTTGTATGAAGCTCCGAAATTTGAGAAGCCATTACTCCCTATGACCGCACCTGAGGGAGAACCGCTGGAAATGAAAGTGAAAGCTACTGGTACACCTTTGCCAATGTTAACATGGTAAGACACTTCTTTAGAAAGAAAACTGTTAGTAAGAAATAATACGAAGAACTTTCTTTAATACAAAAGATGTTTTTAGTATTCTAGTAGCAGACAAAATAGTGCCTTATACTTTTTTCATAGCTTTTGCACCTATTTCAAAACATAGCCATATCAAAATGGCTTCTCGATGCGATGACATATGCATCGAATCGCATCTACTATATTTGGGTATGCCAGTTTTAGAAAATAGTTATATCCAAGATTTAATATATAAATTATTTGTGTAATAATAATATTCAACAACTAATTAGACTCAATTAACTTATTAAAGAAGAAAGATATCAGACAAAACATCAGATATAGTTTCTTCCAAAACCTCAAACTGGTAATGGTAAGTTTATTTTTTGCAATAAGTTTGCAGTTCATATGTTGGAATTTTATTGTTAAGCGTGATTAAGTAACATTTTTTTCCAGTAAACGCCTACTCATGGCGATGGGGCTGTTTGGTGTCTCGCAACTAGACATAAATTTAGAGAAATAATTCGTTCAAAGTTTAGAATTTTGTGAAAGAAAAACTTTATCCTGCATCGAAATTTCTAGAATAAATCCGTAGACGATCTGAGTGCATTAAAACTTTGAGCGTGCGCAGTGAATGTACTAAATTCACTTTGAAACAGATGCAATGAATGACAATCATGCGCAATTTTAAAACATAAAAACAATACCTAAATTAATGTTAAAAATTTGATTTATTGAAAGTACGGGAAAGCACACTGCCCAAGGATGCCTTCATGAAGGACTTTCTAAGAGAAACTGGCTCGTATACACGTTACACATGGCGGCGAAGTTTTAAAAGATGTCTCGGAGTAGGAGTCAGTTGATGGGATTTTTTTTTTATTCCTTTTGTCTTCTCTTTATCGAGAGGATGAAACATTTGATATTGTCGATAAACTAAAGAACAGTTATATTAAATGCTATCCTTATCCAAATCTGCAGTTATATCATTAACATGGAAAACAAAAGAAAAGTAGAGAAATAACTCAAGTCAATATGTGTATTACATACTTCATTACGAAGTATGGTATTCTAAAACCTGAGTTAAAACTCGGGTTAAATTCTAAAACCTTCTTTAAATCGTATTGGAAGCCACTGGTATTTACAATATTAAAGAATAATGTGTTTTGTAGTAGCATACTTTATTCTGCTTTGTTCCATACCACACCTGAGAAACAATCTTCTATATTATACTTAAAAAATCACTTGTTATGAAGCCATATTAAAATGTGCTATAAATACGTAATATGCGTATAGAAAATTTTAATTATTTGGCAAAATACACTCTTTTGCAAAAAATCGAAGCACCGAGAAAGAATTTTGCGATCGTGATGAAATTTGGTATACAAAAACATCTGGATCGAACATGCAAATGATCAAAGTTTCAAGGCAAATGAACAGGAATTGTGATCATAGCGCGCATTTCTAGGGCATAATTCGCAAAGTATAAAACCAGTAACAGAGGCGGAAAAACTTATCTTTTTTTGTTATTGCCATTATAATTCTGTAAAGAAGCAACTAAAGATGCCATTACGACGATATCGAAGACCTTACAGACAATTAAACGACTTTGAACTTGGTCGGATTGTAGGGTTGCGTGAAGCTGGGTGGTCATACTGTGCAATAGGCCGTCACCTGCAGCGTACAGACACTGCTGTGCGAAGATGTAGGCAACAATGGTTGCTACAAGGAAATTGCCGACGAAATGAAGGCTCTGGAAGACCAAGGATCACAAATGCGAGTCAAGATAGGATGATTGTTCGCCAGGCCCGAACCGCCCCAACGGTATCATTGTCGACTATTCGACGCACTACAGCCACGTCTATACCTCCCGTGGTACCATCCACCATCTCACGCGCTTGTCTGAGGAGAGGTTACCTCACAGAGGCCTTTAAGACGTTTCCTTTGATTCAACATATCGAGCAATAGGCCGCCACCTGCAGCTTACAGACACTGCTGTGCAAAGATGTTGGAAGCAGTGTCTCCACAACATCGGCGGAGTCTTTTGGAGTGGTGTCGCAGCCGATCATCATGGCTGCCATCAGACTGTAATCGTATAGTGTTCAGCGATGAATCCCGCTTCACTCTTGAAGCAGATGACCACCGTGTTCGTGTCTGGAGAGAACGGGGCCAACGGTCCCTATCAGCCTTTGTTTCACAAAGACATACAGCCATAACCCCTGGTGTGATGGTGTGGAGCCTTATTTCTTATGATAGCAGACTCATCTTCAGTCATCCTCCGTAAATCTTTAACAGCTTAACGATATGTTGATACAATCCTACGGCCGATTGCATTACCCTTCATGGCACGTCATCCTGGGGCCATTTTCCATCAAGATAATTCCAGGCCACATACCGCTCTGTCTCCGTGCGGTTGATACTCTTCCTTGGCCAGCACGATCACCAGACCTTTCATCAACCGAACATGCCTGGGACATAGTAGGCCGCCAGATTCGGGCACCACAAAACATCGGATATCTGGAGCGACAATTGATGAATGCCTGGCAGAATGTGTCACAGGATGACATCGGAACCTCTACCACTCCTTGCCTCGACGAATTCAAGCATGCATTACCCGCCAGGGACTGTTCGACCAACTACTAATTTGAACACTCAATGGGTGCTTGTGAGTCGTGAACAGGTACTATGACCTTGATTTTTTGATCATTTTATTTTCTGTGTATGAGCTATACACATATTCAATTTCATCAAAAACAACCACTTCCTTCATGGTGCTTCGATTTTTTTGCAAAAGAGTGTACTTGAAAATGCTAATATTAGGCACACTAAATTTGCAGTGGAATTAGACACCAAGAACTGCAATTAAATATTACGTTCTTAGATATGAAACAACAGCAACAATTAGGTAAATGTCAGTTTTTTATGAAAAAGTAGACGAGGGCTATTTGCCTTTCAGAAATTTTTCAAAGTAAAAAAGCTGGATTTTTGTTACACTGGAGAAAAGCCATGGAAACGTCTAATATGATCTATCTAACGCCGTGAAATGACTTGGACGAAACCTCCAATGTTTATTTCCTCCAAACCTTTATTTCTTCAATCGGTACCCTGCTAAAAATGCCCCGTAGAAACCCATAAAATTTTTTTACGGGGCCTACGGGTACCTATACAGCTCTGAGGGTACTCGTAGGCCAAATCCCCGTAGAAAAAACCATAACCCTACGAAAACGGGTAACCTATACAACTCTGAGGGTACAATCCCCGTAAAAAGGCCAAAAACCCGTAAAAAAAACAAAAGTACAAACTGTACGTTTGTACGGGTAGGCCGTAAATAGGCCAAATACTCGTAAAAACCCATAAAAAGAAACCCGTACGATTGTACGGGTACCCATAGGCCAAATACCCTTAAAAACCCATAGAAGAAATTTGCACGGCGGTACGTTTACCTGTAGGCCAAATACCCGTAAAAAACCTGTAAACAGAAACCCGTACGACTGTACGGATACGAGTAGGCCAAATCTCTGTAGAAACCTGCATAACTGTAGGCACTATAAACAAAATCCCAGTAAAAAGCCCATAGCCAAAAATCAGAACTTTATGTGCATATCCATTGGCCAAATTTTCATTAAAAAAATGAATATTCCGTAGGTCTATGCCTTGTAAAAACCAGTAAACAAAAGCATGTACACCTATACAGGCACCCATACGACAAATCCTGTAAAAACCACTACAAAAAAATCCACAGACCAATAAAGGTACCTCTTGAAAAATCGCTGCACAAAACAGAACCAATAGCATTATATATAGTGGAGTATCCATACATAGAATGGTACATAGAACGGGTATCCATATACAGAATCCCTATAAAAAACAATACACAAAAATGGAACTGTAAATCAAATTTCCATAAAAACATAAACCAGCAGAAATACATAATTAGTACTGATGAAATGTACAGAACTAAATGGCGGAGAAAGCATGTAAAGTAATTTTAAATAAAACTCAATGCGAATAAATAAAAATTTTAAAATATCTAGAAGCCTACGAGCCCCTGTCCTCCTTAATGCACGTCAATATCTATAAACATATTACAAAATATTTGTATAAATTCTCTTTACAAAATTTTAAACTACCTTTATATAATTTTGAAAATAAAATGAATAGAAAGATAATAACCAAAGTCATGATTCACAACCATCGAATGATATATGTACATATATATATGTAAGAAAAATAAGGAATATTCAAAAGATTAAATTAGCAGCGTAAAATTAATTTTCCTTCTCTATTCTAAAAAACAGTAATCTTTCTGCACTGCATCATTTTGAGATTAATTCATGTCATATGACTCTTACATAATTTGATATTGTAAAAGGAACTAAAACTCAAACAGCCAATAGTAGTTTAACAGCAGTATTAACTATCAAATAAGAGTAAAAATGCATCGAGAACCAAAATTAACTCGGTCTGAATTAAGATTTCACCCTTAACATAACGCATTTGCTTTTTACGCTTTGGCCTAGCTGGATTGCAGTCTGTTTGCTCCTTGTTTCTTACTACACATTTATCAAAAATGTTAATTTTTGGAATAGGCATAAATAATGTGCCAACTTGTTTGTGGCTGCAACATATTTGCTGAAAGAAAAGTTGAATTAAATCAACCTCGATTGCCAAATTTCTTATTCATTGTGGATTGGAGTTTCAACATCTCTAAGCCATCAAAATTCTTGCTGTTCATTACAGATTCAGCTGCTTGTATTCGACTACAGAATCTATTACATATATATATATATATATATATATATCATTTCATTTGATGGTTGCGAATCATTACTTTGACTGTATATATATTATTAATTTCATTATAAATATATACATATAGTACTGTATCTCACTCTCACTGCATATATTTTATTTCAGTTCTTTAATTGGGAAATTAAACAATTTTATTTAATCACATCAGCTTGTTTAACAATTTGATACCTAATAATGAGAAGGTATTGCCA